GGTAAAATTGTAAAATAAAGAATTAAGTATATGTAGTAATATGTATTTTTTATGTTATGTACATGCGAGGGTACATATAAATACTTATTATTATTCTTTCTTTCGTTCTTTAATATATCCAAAAATAGGGATTTCTAGTATATAAGTATTTGTTGATTTTTGTATATTTAAAATGGTAGAATGCCGTAAAACACAAAGTTTTACAAGTAAATCGTTTTGTTTGCTAGTTTTATGTATTTATGTGTAACTAGGTTTATCAGAATTCCCTAACCAAAAAAAACAACTCTGTGAATTTCTGGTCCTGTACTTTCTTCACAGCTGCATAGTTATTGTTTCCTAATAAAAAAAATTAAAAACTGTTATGAATAAAAAATGCATGATAAATTTCTACTGTGCTTACATCTATTTAAGTCTGCTAACTGGTTTTTATCTTTAGATGTATTGCTGAAGCATCGCTGAATAATCTAAACATATTAGGAGTTGGCTGATGGGTGTATAAAAATAAAAATAACTTGGAACCCAGAGCTGTGAATGAATATTTTACCCCTTAGTTTTATTTATCTATTTATTTCACGTCACAATTTATAAAGGTACACTAAGAATGTTATGTTCACTTAAATTAATTAATTAAATTAAAAATAAATATAAATAAATTAAATTTAGTTTGATCGAAAAACCAGTGACAAAGCAGAAATATTTATTTGCAAAAAGAAACTGTTATAATTCCTTTGCAAAAGAGATGTTCCCCAGTTGTTTCCTGAAAATATTTAGGCAGATAGAATAAAATACATTTGATAGAAGTCAAGACTTGTTCCATAGGAAACACCGACTAGGTTGCTGTCTGTCTAACTAAAGTTTTTGACGAGGTTTTTTGTCCTAGAGGGACGCATTGTTAAAAAAAAAATGGTAAAACAATAATTTAAAAACTGTCGTTTTATCTAAATAATATCCAATTTTTTATAAATCGAATTTTCCAAGAATGAACTCTTCTTGAATGTCCAACAAACGAGTGTAGTGGCATTCAAATGTCCACAAAAAATTTCCGTGAATGGTCATTCAAAGCTGCATGCCTAATGAATTTAAAAGCTGTTTTGAATCGAAATTGGATGAAAAAATTCTACTACGCAAATACACTATGATATTTATCTTTAGGTATATTTCCACTATAACGCACGTAATTAAAGACTATTTCTCGATTAATTCCTAGACTGTTAAGAAAATTGTACAAAATTGGTGTTAAGGGAACAGCGTATAAATGGCTTTGTTCGTATTTAACAGAAAAAAACAACAACAAAAAACGAAATAGAAAAATTGCATATCTGATTGCATAACTGTAGAACATGGTGTTCCTCAGGGCACAGTTTTGGGACCATTCTGGTTTCTTATGTATATAAACGATATTGTAAATATTTTAGATGATGCTGAAATGGAAAGAAAAATGAATGCTGGTCTGAAGAAGACTTCTGACTGCCTTGTGCAATAATAACATACGAGGTTAGCGCCAAAATTTCCCGGCCTGACATAGATGCAGGTCCAGTATCACAATAAAACTTTGTCTTGTTTTAAGTATATATCTTAGTAGGCTGCGTCAAATAGTTTTTTATTGACAGCATCTTAAACAAGACGTGTCCGAAAAATTGTCGCAAATAACTCAAATTGAGTATAGAGCTGTCATAAAGTTTTTGACAAAAGAAGGGTTAGCACCGAAAATTATTTAAGAAAGACTGGATGGTGTGTACGGCCAAAGTTCTCCTTCGTATTCTGTAGTGAAAGAATGGGCAAAACGTTTTCGAATGGGGTAGGAGTCCCTTGAAGATGATTCAAGGACTGGTCGACCAGTGGCGGTCGTAACGGAAGATATTGTTGCGATTGTGGAAGTGGTGGTATTGAGTGATCGACCTTTAAAGGTCAAGGAAATCTCAGAAACTACTAAGCTTTCTGATATCTTTTGGGATTGTGAAGGAATTCTTTTGATAAATTTTAAAGAAACCAATACCACTGTCAATGGTAAATATTACGCAACATTATTACATAAATTGCGAGACTGCACACGTTTAAAAGGTCGAGGAAAACTGACCATAGGCGTGCGTCTTTTGCACGATAATGCACCTGTCCATACCGCTGGTGTTACACAAGCTGCCATTTTAGAGTGTGGGAATTTGTCAATTGACACCAAAATCTTATTCTATTCTAGCTGCTCCCCATTTAGAATATTGTTCCACACCTTTGTTCAATTTGCCTAATTAAAAATTAGAGCAATTGCAGATCGTTCAAAATAGGGCCATGAGAAATATACTAGTGTAACAGCATGTAAAAGCATATTGAGTGTTTTTCATTTCTTGCCTGTAAAACAAAAAGTAATGTTTAATGTCCATGTATTTATTTTTAAGATTAAACAGCAGTGTGTTCCCAATTATGTTTGTGAAAAAGTTACCTATTTCAGAGATATTCACTCTTACAATACAAGAAATTGTGGTAATTTTATGTTGAGAGAGTGTCATTCTAATCATGTACAAAACTCTATATTACATAAAGGCCTAAACTGCCTAAAAAAAACTGCGATCCTCTTAATAAATTTAAAAGACTTTTAAGACGCCATGTATCGTCCAAATTCGGATTTCTGTGTGCTTAGCTTTTGGTTTCCGCTTATCTGGAATTTTATATTTTATATTTAGAATTTATATTTTAAATTTTTATGTAGCATAATGCTAAATCAAAATTATATTATTATTGAGAAAAATTGACCAGAATTTTCAAAAAAATATCTTTCCACCCCCAGAGCAAAAGAACTTTAAACTTTAACTGATATTTTACCTAATAATGTTTTATATTTTAATGCAATTAACTATTCCATTTACGTGTGTTTACCTATTTTGGAACGACTTGAAGAAATTTATAGTTATATTCTAAATACGTGGGATAGTCAAGATATTATTGGAAGAAATATATCATACTTACAATATGGTGCATGCGCAGGACGAATTTATATAGCAAAACCAATTAACCCTAATTTTTAGGAATTTCGATTTAGTGCTAATAATTATTCCGGAAAAACAAGAATTTTCAGGGTCCACAGATTTTTGCCTATTAATGAAAAACCTTGAATATAATTGAAAAACCGCTTCAAATAAAAGTTGTAGTCGGCTAAATAATTTTCGAGTTTTTTTTTTCTAGAAGCAAAATTACTACAAAAAGTTTTATTTGTTTTTTAATACTCGCGACTTGTCCGAATACCGAACACAAAAGTTTTAGTTATAACCATATGTCTTTAAAAGAAGAACCCATTTTTTAGTTTTTTGCAAATTACTGATACATCCTGTACATTTTTAAAAAACATTATGCCTAATGATCCGAGGCTCTGGTGGGGTTGCCCTCTCTGGCGGATCGGGTGCAGATGGAGGCGGCCAGGACAACTGTGAGGCTGGCGAGCTGCGGGCTCTGGCGGGAGGGAACCTTCAATCGGGGTCCGTACGACATTTTAGAGGGCTGTCGCGGGGATCGCGGGGTCATGGGCATGCCGAGTGACGTCATGATCCCCGAGCTGACCTTCTTTGACAAATTGACCTTTCTCTTTCCATCAAGGAAAGATTGGAGAGAGGGCAGAGTCGGCTCCTGGGATGGACTTGTCTGGTACACGGACGGGTCCAGAATGGGAGATCTGGCCGGAGCTGGAGCGTACTGCGAGACAACGGGATCGAGCTTGTCGGTCCCCCTGGGTTTCGCTTTATTGATGGCGGCCAGAGAGGTGCTTCGGCTCAACCACGGAAGCAGGAGAGTCTTCTGCTCGGATAGTAGGGCTGCACTCATGGCGCTGAAGTCAGTGCGTACGCGCTCCTTGTTGATAAAGGAATGCAAAGGGGTACTGAGGAGGGTGGCTGAGGAGAGAAAGGTCACGTTGGTCTGGATTCCGGGTCACACCGGTATCCGGGGCAATGAGGCAGCGGACATCTTAGCAGAGAGGGCTCCTCGCATAGGCATATAGGGCCAGAGCCCCGCTTGGGGATCGCCCCGTGTGTGAGGCGGGGAGCTCTCGAAGCCTAGGCGAGAGACCGGGCCGTGGGGGGCTGGAGAGTTTCTCCGGGAATGAAGCAGGCGAGGCTTATGATGGATGGGCCCGCCCTTCCTCGGACCAGGGAGCTGCTTAGACTGACCAGAAGGGAGTGTAGAGCACTAACAGGGGCCTACACAGGACATTGAAGGCTTAGGAGGCATCTTTGCTTGCTAGGCATTGGAGACGACCCGGATTGTAGGTGGTGCATGGAAAGGGAGGAGACCCCGTATCATCTGCTCACCGAGTGCCCTGCCTTGACATGGGCCAGATTGGGAGTCTTCGGAACGGCCCTGATCGATCCGGACTCAGTGCACGGTATTGGGCTAGAGGAGTTGCTGACCTTCTATAGGAGGGGCGGCATTCTGGACGCCCTCTAGAGCGGCCTGGGGGCACAACGGGCCCATCTGGTGGCCTAAGTGCTTGGACGCCCGCGAGGGCGCCCCCCTTTAATACCAATACCAATACCAATAATACCTAATAATTCTTTGAAAAATAATTTTTTTGACGGACCGTTGCAAACGCGATTTTTAATATTTTTAAATTACTTCCCGACCACCCAGGTTTCCCATTTTCAACAAGTTGTGTTTGGGTCCTAAATTCTATAACTGTGCCATCCGATCCGGCCATTTTTCATGGGAACATGTGTCCCATGGGCTATTTCAAAGGAGCTAAATATCAGCTCCGTCGCTCAAACAGAGCACAGAACAGAGAACAGAGAACGTAGAACAGACAAAAAATAAGAACGGTTATTTTTCCACGCTGATTCCATCTGTACCAACGGCGACGCTGTATGACTCACCGTTTCCGACCTGAGTAGGCGAAAAAGTCACTTCTCTTGTGTTTTCTGTTCTATCAATAACAATCAGTCAATAACTCGTATTGAATGAAAATTCACCCGATGACTAGTACGCGACATTCTTTGGGGTAATAAAAAATTTAATAACCAAGTCTTTAGGTTTTTATTAATCGCTTAACATGACCTGTATTTCGGCCAGCGATTTTCCTTTGGTTTCCGGCACCACGAAGTAAATAAAAACGGAACCGGCGAGGCAGCAGCAGCTGAATATCCAAAACGCGGCGGCCATCCCCAAATACTCGCTGATAATCGGGTACAAAAACATGACAAGGAAAGACCCGACATAGCAGACGACATTGACGAAAGCCGAAGCTGTCGCCCTCATGTTCGGTGGAAATATTTCCCCAATAATTATCCAGATAACCGGACCGAGGCCGAAGTTGAAACTGACCACGTAGACCATCAGACAAAGCACGGGAAGCCAGGAAACACAATCCATATCGAATCCGCAGGATTTCAAGAAAAAATACAGACCCAAAATACCAGTGGGGACGGTAATGGCCAACGCGGACGAAAACAGAAGCATTCTTCTGCCAACCCTTTCCACCACGTAAGACGTGACGAAGACGATCAGGAATTTCACGCATCCGACAATGATGGTAGCGTATTGGGGGGGGATGTAGCTTCCCGAAGCTATGAAAATGTTCTGCATGTAGCTGGTGACCGCCCCAACTCCGGTACATTGAATAACTATCATCAGACCAACCCCGATCGAGAGACTCCTCCTCAAACCTCTGGTCTTGAAGAGGTCCAAATAGGAGCCGCTCTGTCCCGTATTGGTGTCCAGAAACTCCCTGAAGTGCAGCATTTCCCTTTGGATTTCATGGTCGGATTTATTGCGCAAAACCCTCAGGGCCTTTTCAGCGTCTTCTTTGCGTCCAACTTTCAGATAGTAAAGGGGGGATTCTGGTACGAATATGGTGAAAAAAATGATGAAAATAAGTATTGGGATAAGGCAAGACAGGCAGAACATTCTGACGCTCAGGAACGGTCCCACCGAATACGGATAAAGGATGCCCAGCGAGAGTAGCATGGTGTAGACGCATCCCAGCTTGCCTCTATTGTGCTGCTCGGTGATTTCTCCGATATATACGGAGAGGATCGATGAACAACCTCCGATGCCCATTCCGTACAGTAGTCTGCAAGAAAATGCATTTTGTAATAAAAAACGGTAAGCTACCAAAAAATATTCACCCTGGCGATCAATACAATTGTAATTCGTTCTATCCTAAATTTTATGTAAAATTTTTAATTTTTCACTAAGCTGCGGCGTTTTCCCTTCATATTCGAAAAAATCTTGTGTTACACCCATTTTCAAAGATGGCGACGGGCTAACATAAAAATCTTTTTATACCTAAATTGGTTTCGCAGTAAGATCACTAATCAAAAGCAATCAGTTAAAGTTAAAAATTACATTTCTCGTCTGGTGCCCTACAAGAGGGACATCTATCCACATTCCTTTTCAATGTTTTCATTAATGACTTAAAAAATATTGCCAATTTCTTCGCTTGAGAAACAGAATCTAGTTAAAGATCTTGGAGTTTGGCTCGATTCGGAGCTCACATTTACATATCACATCGATTTTATGACTAACAGAGCTATTCGATTGCTTGGGTTTGTTTTTCGGACTTTGAAGGGTTTGGAGAACATCTTGACGTATAGGGAGCTGTACTGTGCGCTTGTGCGTTCAACTTTAGAGTATGCTAGCTGTGTCTGACAACCATACGATGCAATTCAAAAAGAAAAAATAGATCGTGTGCAGCGTAAGTTCCTTAGAGGGATAAGTTTTAAATTGGGAATGTCTTTGGAGAGTAGGCGCATATTTTTTGACATCTCTACATTGTACAAAATCCTTAATAACTTGATGGACCAGATCTTCTGGCATCTGTTGGTTTTTATATTTCTCCTATTATTGCAATAAATAAGGCTCTTTTAACATCGATTTTCATAGGACCAACTATGGCATTAACTCGCCTATGAATAGTAGTTTTGATTGTAAAGTAAAGAAGACTTTTTTTAATCAACCGACCGCCTCGTAAACTTTGTAGTTTAACAATTATAAGTGTTGTTTGAATAAAGTATTATTACCCAATTGACATGTGTGGGTACTATTTGTTTTATTTTTTTTAGGTTAAACTATATTGTAGATGGTAAATGTGCCAATAATTTTTTTTTTATTTTTTTTTTAAACTTGCATTCGATTAAACCACTTCGATGCGGGCACCTCCAAAACCTGCTTTTGAAGCGCATCAGTCGCTTCTTCTGGTGTGAAAAATCGTTGCCCACGTCATTTATTCTTAATGCATGGGAATAAAAAGAAGTCATTAAGTGCTAAATCATGACCATATGGTGGATAGCTCATCAAATCAACGTTTTTAATGCTCAAAAAGGTCCTTGTTTGCGTTGATTGGTGAGAGCTAGCAGTGTCGTCTTCGGCGGTTGGTTTTCCTAATCTCTTCGAAGAATTTCGGCAAACAAATGGTTGTGTACCATTCAGAATTGACTGTTTTACCTTACGCGCACGAACAACTTTTGTGGGCTTTGTCTCATTCTGAAAGACCCACGCAGTCTACTGCTGCTTACTTTCAGGTTATATGCATAGATCCATGATTCATCACCTGTCACGATATGGAAGCACCGCAATCGTATTTTTTTAGCATTTCCTTCGACCAATCAACAGGAGCCATTTTTTGAGCTGATCTCAAATTGTGTGCAATCCAACTCCTCCCAATTAAGTTCCATTTTTAACCATCACAATTTTTTTAATTTAGCACAAAAAAAAAATTCAAAACCAAAAACCAAATTGAGTAAACCTAACCCCAAAATGTCAAACTTCCCTATAAAAACGTTAGTCGAAATTCCGAAATATAAAAGACAGCCCTCGTACCCACCTGGCCAGGTAATACCATCTGATGTCGGTGGCGAATGCGAAAATTACCATGCCCATCAACATTGGCACGGAAATCGCGATCAAGGTCTTCTTTCTGCCGATCCTATCGGCCAGATGCCCAAATACGAACGGTCCCACGGCCTTCCCGATTGCTAGGAGAGCACCCAGCAAACTTATGTGGAAGACATTGATCGGAGCATTTAGGGGACTCTCCGAACTTTGAAGTTTCGGTATAACTGGGGACGTCCATGATAGGCCGACGCCGCCGGCAAACCCCAAGAGGTCGGCTGCGATAATAATAATAATAATTAATAGGTTATACTTTTATAAGGTCAGATAGATTCACGCGAGGTGATGTGTATTTACAATGTGTTTAAATTAGGATCTTCTCAAAAGGTATATTTGGAACAGTTGTGGATTAAAATCCAATTTAAAACTGTATTATACGGGGTGTGTTAAGGGGGCGATTTTTTCATCTATAAAAGTAAAAAAAAAATTCGTTCACATTTAGATGTCCATATTAGAGCTCCAGAGGGTTCTTGGCAAACTTACTGATTATTATTATCTGGACATATACATTTAAATAAAATACATCTGATTATTTTGGTAGATATGGATGGTATGCCCCTGATTTCTCTTACAATAAATATTATTCCCACAATCTACAATCATTTCAAAAGAAATTTAATTTCTTGATTTTTTTCAATCCGATGTATTATTTTTAGTTAAAAAAATAAAAAGCTCTTCTCTGCCATATCATTAATGTGACAGCATATAAAGAAAATAGTTTTTATTTTTTAGTGAAAACCATACTATCAACTAAAAAAATTAATATATCAAATCTGCTCATAAATGAATAAAGAAATATTTATAACATAAGTTCATATGAGGTTTTCTTGTTTTTTTCTTTCTTCAATTTAAATCTAATACATTTTCAAAATAAGAGTGTTCAAAATTTTTTTTCTTGCATTAATGCGTCCCACTTGCGCCAACTATAGTAACAGATAAAAGTTATAGTTTGATAGACTTCAAGAAAATTATATTTTTTCAATAAAAAATGTTCCCCAAGCTTCAGATCATGTATTAACACACTGACATTAATTTTAATAATCCAGTCAAGAATATCTTTGACGTTTCGACTCCTTTAATGACTTTAAAAATAAATAGAGAAGAACCACCATGGTTATAAGATACTCAAGCGAATCTATAGTTGGAATTAGTTGGTATGTACTATTTTATGGGGACTATCTCTACTTACGAGGGCAGCGTATTTGAGTTTTCAGACCTTTTTGATCTCTCTTGCCGGGTTCTCATACTTTGTAATTTTTTCGACCTCCGTTTTAAAAACGTTCTCACTAAGTGGGCACGCCACATCTATAATAAATGCATGTTCGTTTTGTTTGTCGATGGAAATGATGTCAGGTCGGTTGAAATCCACAGTTCTATCTATCGGTCGTCCCAATAGAGCAGGCGGGTGTTGGATTCCAGTACAGGTTCTGGTGAATATTGATAATAGGGCGGGTGGTTATAGAGGAGGCCATTTTGATAGTTCTATGTAGACAATTTTTGCAACTTGGTTGTGGCGGCCAAGGCATAATTGTTTCTCCAGGCTTACCATACTTTCGGCATATGTCCACCACGCTTTTCTTTAGACATTTTTTTTTCTTATGATCTGGTTTTTATCGTACGTGAGTGAGCCTTTTTTGTCTAGGCGCTCATCCTGTAGAGTCTTCGGGTATTTACCATGATTCAGTCCTACTCGCCCCAGGTTGCCTTTGAGTTTCTGTATGGTTTCTTAGATAAATATTAAGTGCGAAACCAGGAGTCCGCTTAGAATATTAGGTCGATAGCCGATCGGTTCTGAGTTAAGCAGTGTTGGCAATGGGTTAAGGGAGAAGATAAACCAAAGTGGACTGAGGCTGTGCCCCTTGGAAAATGCCTTTGCGAATGTAAATTTCCCCCGATCTGTCGCTGTCTAGGTGTAGTTGGGTCCGCCACCGAGTCATCAAAAAGGTTAGTATATATTTCTAAGGTTTTCTATTATTATTATTATTATTATTAATATTATTGTTATCTTTATTATTACTGTTATTGTTCTTATATTATTATTATTATTATTATTATTATTATTATTATTGGAAGACAATAACACAACGTACCTATAAACACAGCGAAATATAAGAACGCAGAATCCGATTTCTTCCCTTCTTGTTCCGGTTTTAGATATTGGAAATCCTTATCGGCGGGGTCGTTTGTGGTGGGTTTGTAGACGACTTCGTAGCCAGTTTTTTTGCTATTCAACAAAGCGGATTCGGCAAATTGCTTAACCATTTTTATGTGCGTCGAACCCAGTGAGCAAAGTAAACCCAGCAAACAAATGATTTCTACGCCAACCGTTGTATTTACACTTAAAAGTCGCGACACATTGTTCCGAGGCTTAGTGTGGATGTGCTGACGTTGACGCAGATAGAAGTCCTATACAGGGTGATTCGTAAAGAAGGACATCAAAATACAGGAGACACGGGACGGTTAAAGTTGAAATTTTATTCTGAATTGTTTCCACGGTACAATAAAAAAAATTGACAGTTTTAGTTTGTCGCGAAAAAATCTGAAACAATGTTCAGTTTTTCTTAGAAAAGATACTCTTCTTAAGGCCTTCTAAACTCTGTCGGTTTTTGTCTTAAAGCATTTTTTATAATTTTTTTTTTGAGGACAATTTAATACATCGTCGGCGGCCCTAAGTGGTACATGCATTTGTATCACATTTTCAAGTAAATCCAAAATATTTTGGATTTGTATTGCCATTTTTCTTAAGTCTATAGTATGCAGATTACATCGCAGAAAACAATCATTGGAAATATTATATTGATGATATATAAATATTTACTAATTTAATATTTATATGTTGATGCGGTCTATATTCCACCCGACGTGGATACCTTGACTGACGAAGAAGATATGAACGATAACATAAATCTATAAGAGTTTGGGGAACCAACTGATATAGTTTGACCTTTCGAGTTACATACACCGAATGATACAGCTTCAACTACTTCAACAGTGCTGAACCTGAATGGGACTTATCATCTGATGAAACCCTGGAATTCAAAAGAAGACGTATGCTTTCTGCAAACCAGAGGCTTGCTTCTACTACCAAAATGGAAGAAAGGTCAGATTGAGCACACTCACGCACCTATAACTCCGCTTGAAATATTTTTTTATGTTTTTTGATGACGAAGTGATTTGATTTTAAATCTTACATTGCTTTGCGACTTTTAAAAGCTGATAAAACAATTACTAAAAGAATGATAATGATGATAATCAACGTCATCTCATGATTGTTCATGCTAATAAAGCCCGAAGGAGATGTAGAATGTGCCACAGCCACACAATTTATGTTTGTAATAAGTGTAATGTGCATTTACATACTTCATGCTTTGTAAAATATCACCAAAAATGAAGCCGGGTGTTACCAGTGGTGCGCTCACGCACAATAAAATATTATATCAGGTTCTATTTGGAAAACAATGTACTTTTAGTTGTTTTCTGTCTAATTTGATTTTTCATTTGTATATTTCTGTATATGTTGCATCTTATGTGCCCTAAAACATTATTTAATGTTTTTTCCCAGTGGTTCGTTTACGCACCAGTATTTTTTTGTATGTTTCGAGTTTATATATACAACAAAATAAATAATTTCATAGAAAAAAAGTATTTTTTATTTTTTTTATGCTTGGGATAATATGGGTTAAGAATATTAGTGATAACGTTATGGTTATGTGGAACGTAACAAACGAAAACAACATTTATTTAAAAACAGCTAAATAAAACAACGCCAGTAATTTTCCTATTAAATAATTTAATCGAAAAGTTTCAACCTCCAATCATTAGCAAAGTAACTGATGCCGAAGCTTAATGCCGAATTTTATCTACTAAGCAGTTCCTGGATCGCGGGTAACGATTTGCCTTTGGTCTCGGGAATCACGGCGTAAATGAAAACCGCGCCTATCAACGAGCATCCGCCGAAAACGAAGAAAGACTCCGGCACCCCCAAGCGAGGGCTCAGCACCGGATACGAGAAAATTACAACGAAAGACACCAAAGAGCAGGTGGTGGACGCCAGAGCTGTAGCGAAAGATTTCACATTCGTGGGGAAAATCTCGCTCACCACCGTCCAAGAAACCCTGCCCAAACCGATGTTAAAACTCACGTTGAAGAGGAACAAGGAGGAAATCGGGAGCCACCACAGATCGGCCACCACGTCGCACTCGTTCCTCTGAAGCAGGAAATAAACCCCTAGCGAAATTACGGAAACAGCTGATCCGATTGAAGAGCTGAGAAGCAGGAACTTTCTACCCAGCTTTTCGACGGCTGTGGGTGTTAATAGAACCGCGACTACTTGAATGGCACTCACCAAAGTGCTGGAATACTCGGCGGATATCGTACTTTGGGTGGAACGAAATATGGTGTGCAAAAAACTGTAGACCACGTTCACCCCGGACAACTGCTGGATTATCATCAAACCCTGACTGATTGCGAACGCTTTGCCGCTGGCCTTAGTGGCAAACAGTTCCCTAAAACCGCCCTTTCGATCACCGGCGGAATCGATAAAACTTCTAATTTTCGAAACGTCTTGCGTCGCTTCCTGCGCTGATTTCCTGTGCAGTTTCCTGATCGCCTTGCGTGCGGAAGATTCGTCCCCGATTTTTACGAGATAGAACGGAGATTCCGGCATAAACAGGGGGAAAAATATGAGAAATATTTGCAGAGGTAGCAGACACGAGAGACAAAAGGTTCTCACGTTTAAATAGGGACCCGCGGAGTAAGAATAGAAAAAGCCCAAGGCGACGAACACTCCTTGGATGCAGCTGAATTTGCCCCTGTTGTGATCTTGGGTTATTTCGGCCGTGTAGATGATGAGCGCCGTGAAGCATCCAGCGATTCCAACGCCGTGAATGAACCTAAAATAGAGGTTAACTCGTGCTCGAAAGTCTGCGTGGTTCCCATGGCAAACCTGGCGACGTAGTAAAATCTCACATCCCGTGCGAACGCCAAGATGGTAAGCGCCACCGTCATGCAAGCAGCTACCAGTATCAGGGTCTTCTTCCTTCCGATACGATCGCAGAGGTAGCCGAAGGCAAATGGACCCGCAGCACCTCCGATGCTCAGCAGAGCTGTTATTAGACTGACTTGGAGGTCATCGACGGGAGCGTTAAGGGGGTTGTCCGGACCTCGAAGTTTTGGTACCACTGGAGATGTCCACGAGTATCCAACTCCCGAGACGAACGCTATCAAGTTGACTGAAAATAAAAATTATATATATATTAAGCGCCAAAATTTCCCAACCTGACATAGATGCAGCTCCTTTATCTTCTTAGTAGGCTGCGCAAAAAAAATTGAAGTCTTGCGTCAAATAGATTTGTATTGACAGCATTTTAAACAAGACGTGTCCGAAAAAATATCGCAAATAACGCAAATTGAGTATAGAGCATATCCGTTTGCAGATAAGTGGCGAAGCCTGTGATGTCGCCAGAAACGTCACTAACGATTGGCTGGAGAAGACGTTGCCAAAACTAGCAGAAAGGTACCCTGCTGACGACGTTTTTAATGTTGACGAGACTGGTATTTTTTACAAAATGACGCCAGATAAAACTCTTAAATTTCGAAGCGGAAAGTGTGTGGGTGGAAAACTTTCAAAAGAACGTAAGAAGAAGAAGATGAAGAAGTTGATCTGGGACCACCATCAACCATTCAGTTAAGCTACTAGAGAAATTTTTTATGTATCGGGGGAAGATGCCCCTCTCGAAGAAATGGTGAAAATACAATCCAAAGAACGAGATGCGTATTGGCATACTAAAAAAATTCAAAAGAAAATGACCGATTATTTGAAAAATTAAATGTAGTTCTTAAAGTAAAGTTCCTAAGTAGATGTTAAAATATGTATATATAAAATATATACTTATTGTCAAATATTTTTTGTATTTATAAAATTTAGATTAAGTCGGCGGCCAATGTCGGCTATGATGACGTCAGTGCTGTGTCATAGCGTCAGTTGGTTTGTGATTTATAATGTATTTATTTATAAAAGATTTGTGCTTATAGCAGACTTACCTGTAAATGCGGACAAATATAGAAAACTCGAGTCCTTTTCACCGGCGCTGTTCTTCTCTGGCCACTTTCCCGAATTCCTAAAACTCGCGGAAAGTGGCCTGTAAACAATGACGTTCTTGTCATTGGTGTCGTTCGTACCCTTAAAATGTCTCACTTCGACAGACTCATCGATACCAGTTGCCATATCGCATCGCGATACTTTGATTAGATAGTTAAATAATCCATGTAATCCATACGCGCGGATCGTGGGACCTACTGAACCAAAACGTTTATTTTTCTGTACCAGATAAGGTTCGACGCGTCATTTCTTATCTCTCCGTATTAAATCCCGTATACCTATATTTGCTTAATAAGAGTTTATCTAAATCTTTCGTCAAGCTTCGTAGTGAAACATTATGCGGTTTTCTTTTGACATCTTCCGCGGTCCGTTTAAAAAATTGGACTTTACAAAATTGCACGCGTTCCAAAATCAAAGTTGATGGCAAACGCTTCAAGCGTTTTATTTTTATATTTTTTGTGTTCGCCAAAAGCCTTCTAAGCAAATCAAATTAGTAGATAAACAAAGGGGGTTCTGCAACAACATAACTTCAAAAACTTACAGTCGCCAAACGTGGGGCCGCGATGCTTGTAGCGGGTACTACGCCCCCAGCGGGGCCCCATGTGAAATGTTCAAAAAACCGAGATAACGCACATAACTAAGGTCTAACCGATTTTTCAAATAAGTAGTTCGAACTAACTAAAATTCACAAGGATTGCCCCCAGAGACGCCATAATTTTGCGGAAAAGAGTTAAACGTGAATACACCGGAATTAGCCCGAGTGTAATAGCTAAAGGCTACCAAACGACTATTAGAAACCTAAAGCAAAGTTCTCAAAAGTAATGTAAATTACACGCCTAACCCCGTTTTACAGAAACTTCGACCTAGGTGAACCATGACTAAACTCAGCCATATATTCGAGGATGTTTACCAGGTGGATTCTATTTCTATCAATGCCACTTATACGTAGCCTACGAAGGCTGCCTTTTATATTTCGGGATTTTCTGAAACTAGTCCTGTCATTTGGCGACTAACGTTTTCATAGGGAAATTTGACATTTTAAGGTTAGGTTTACTCAGTTAGGTTTTGGCGAAAGAGTGTTGTTTGTGTTTTTTTGTGAAAAATTAAAAAAAATTTAACTGTTACAACTTTAGACGTAGACTAATTCAACAGTAATGCATCGGTGAACTTAATTCGACTTTTGGAGTTAAAGCACCAACTAGGACTACTGTTTATCGCTGGTGAAGGTCGTCCAAAATCGGTAATTGCCCAAGAAAACATTGATGTACGATCGTCAATGACTTACCATGAGATTGAGATATCTTTGGGCTTAGTGGGACCAGCATACATACAATTTTGCATGAACATTTGGCAGCAAAAAAAAAATTGTTTGCGATGGATTCCACATCAGCTCAAAAAAAGGCTCGTTTTGATTCGTCGAAGGAAATGCTAAAACAATATGATCGCCGTGCTTCCAAACACGTTGTAACTGTTTCTTTGGTGAAAGGTAAAACAGTAAATTCTGAATGGTACACAACCATTTGAAAGTCTTCGAAGAATTTAGAAAAACCAACCGCCGAAGACGAATCATTCTTCACGACGACAATGCTAGCTCTCACCGATCAGTACAAACAAAGAACTTTTTGAGCATTGCAAATCTTTATTTGATGAGCCATCCACCATATAGTCCTGATTTAGCACCTAATGACTTTAAGATTCCCATTAAGATTAAGATTAAGGAGAGCTAGCAGTCAGCCTGTGCGTCACTGCGACCCAGTGGATCTATTGTGACTCGCTCCATAGCTATAGAGCTTTATCCAGGTTCGTCTCTCTAACCAGACTCCACAACTTCGATAATAACTCCCTCGTATAGCTCTCTGCCTCTGGTTTGGTATCGCCCAGCAGATGGAAATGCACTCTCGCTAGGCCTTCGCAGTCGCACAGTACGTGTGCGGCTGTTTCCTCCTCCTCCTTTCCTCCTTTCTTCCACTACCATCAGGCTTAGATGTTTCTTAAGCCTGCAGACCTATCATTATTCTTACGGCTTTCCTATTGTAGCTTAGTAGGTCGGCTGTAAGATTGGCCGATGGGACCCTTAGGAATTCCTTGGCCTGTCTTTGTCCCGGCATGTCCCTCCTCGGTCCATCCCATCCCTGATGGCTGTTTTTGCAACAGATTTGGCCACCCCACAAAAGGGTTCGACGACCCTTCGCGGGCTGCGTCGTCTGCGCCTTCATTACCTTTATGCCCTCCGTGCCCCGGTACCCATGATAGAGTAACTTTGTTCTGGCTTGCTATCTCGTTTAATGCCTTATGGCAGTCCAGAACTAACTTGGATGTTATTTTATTAGATTGCAGGGCCTTTATAGCCGCTTGACTATTGGTGTAAATTGCAATTGATTTGTTACGGATCTTCCTCGCTTTTATTTCTCTTGCGCAGTGTTCTAGTGCAGTGATCTCTGCTTGGAATACTGTTGCTAGCTTACCCATTGGAATAAAGATTTTCCTTTTCGTCCTGGGTTCATATATTCCGGATCCTACCGCTTCTTGAGTTTTTGAGCCATCAGCATACCAGGTTATTTCTGCCTTGATTGGTGGCCCGTTTTCTTCAGCAAGTGGGAATCTCGTTGAAAAACATTAAAGTCCTATTTGTTGGTAGCTTATAGTTTTTTATTACAAATCCCGAAATATAAAAGGGAGAAGTCGTAAGTTGTACGGAGGATGTTTCTCGATACTCTCCATATATATTGGAGAAATTACCGAGCAGCACAATCGAGACAAGCTGGGGATTTAATTAAAAGTTCATGTTAGTCCAAACTATCCAAACCTCCACAATACTCGAGAATATACGATTAATCCAAGTGAAGGTTGGAACACGAAGACCAATGCGCACGGCAGTTAACATTGGGGTTACTTAGGAAATAATGTGGACTATTTAATATTTTATATACATTTTATTTGGATAATTATTACTTTTTCATTGTTTTGGACATTTTTTCCCTATATTGTATTGTTATTTTTCCCCTACACTCTTGAAATAAAGTTGACAATCAGGAATACTGTTTAATTCGAACTGTAATAAATAAAATATGTACAACTAACGGATTCCAACGTTTTAGTCGTTACAAATACTAAAATGTATTCACCAAGGTTAATGTTGACACGAGGTATGTCTAATGGAAATTAGTACTGAAACAGTCAAACGTAGCTCTTATGAAAACCCAAAATGGCCGATTACCATTGCAACTACAATATATTTATTTACAATTGTTATACGTTACTAAACGCGATTTAATTAAAGCTAAATATGCGTTATTCAATTGAAGAAAATGTAACCATAATTAAGTGGTATTATGCAGAGAAGTGTCCGATATGTTTTCATTTTATTTTCCTGCTAAAACTATGCCTTCGATTTCAAGAATTAACTCCAAAGGCATCGCAATAAATAACTGCAAATGTGCAGCTGAAAATGAGAGAGGTTTGAACATTTGAATTTTAATTTGTAAATCTTAACTAGTTACAGAACGCTATTTTCTGAGTACAAACCAATGCGCGACTATTTACTCAGTATTTCTTGAATTTCGGTCAAAGTTCTGCCTTTCGTTTCCGGCACCACGAGGTACGTAAAGGCGAATCCCGCCAGACAACACGCCCCTAACAACCAGAACGTTTCGGCCATACCGATGGCTTCGCTTATGATCGGAAAGCCGATGGTGATGACGAAGGAAGTTCCGAAGGTGATAGCTGACGCTAACGCGGATGCAAACGATTTTATATTAGACGGAAACACTTCGCTCAAAACCGTCCAGGAAACCGGACCCAGTCCCAAATTGAAGCTTATGATGTAAACTACGAGGCACACGATAGGCAGCCACCAAAAGTAGGGTAGCAGTGAGAACTGCATCCGCTGAAGGAAAAAGTAAAGCCCCAGAAGTATGATGGACACTCCACAGCCAAGATCGGACATTAGAAGGAGGAGTTTCCTACCTAACCTTTCGATAACGGACGAGGTGATACCCATGGTGGCCACTTGAATCAGCCCGACTAGAACCGCACCATATTCGGGAGGTATCGCACCTCCAGCTGCACTGAAAATATTCTGGAGGTAACCTGTTACCGCGTTGATGCCCGACAGCTGCTGTATCACCAAAAGTCCAGCGGAAACGACGAAACCCTTCCTGAATCCCCTGGTTTTAAACAGTAACCCGCAGCCCCCTTGCTCGTTGCCCGAGATCTCGATGGTTTTCTGGATCTGCAGGTATTCTTTTTCCACGCCCTCTCGCGGCCTGCTGCGCAGTTTCATCAGGGCTTCCTCGGCCGCGTTTCTGTCTCCTATTTTGGTCAGGTAGACCGGAGATTCGGGATTGTAAAATGTGAAAAGCACCAGGAATAGAGCCAGGGGCGCGAGACACGAGAGGCACAGCGTTTTTATGCTCATGTAAGGGCCGACGATGAACGGATAGAGGACGCCACTGGCTATGAACAGGCCCAGAAGGCAGCTGAATTTGCCGCGGTTGCTGTCGTTGGAAATCTCCGCGATGTACATGGTGAGCACCGCGAAGCAGCCTCCTATGGCAAAGCCGTTAATTAACCTGAAACAGTAAATAACTAAATGCCCTTGAAATACAGGGTGATCAAGTTTTCAAAAATAAAACATACTTTTTTAATATCTCATTTGGCACACATAAAAAATAAAAATTACTTCTACAATTTGCGATTATTTCTAAAGACATTTGATTTCTTGTAAACTACTGCGCTGCTAAAAATGACGAATTTACTTTTCATAAAATGCATTATTGTTCAACAGTTAATCCATTCTGGATACGGGAAATGCAAAACCAAAACCACGGGTCACTTAATGTGTGAAAGTCGAAGGAAACACTTCAAAGTTATGTTTCTTAACGGGCCTTGATATTAAAACTTTTTGCCGAATGCTCTATTATAAAGGTGATAGAAGTATGACAGTTCGATGGTGTTCTTCTATATATAATATATCCGCCAACTATACTAAAGCTAAACTAAATCAAGAAAAATAAAATAATTTTTAAGTTCATCACATGCGTAAACCCAAACATTTTTTTTACGATTGCCTGAGAAAACAGTCGCAACTCTATATAGCGAAATTGGAGGGACTGCTTTTTCTTCGTTATGAAGAGTTATAGGCACTTGAAAAATAACAATAGGCATATGTGTTCTTTAATATTTAGTTATTTTATATATATATTTAACATCTACCTAGGAACATTTTATATAAATATTTAAGAACTACATTTAATGTTTCAAATAATCGGTCATTTTCTTTTGAATTTTTTTTGTATGCCAATACGCATCTCGTACTTCGGCTTGTATTTTCGCCATTTCTTGACAAGGGTATCTTCCCCATGATACATAAATAAAATTCTCCAGCAACTTAACTGAATATAGGGCTTGTTGAATGGTTGGTGGTGGTCCCAGATCAACTTCTTCATCTTGGTGCTCTTCCTCACCCTTTCTTGCTTGTTGTAATATGGCTTCCTCTGTCAAGTCTGCTGTTGTAGACAAATCCTGAACTATCACCATAAAATGTTGCAATTCCTCACTTGCAAACGTAATTGTACGTAACTGCTTTATCTATTCCCTTAGTGGCTGATCATCTTCCAAGTTCTGTTCGCATTCTGTCTCGGTAATAAGTCCTGCATGACAATAGGAGAATTGTTTCTGCTGTTACCTCTTTCCAAGCTTTACTAATAAAGTTGACTGCTTCTAGCATATTAATGGAAAATTTGTCTTCGGACTGGATCATTTCCATTAAAATCTGTTTCCTGTATCGACTCTTACGACTTTTTATTACGCTGTGGTCCATCGGCTGTAATACACTTGTTGTTTTGGCTGGAAAAATGCCAAATCAATAATTCGTACATTTGGAATATTATCTAAGGGAAGTAATATTTTCCTCCCCTTTCATTCTGCATCCATTTCCGTATCTCCTCTTCAAAAATTTGCGCTGTCATCCGTGCAGACTTGTTTGCCTTGTAAGTGACCGGCAAACGCTTGATGCTCTTAAAACATCGTGGGTTAGTTGATTTTCCAATCACGACTAGCTTTCTTGTCTCTCTCCCACTCATATTGTCAGCTACTAACACTGTTATACGTTCTTTAGAAAGTTTTCCAGTCGCATCATTTGGTAAAAAATACCAGTTTCGTCGGCATTAAAAATATCGTCAGCAGGTTACATTTCTGCTAGTCTTGGCCACGTCTTCTGTGAACATCACAGGCTTCGCCACTAATCTGTCCATAATTTATACCATGTCTCTGTTTGAACTTCCCCAACTTCCCTTGAAATCGATAATGCCAAGCTGTTCAGCAAACTTTTCTGCCTTCAGTTTTACGATAGGTCCAGAGAGTGGTACAGTTTTAAGACGTTGCTGTTGCAACCACTGCAACATTGCCCCATCTGCCTGCCTGCCGCTTCAGCATAATTTTCAGTTGATCGCTCATAATCGAAAAACCCTGTGTATTTTTAAGTCCACCGTATTTTTGGCTTATTGCCCCGAATGGAATTGCCCCGCGTCTTCCGACTTAAGATTTTTTTCGACGGGACGTACCGTTTTTGAGAAAACAGATAACAGATTTTTTTTTTTACGCTGGATGACCAACCCGTATGACCAACAGCTACCAACATCTCGAGTTTAGTGTTGAGCGCAGATACTTTCGTGGAACTCGATTTCATCGGTTTTTGAAAGTGATAATAGTCTTTATTGAGATATTTACAAGATTTAGGCAAAATAACTTAATACTAATACAAACATAAACGGCGAAGTCTACTTTAAGATCTTGATCGCAGCGACTCAATATTAACCGAATATTACAATAATAATCAACAAGCAATAATAATAAGTGTCAAAAAAAAATTAGAGGCTTGAAGACAATTTTGCTTTGATCGGTTTGTATGTAAAGCTTTTTACTGCGAGTCCCTGTAATACTGCAACGCATGCATAATACACTTTGCATAATTATTCGGCCATCTTGTGCGGGGTATAAGCTATGCTAAAATGGTATTTTAATATACGTATGTAATGTAATTTAATATAATTTATATAAAAAAGTTGACAATTTTGAAATTTAAAAATAGGATTTTCCATTTAAAATATATGTTTTATTCGCCGCGTTTTTTTGAACCACCCTATATAACTAACAATCGTTTTAAATGGTGCGTCCTAACAATATTGACAACGTCGATATTCACCGTTTTGTCATAACTTTTTAAACCAACGAGAAAACGAATTTTAATCACTTTACCGACTCTCCCTGTACAGACCCGTAAAAACAACTACAAAATTCAAAAAATTTAACCCACCTTGCCAAATAATACAGCCTTATGTCAGTCGCAAATGCTAATATCGCGAAAGCTATCGCTATAGGAATCGCCACCATGATAACCGTCAGCTTTCTACCCTTTCTGTCCGACATGCTGCCGTAAGGGAACGGTCCTATCGCGGCGCCCAAGCATAAAATGGCGGCTATAATGCTTTCCTGGGACGCATTGATTGGAGCGCCCAAGGGACTGTCCGCTTCGTGGAGCTTTGGCAACACCGGAGACGTCCACGAGAAGCCTATACCGGCGCAAAACGCTACCAAATCGGCTGAAATGTACAATATACAGGATGTTTTCTAATATGTTTTTAATATCCGTAATATCACCTTACATATTTTATGACAGCATGCAGAGAATGAGATCGTTTTTTAAGGAAATCAGCCACTGATTAAATCTTTTTTTGTGAAAAATAAAATATCTATCTAAAACATAACGGCTTGCTTTCAGTTAAAGTATGTTCATAGATATAAGAAAGTGACTAACTGATACGAATTAAGGAAAGACCCGGGAAGCTGTTAGAATGAAATATGGCCGAACAGGTCCTTACTTTGCTTAGAATTTAATTATTTGAGGTTTGGTTACGAAAGATACTAAACAATATATATTTATTTATGTATGTATTTGTGTTTGAATCTAAAATAAAATTACAAATTATTTTTCTTACTACTTTTTAAAGTTTTAATGAAATAACATAATATCCTATCAACAAGATAAATAATAAACGATTCTTATTTCAATAATTTACACTATTTACTATTAATATTTTTTAACAAAATCCTCTGTTAATAATTTGATAACAATCTAGAAGCATAGATACTAGATAATTTGTTGAACGTGTCCTTCACCTTGAAGGGTCAAATGTCAAATGTCAAACAACCTCTTTGACAACAAAATTAATAATTCTTTCAAACACAGCCTACTACAATGATAAGACATAATTATAGAGATCTCAAAAATACACGTCAAAGTTTACGTATTTTAGGTTCGTACTTCGATTTTTTGAATTGTTTTAATAAAACAGGTAGACGATTATTTAATTTAATTTAATTGTCTAAATATTTGCTTCTAAATGTTTTTTTAAATGATCAAAAACACTCTTAGTGCATATCTGTTGTTTTCGGTTTATGACTTTTATTCTCATACAAGCGATAAGTAAGGTTGTGGGAGATATGATGGTGGGTCTTGAGACTGGAAATCGGGTGGGGTTGACAATGTGTGACCTTAGCAAGGCCTTCGACTGTATCTCGCACGATCTTCTTAAACAGAAGCTGTTTAGGTTTGGATTTCGCGGCGGAGCCCTTAAGCTAACAGAATCTTATTTATTAGACAGGGAACAGTTTGTGGGCGATGACAGACGTAAATCATCTTCGGTGAAGGTCTCCAGTGGTCCTATAAACGTAAGTTTGTCGATCTTCCACAACAGGTTCCAGTCTCCCCGGGTATATTCTCCATAATCTTTTAGAAATTCACAACTAATATATTTGAAGGTGTGTCTAGTTATCCAACACGAGCAAAAAAACTTATATGAGTTCCAAAGCACAGACTTGTTACATCAGACAAAAATTCTTTATACATTAACTTGTACAAATATGCTGCTAGATAGGTACGGACATATGGCTTTTGGGGAGTTCAACGCAAATATTAAAGTGTTGGTTATCGAAAATTGCTTCTATAGTGTGGACGAGTATTCCATTAAAATAAAAAATCTAAATTGAAATCCTTGGCTTACTGAAATGTGTGAAGATCATAGCATACTATCTTGCATCCGTATTAGTGTTGTTGACCTTTACATTTGTTATAGTTCACTGTGTTATTTATAAAATACGTTTTTTTACGCCTTTATACTTTTTGCATTTTAGTTTTGTATTTTACCTTATATTGTATTATTATTGTGATCAATAAAAAAAACTCTTCTTCTTCTTCTTAAATTCTGTATCCGTTTTTGTTTTTTTTTCTAAAATCTAAAATGTCGTTATCTCTAATCTTTCTTTTACTTTGTCTTGTCGTTGAAATTTGAATACGGTCTCTGTTATTTTCGATTACTTTTTTTTTCAGAGGTAAAATGTAATGGCCTGCGCGTATCGAGATATTGCTGGAGAATTATCGAGATATCATTGTCTAAGGTATTAACAGATCAACCTACTACAATCTCGTGTACACGTTACAAACACCAATTTTTGCTTAAAATGCACGTAATGCACGCAGAGATGTTATGTTGTGGATATATTTATAATCAAACACACTCGGGTATAAGGGATTTGCGAATATGTATAGGGGTCTAGATCTTACCAGTGAAAGCCGCTAGGTACATAGAAAGGGTATCGGTGGTCTTTTCAGGTACGTCTGGTTCAAAACATTGAAACTTCTGACCCCATCCCAGGGGATCGTTGAGTTGCGTGTTCGCCGGTTTGTACACAACTTCGTTCAGGTTATGAGCTAATTCGGTATCTTTTTTATCGACATTAATGCTCCCATTATCGGATCTAGGGAGAATATCGACACCGTCATTTTGGTGAGCCATTTTGTTGCTTTCAGATTGACCGATCTAGGCTAATGTGCGACTGAAACGATGTCAAGTATGACGGCAGTTTTTAAATGAGCGATGCGTTATTTTCTAAAATCCTCGAGTCTTTGACAAACATTGGTCTTTCTTATCGTGTTTGCTTATAATTCTTCACAATAGGCTGACTAGTTAAATAACACTGGCGATTCCAACCAGAGAGGTAAAACTGTGGGAGAATCTAGTTGCACACGTAACGCTGATCTACTAACGCAATTCACATGATCAACAGAAGTCGGGCAAGTGAATCCTCTGGTTTCGTAAATTGCAAAAGATCGTTAATCACTGTGATACTCAAGTTAATCACTAACGAAACTCGGTAATATCTTTGGGAACTTTTTTAATATCAATTTTCATGTTGTTGGTGGTTTACTTTATATAATAATAATGATAGTCCTTGTTGCAAAATAAATAAGAACTAAAAGTTCAGATTTTCACGAAATATATATTCACGTGATAATTGTTTGGACATCACCGTGTCTTTTTCAAATGTAATATTTACAAACTACCTTAATGTTTTGGTGAGAATTTAAGTTTAATAATGGAGAGGTATTTAAATCTAATTGATCGTTAAGCAATACATTTCAATGTCTCATTTTGTTAATCTCTATGGCTTCCAATACATTTAATTTTCTACTTTTTGTGGCTGTATGTAAAATATCAAAAATGTCGTCAAAAATGTGTTTTTCTGTGTTCAAGTGTGTAGCATAATTAAAAAAGGTTCTCCTATGTATGTAATTGTGTTAAACTGTTCGTGTTCTGTATTAGGTTTCGGATAAATACAGTTTACTGTTGTCTGGGTTAGTTTTTTATTTATAATTTTATCGATAATGGACGGATTTTAGCCGTTGTAATTTTCTGTTCAGAGTGGCTTATTAAGAAGTCTGCGTAAAAAAGAGTGTGGTTTGTAAATATTACATTTGATAAAGACACGGTGTTGTGGAAACAATTGTCATGTGAATATAAATAATTTCGTAAAAATCTGAAGTTTTAGTTCTTATTTAATTTGTTGATTTTCATTAAGTAAAAGCCACATCAGTTCAAGCCCTCATTGGATACTCTCCAGTGAAGCGTAACACTAGCTGTCTCTCCATACTTTTTTAAATTATCTCCGACTGTTGATTTTGTAATACTCAAGTCATTTGAAATTTTTTGCATTGATTTACTTCTGCAGTACTGAGATATGATAATTTCTCGCACTTTTTTGTTTGTTGCAACACCACGCGTCATTTTCTTATCAACTATAATACAAACTTGAAAGATACAACCCGAACTGACATCTCATTTATCTCAGCACACTACATTTTACCATCAATGCCTGGGTAGTATTGATTTCTTCCGTGCTATCGTAATGTGCCTAAATTGATTATTCAATCGACAAAGCAAAAAAAAAAAATAGATATAAAAACGTCTTTTTTATCATTTTTTACATCGTCCGAACATTTAGTTGTTAGTGCTTGTACTAACAAGAAATGGGTTATAGAGGACTAAACCATAGTTCATAATCGAAAGGACAAGTGATTGAGCTAAAAGTTCCCGTAAACTGACATTAAGGACAGTTCTATGTCTGTATTAACGACGCAAAACTAAATAAAACTTTTTCACCAACAAAGATTCATGTTTCACGAATCTAAGTCTACAATCATATGTAACACCGAGGTTTTCAATAAAATTCACAATTTTCCAACTTTCACCGTTAATTAATAAGTTAAATAATAATAATAAATTGATAAATACATTTGGGATAGGTTTAGGAGAAAAGAACATTACGTTGAAGATTATGACAATGACTTCCTTCCGCATTCTAAATATATCAACAGAACCTTATTTATTATACTGACAGTCCTCCGCCACTCTCAACAGATGATCAGGGTTATAACAAAATTCATATTACCTTTTTCGTTTTTGTTTTATGGTCATCTACTTATGGTGCTAATAAAAGTAACAACAAACGTCGTATCATATCCTTTGCATAAATAATCCGATATTAAGAAACCCTACGCATATCCGATTTCCGTAATAAGAAACAGGTGAGTCAATCGAAGATCTTCCGAGCTCAAATTAACTTCTCGTTTATAAAGACTAGTGGATCAATTCGCTGATTGTTATTTTTTATTAATATTTTTTTATTTAAAAAAAACGGAGCTTCTTATCGACAGGTACTTTTCGACCACCATATATTTTCTGTTTACCACAAAAGATACAAGATTTTGTATTGATATAAATCCTTCCTTAGATCCAGGCTGAACCACAATATATCGATGACAAAGGTCATCTATAACGAACCGCACAAAACTCAGCCGTAGTTCAGGCTCACTGCAATTGCGATATACTTAGCTTAAAAGTCACAAAAAAAGTTTACTCATTTCATATGTTTTCTGATATCAGTGTTCGAAGTGTTTTCGGAGCGCGAGCATTGAAGATGCCAAGTGAGATTTTGGCGAAACGTCTGCAGGATTCCAGTCGGAGTTCAACAAGCGAACGGATGATATCCCGGAATATAGTGTCATCACATTTTTCCATCCGCGAATCAATACGTGAAAAAAAAAAAAATATATATATATATATATATATATATATATATATATATATATATATATATATATATATATATATATATATATATATATATATATATATATATATATATATAATGATGACACTATATTCCGGGATATCATCCGTTCGCTCGTTGAACTCCGACTGGAATCCTGCAAATCCTGCATCCGACTGTTTTCGGAGCGCGAGCATTGAAGATGCCAAGTGAGATTTTGGCGAAACGTCTGCAGGATTCCAGTCGGATGCAGGATTTGCAGGATTCCAGTCGGATGCAGGATTCCAGTCGGAGTTCAACGAGCGAACGGATGATATCCCGGAGTATAGTGTCATCACATTTTTCCATCCGTGAATCAATACGTGAGAATAAATATATATATATATATATATATATATATATATATATATATATATATATATATATATATATATATATATATATATATATATATATATATATATATATATATATATATATATATATATATATATATATATATATATATATATATATATATATATATATATATATATATATATATATATATAATATATATATATAATGTAATTTAATTAGATTATATTCTGAATTGCTTTTTTTCATGTGGCTATCCGCCTTAACTTTTTTTTTAGATTCGTTTTTTGGAAAAAGCGTAAAATTTCCTTTCCAGTGCCGTCCAACAAGTGCACAAAAATTTTGTCTCACTTCGTAAAGTTGGAGCTTAATTATTTTATAAGTAGCTGATGATTTATTTGTCACTGCTACTGCGCCTTTGAAGTTAAACAATTCGAAGTATCGAAGTTGTATTTTAACAGGTAGTTTAATAATGTCGAGCCAAGAACCCCTTAAAGGAGCAGTTTGACGAAAGAATTATTCCATTAAATGGTCCCATATCTTGGACTCCCAGATCCCCTGACCTTTCGCCATTGGATTTCCTCCTGCGAGATCACGCAAAAATTGAGGTCCATGATTTTTTTATTTTTATTATGGTATTGGAAAACCCGCGAAAAAATGAACGCAAAACTAAACCGTACACAAAGCGCCTGCAATCTACATAAACATTATCGGCTGGGAATTTCGAATGCCAATGCTTAGTCGCTTCATAGAAAAGCCGGGGGCAGTCTTGGTGTAATAAAGATACCAGTAGTCGTTATAAATAGGTATCACTAACCGTGCGAGACTTCACAATGTTCTAATTCGCCGCTCGGTTTGTTCGTTGACGTCTCATATTGCAAGACTTTTGTAAGTAAACAACACGTTATCATTTTGCCGTAAAAATAACGATAATGTTGCTTTTAGCGTTATGATTAAAGTAGCGTTTGCAATGTTCGTTATTGTGGAGGGTTGTCTCGCTTATAAGGGACACCACCATGCCCATCGCGATAGAGATAGGAATAGTCCTGCGGTAAGGGCTCCTGCTGGACTTTTTCAAGGGGCCATACTAAAATCCAGACTCGGGCGAGATATCTATTCGTTCAGGGGTATCAGATACGCCAAAGCCCCTATAGGTGAACTCAGATTCAAGGTAATCGGAGATAGATGACATTTTAGGAAACTAAAAATTATAATAATGACATTAGTTCTTCAAACTCCTCAACCGACAGAACATTTTCATTGCGTAATATAAGGTCATATCAATTTTTTTTAAATGTTTGAAAATACAAAATAGCGCCAGAACGTTCTTCCTTCCTAGACTAGAGACCTATTTGAATAAATTTAAATGCAACAAGAAATTGGTAATAGTAGTTGTATATTCATAAATTCACTTGAGTGGCAAATTGCAAAACACAAAATGAAAAACATAAAAATCTATAATATTATTCGCGGTTATATGAAAAAATTAAAATACAATGCACAACATACAATTGATAACTAATTGTTTTTCAATAGTTCCCAAAAGAAAATTGTGTGTTTTATCTGTAAACACATGTATAAAAGGGCAGAAAACGTTCTCCTTGCTTTCCTGTTTTTAAATTTATCTAGATGAGCATGTACTTTTAAAAGTAACTAACTAAAACAAACCAAAACTCCAGCTTTAACCTTTACATTGGACAAAACTTTTTCGCTGACGCAAAAGCTCCTCCTAACTCCTCCTCTTCCTCCGGACTCAGTGCACGGTATTGGGCTAAAGGAGTTGCTGACCTTCTACAGGAGGGGCGGCATTCTGGACGCCCTCTAGAGCGGCCTGGGGGCACAACGGGCCCATCTGGTGGCCTAAGTGCTTCGACGCCCGCGAGGGCGCCCCCCTTTAATACCAATAATAATACCAGCTTCTCCTAACTTAGTGCTATTCGGGTTTGTGCTTTTACATCACATCAGGTAAAATTTTCAATATACATCTCTATGCATTGTACAAAAGTACTGTTCGGTAATACCCAATGCTTCTAATTTTTCTGAAGCCACGTTGGTTATCTACAAATGACCTTAATCTATCCAACAAAGCATGCTCAACCGCTACTTGAATACGAATTATATTATTAATCTTTTGTTTTCATTTAACTAAATGGAAATCGGACACAAACTGTAGTTCGTTACTTTTTTGTGAGTGAATTTATTAGTGCCTACACAACAAATATATATAAAATCACCATGAAAGTATTTTACTAAAGAAATGTATGTAACAATAATACTCTTGTTTGATCATTAGCGGATCCTCATTGCTAAGAGTCAATTAAGGACCTCTTTGATAAGTTATCAGATATCAAAATCCCTTCTAACGCAACCCTATTGTCTTTTGTTGTACAAAACTTATTTCCCAGCATTCCACCTATGGATGTGATAGATTTAGTAGATTTCACCCTCACTCGGAAACAGGTTAACCCATTGGTCAAACAAGATTTATTAGATTGCTTAGCGGTATCTTTAGACCAAAATTATTTTGAATTTAATGGACAGATTTACATCTCTAAGGAAGGTTTGATTATGGGAAACCCACTTACTCCTTTGTTAGTCGAGATTTTTATGGATAATTTGGGAAATATCATACTAGAACATCCTCACACAACACACAATACAATAGGAAAATTTTTAAAAAGCAATAAAACGAAATGTCCAAAATCTCAAAGATCAGGTGTCTACAGGTTGAAATGCGGATCTTGTCCAAAAAATTATATTGGACAAACAGGTAGATCCTTCAAGAAACTCATTAACGAACATAAAAGGGCGTTTAAAAACAATAGTTATTGTGCTACGCACTTAAACACAGAAAAACACATTTTTGACGACATTTTTGATATTTTACATACAGCCACAAAAAGTAGAAGGTTAAATTTATTGGAAGCCACGGAGATTAGCAAAATGAAACATTCAAATGTATTGCTTAACGATCAATTAGATTTAAATACCTCGCCATTAAACTTAAATTCTCACATTAACATTAATTAAGGTTTTATTTCGTGAAAATCTGAGCTATTAGTTCCTATTTATTTTGTATTGAACTTGAAAACTGAACGGCTACGTTTACACTGCTGCCACGTTTTGTCACTATTTCATCACAATAATAAATTTAGCGTATGAAGCAGATGAAGAACTGCACTCACCCCAAGCAGGAAACGAGAGAGTTTCCTAATGACTTGGCACATCTTGGCATCTAAATTTGGGATAAATTAATCGATACAAAGATTGTGAATAGGAAATCATTTGTTTAGAAATCCGTATAAATACTAACTGAAACGCATATTTCAGCCTCCCGTGCCCATCGAAACGTTTGAAGGCACTTACAACGCCACACAGTACGGTGCCATATGCCCGCAACCCGCTACAGGAGATCCCATGTCCGAAGATTGTTTACTACTCAACGTTTTTACTACCAAAGTAAGCATGGTTCACCCATAAAGCTCTATAAAGCTTAACTATTCCGTAGTTGCCCGGAGGACGTCGCAAAAGTGTAAAAAGGCCCGTTATCGTCTACATCCACTCCGGAGGTTTCTACTTTATGAGCTCGTCTTGGTTCGGCCCTCAATATTTCATGGACCAGGATATCGTTTTGGTCACCATCAACTACAGGCTTCAAACCTTAGGTGAGGTACCATAAATTTCGAAATTTCCCGGTGTCCCCAAAACAAAAAATCCATTAAAGTTAAGTCGATGCCGTTGGCTGGCCAATCCATGGTTCCGCCGTTCCCTATTCAATCCCCGGGATATTTCAGCTTCAGTCATATAATCAGCGCTGTTATATTTAGGGGTAAATCTTCTATATATTGCTCTATTTGGTGCTCTAAAAGTTGCAAATAATGATCTCCAGTTAACTTTTCATCTATAAATAGCGGACCCAAAATATGCCCATGTATGACACCACACCATACATTAATTGTCTAGGATTATTTTGTCTATAACAACCTTTTCTTGAATTGAACGAACTTTCCATAAAATGTTTTTCGAAAAATTGTTATTCTCATTACGTCTATTTAAAAGATGCAAACAAAACTGCATCCTCCATTGGGTTTTACGAAATGTAAATGCGGTCTTTCAAACTGAGTCGATTGATCACCGAGAAATACCTGTCTCTTCAAATACTCTAGTAATAGAGGTAGCGTCATAGAATTAAAACATTATGATTCCGGCATACTTGTTTAGCATTGAATACGTTATCGTTTTGATAGTGCTTTGTTTTACCGCACGGTTTGTTTATTTCTTAACCTTGGTTTCTCTAAAACCAGCCAATTGAAATGTTATCGAGATAAATTGAACGCACAGGATTCCTCGCCACCGGCGACGAACTGTCCCCGGGCAACAACGGATTGAAAGATCAAGTCTTGGCCCTGAAGTGGATACAAAGCAACATAGAATCGTTCGGAGGTGATCCGAATGCCGTCACCCTGTTGGGCTGCAGTGCGGGAGCAATTAGCGTGGTATCCCACATGATTTCGCCCATGTCCAAAGGTCTATTTCACCGCGGCATTGCCCTGAGCGATTCGGTGCTGGCCCAATGGGACGTACCTCACGACCAAATGGATCTGGCCAAGAGGCAAGCGAGGTTCGTAGGATGTCCGGACACTTCTTCGTCGGAAATTATCGATTGCTTGAAGACCAAGTCGGCTAAGGAGTTGGGACAATCGCTGCTTCAATTCGGGGTATTCCTTGGGTACTCAAATTCAATGGTTTCCTTAAAAGGTTAAGTTTCCAGGAGTACGACGGTGATCCGTTGCTTATTTGGAAACCCGTGGTGGAAAGGGACTTCGGTCAGGAGAGGTTTTTCCTGGAACATCCGGTCTTGTCGGTTCAAAAGGGCGACTTCTACAAGGTACCCTTCATTACTGGAATAACTGCTGAGGAATTTTCGTACAAAGCCATGTGTAAGGTGCAAGACGGTGGTACTGATAATACCGCTAATAAGTTGAATCCGTTTACAGATATCGTCAACAACGAGACTCTGTTGAACGAAATGAATGGAGATTGGGATAGGGTGGCACCTATATCGTTCCTTTACGAGAGGAACACCAGCCGGTCTAAATCAATAAGCGCGGCTTTAAAAAAGTTTTATTTCAATGACAGACCCATCGACAAATCCTCGGAAGGCAGGCTGGGTGAGGTATGCAACGCAAACAGTTTTTTCTTTCAAAGAAACTTCCACAGGCTACTGTAACACTATTCCTCTGCTCAAATCAAAGCAATCTTGTGTATCTAGCGTACTGCTTTTTAATTGTTCAATGAAGTGAAAGGAATTAAGTACGAAACTATGAGTTTTTCCCGTAAAGGGTTTTGCACACTGACCTTTTTGTTACGTTGAAGGGACCATAATGTTATCCTCAAAGCTCTGAAGAAGCCAACAGAATGAATGATTGGCAGAAGTTTTGTGAATAGTAACGCACACGCTGTTGGTGATTTAAACTATTTTCTACTTCTTCAGCTTTACGCTGATTCTACAGTGGGATTCAGCGGCAACAGGGCCATCAAACTCATTAGCGACAAGAGCCCGGAGTTGTGTTTTTACTATCGCTTCAGCTATCCAGGAAGATACAGCTTTTTCTACCTTCCCAACACCAACAACAAAACCTACGGTAACTCGCTTGACTGTGGTACGAGGGCACCGCCAAAATTTCCCGGCCTGAATATGAAAGAAACAAAGTAGAATAACAATTTTTTATTATTTTTCAATATAATCCCCCTTAACTTCAATACACTTATTACATCTCTTTATTAACAACTCAATCCCTTTAAAAAATATAAATATGTTTAAAATGCTGTCAATAAAAAACAATTTGACGCAAGACTTCAATTTTTTTTTCGCAGCCTACTAAGATATATATTAAAAAGAAGACAAAGTTTTATCGTGATACTGGAGCTGCGTCTATGTCAGGCCGGGAAATTTTGGCGGCAACCTCGTATACACGCAACCGGTAAACCTCGAGGTGTTTGATTAGGTGTCGTCCACCATGATGATTTGATATACCTCTTCTACTACCCCAAATTGTTTCCCTTGTTCGGGGAGAGCACCCCCAAAGAGGTGGAAATGGTAAAGACGTTGACGGGATTGTACGCCACATTTGCCAAATACGGGTGAGCTGCTTTTGTGTGTGCGATTTTTGGAAAGCTGCAATCTTTGCTTTCAGAAACCCGACCCCGCCGGGTCGCAGTCCTACGAATGTGGTATGGGAGCCGTACGACAAAACCACGCAAAAATATTTGGACATCGGCTCAACGTTAGAGATGAAGACTCAATTATACGAAGACAGATACGCGATTTGGGAGAAACTTTTCCCATTAAATGAAATATAAGGTTTTTTAATACAAATGTTTATATAAAATATTATTTGGCCGGGATTAAGGATTAAGAATAATCGGTCACATAAAAAACATGTTTTTTTTTCATCCCAATCGATGTAGAATTTTCGGATATTTTTTATATTTATCTTCATAAACCTGATTTATCATTTTTATGATTTTAAAATTCGACAATAATTGACCAACTTCGATTAATATTACAGAATATGATTAGTTTACCAAAGTTCCTGAAACTCGCGACATTATGTCAAATAATTTAAAATTCCATGTTCTACTTACTTTTCAAAATTTTGTCGAAATTTATTAATAGTAAGTAACGTTTTTTTTTTTAAATAAGAATCGTTTATAATTTATCTTGTTAGGATGTTATGTTATTTCATTAAAAATGTAAAAATGAAAAAAATTCTTCTAATTCTTTTTTCCACTCCCGTCTGTAAAATACCTAATTACACAATGATCTAGAGTGCGGGAAGCGTCACTTTACCACGTCAGTTTCGTTTCCCACGAATCCGAACCACTTCGAACATTTCCGGGACTTTACCGCACGGGTTTGGCAGCACTCGGATGTTTTCGGAGATATTACCGCACGGCTTGAATTTTGACGTTTGTCACTGAATATATTCGTGTTGTTTTGCGAAAATGTACCTAAAAACTAACTGTCGTAGAAAAAATACAGCATGCAACACGTTCGGTAATCTTTTTGACTCACTCGTCAAATATACTCATGAGTCAAATGCCATTTACCGCACTTATTGCATAATATACTAATTTTCAGAAGGACACTAGTTGGTAACTAATATTTTCTTTTAGAGAGATATTTTATTTTTCACAAAAAAATCTGATTCCCCTAAAAATTAATGACATTTGCATTCATTTATGAGCAGATTTGATATATCAATCTAATTTCTCTGTATGCTGTCTGATATAGTGTATCCCAAAGTATAGAGTGTTGTTTTTTGGTCTAACGAACCATTATAGCTAATAGAAATACGCAGATAAAACAGGACCCTATAAAGCAACTTTTAACCAATGACCAGCCCGCATTGAAGAACCAAAGCCGCTTCCCAATAAGATTAGATGATGCGTTTTTACGGCATTATATAGTGAAACGTTCTATGCAAACCTGAATCCGAGACTTTAGGTATAATATTATGAATCACACAAATTACATTTAGAGGTTATCAAATTCAGAACAAAAACAGCCTAACGTTATCAACAGCAATTATTATTTTGCCAACTTTTTTTGCAAATACGATTAATTGCTGTAGAGATAAGAGTAAATAAAACACAATTAACATTAAGTGACTACCATGGAGTCTCGACGTATGTTTGTAATATCGCTTTTTGTTGTTCTTTACGAAATTTCCATCGGCAAAGGCGATGGAAACTTTCCCGTTGTCACAACCCCGTTGGGGAAAATTCAAGGCTCGCTACTAAAAAGTCGATTGGGGAAAACAATATATTCCTTTAGAGGAATTAGATATGCCCAGCCTCCCATTGGTGAGTTAAGATTCCAGGTAAGTTTTGTTTTCGACAATTCAACGATACTTAAACTTAACTGTTATGCTTGGACCAGAAATATAGTGCTTTTGCAACCGACTACTTAATTAATATTGACTAATTTTTATTAATTGAACTGAGGTGGCTTTTACTTGATGGAAATCCATTTATCAAAATAAATAAGAACTAAAAGTTCAGATTTTCACGAAATAATATATTTTTACATGACAATTGTTTCTACAACACCGTGCCTTTATCAAATGTAATATTTACAATTTACCTGATACTATATATACCGAAAAATGACCATAAAAGCATAATTAATGTTGTTGTGAGAATTTAAGTTCAATAAAAGAGAGGTATTTAAATCTAATTGATCGTTACGTAATACATTTGAATTTTCTCATTTTGTTAATTTCCATGGCTTCCAATAAATTTAATTTTCCACTTTTTGTGGCTGTATGTAATATATCAAAATTGTCGTCGAAAATGTGTTTTCCTGTGTAGCAAAATTAGAATCAAGACTATTGTTTTTAAACGCCCTTTTATGTGCGTTAATGCGTTTCTTGAACGATCTACCTGTTCAAAAAATGTTTAATTGTAAGATTCTAATAAATATTTATCTGTATTCTGATGACGTCCTTTATCTAACACACACACACACACACACACACACACGTTCGATGCACTTACTACATTTTTCACAAGTTGCATATAGCATCCAGGATTGCTTGGATAGCAGTAAAACCCCTCTTTTCCACAGTGCGAGAATAGCACCTCGCGCCTGTGGATTTTTCAAGTACATTTTCCAACATACTTTGTATCCATTTTTTCGCTTATTCTCCCTATCAGATTATTGAGTGCCAGTTCTGTTGACTTGCCTGGCATTCTATGAGTTTTCGTCTTGAAATGTCTTCTTCCGAATAGAATAGTACTTTACTCACCAATCAGTTAAGTGAACAACAACAAAGTGTACATCGAACTTAAAACACATACAAAACAAATATATTATAGACAAATCCAATAATAGTTAATACCCAAAATACGAGAGTTCATATAGTGTTGTACGACTAAGTAGCTCCAAGTGTTGATTAAAAAGTCTCTCATTTTCACTGTAAATTGCTTATTGGACTGCCAAGACATCAGTCTGGAGTCACCAGGTGTGATAATATCAACTTGCCAGGTACTGTAGTGGCGCCTATTAGTAGTTACTCTGCAGATAAGAGCATTTTCACGTATATATAAAATAGATCGATACACGGGGTCTTCATTGAAAATCAAAATATTCAATATAAGTAATAATACAAGAGCGGCGATATTCGCAATTTGCGCTCTTCCATGTAACCACAAGAAAAACAGCACCAACATCCAAATATCTGGACTATAGGGAGGATGATTTATCTGTTGGAACCCACACTCTGAAATGGCAACTGGTGCAACACCAGCAGTATGAGCAGGTGCATTATCGTGCAAAAGACGCACGCCTCTGGTCAGTTTTCCTAGACGTTATATACGTATGGAGTCTCTCAATTTATGTAATAATTATGTAATAATTTCTTTAAAATCTATCAAAAGGATTCCTTCACAATCACAATCCCAAAAGATCGTGGCCATCACCTTTTTTCTTGACTGGCAGACTCTAAATTTTCTTGGAGGTGCTTCGCCCTTACGACGCCAATCCATTGATTCTTTTTTCGATAGAGAGTCATAATAGAGAACCATAGTTTCATCTCCCGTCACAATAGTTTCTATCACAGGCTTCGGTTCCGACCCACAGAATTCCAAAAAAGACCGCGCACACTCGACACGGCGTTGTTTTTGAATAGCCGAAAGGTTTTTAGGAACCCATCTTGCATACCTAAATGATCATGCAGGATTCGACGAACACTTGTATCAGAAAGCTTAGTAATTTCTGAGATTTCCTTGACCTTTAAACGTTGATCACTCAATACCACCTCTTCCACAATCGCAACAATATCTTCCACTGGTCGACCAGTTCTTGAATCATCTTCAAGGGACTCCTGTCCCATTCGAAAACATTTTGCCCATTCTTTCACTACAGAATACGAAGGAGAACTTTGGCCGTACACACCATCCAGCCTTTCTTTAATAATTTTAGGTGCTAACCTTTCCTTTCATTTCTTTTCTATTCAATTTGCGTTATTTGCGACATTTTGCATACACGTCTTGTTTAAAATGATGGCAAGACTTCAATTTTTTTTTAGTAGCGGCATTTAAAGCTTCACTAGCAACATAAGATAACTGAGTATCATCGGCGTATTGATGAGATTTACAAAATTTAAGAAAAAAGTAGAGAAGTCGACTCAGAACGGGATAGGTCCCTGTGGAACACCCCTCTACGAAACAATGACATCTGAAAGAGTATTTCCTATAACTACCCTTTTGGTACCTCTGACCAAGAGAATTTATCCCGAAGAATTCCAGATTAGCTAGGAGAAGGCAATGATCCAGGGTGTCGAACGCTTTGCTATAGCCCAAGAGTATGAGAGAAGAGAATCCGCTGCTCTCAATAAATCGTCAGAACCATGAAGCAACGCTGAAGTAGTGCTGTGAAGAGGCCGAAAACCAGATTGAGTGTCTGGGAGGATTTTGTTATCGCATAGGAACTGACGAAATTGTTCAGCTGCAATTTTTTCAATAACCTTTGAGATGATTGGCAGCAAACTGATTGGTCTAAAATCGTTAATGCCACTTAGACACTCTTTCTTTGGAGCGGGTATAACGTCAGCTTGCTTCTATGAGTCCGGAAAAACCCCGGTCAGCAACTAAATGTGGAGTAGCCAAAAGAATCATTTTATATCAATATTGTCTGTCTTCAAAGTAATCTCCCTCAGATAATACTAATACTATACTATTCAGCTTTTACATCACCGTATCGTATGTTTATGAAACTATATATCTACGTGACACATAGGTATAGGCACCATAGATAGATAACATTTCTAGCCTCCAGTGCCCATAACAAGCTATGAAGGCGTCTACAACGCAACTGTCGACGGATACCTTTGCCCACAGCCTTCGGACGATCCTACATCGGAGGATTGTTTAATCCTCAACGTATACACCACCAAGGTACAGCAGAGTGATCAAAACGGCCGACACTGATAATTTAATTTCAGCTACCGAATATCAAACTCGACGTTAAACACCCCGTCAGACCCGTAATGGTATATTTACATGCAGGTGGTTGGTACAGCGTGGGATCAACTAGCAAGTGGGCCGGACCGCAGTACTTTATGGATCAAAAAATTGTTTTGGTGACCTTGAACTACAGATTGGCCACATTAGGTAATAATAAATTCCAACGGATGATGTCTTATGGAGTGTACTAGCAACCGAAACAGCTACTAGCTGACGTTAGAAGGTAGCCAACATTTCAGAAGACATTTAAATGAGGCTGGTTTATACAAATTCGATAGCTTATACTTGAAAAAATCTTCATAAATCAGTGTACCTCCTTTAATAACAAAGATAATGAAGTAAACCAAAAAAGCAAATGTCAACTCCTTCTAATATCAACTGCTATATATTGCTATGCGAATTTTAGGAAAAACACATATCATTTATCATTATCAGCGGAAACTGTGACATCGTCAAACTTGCAACGCAAAAGAAAATCATTCAAATCGGATCATAAATTTTTGCATTAGGATTCTTGGCGACTGGCGAACGAGAGGCCCCCGGCAACAACGGAATGAAAGATCAAATCCAGGCACTGAAATGGATTCAACAGAACATTAGAGCTTTCGGAGGTGATCCCGACTCAGTCACCTTAATGGGTTACAGCGCTGGAGGGATGAGTGTTATCTTCCACATGGTGTCACCAATGTCTAAAGGTTCAGGGCGCATTTTCACAACATACATAATTAAAAAAAAAACACCTTCCCAGGTTTGTTTCACAGGGGCATAGCAATGAGCGGTTCCCCAACGGCCCAATGGCCGATAAAGCGGGACCAATTGGAGCTTGCTCGCAAACAAGCGAGACTAGTGGGTTGTCCCGATGATAGTCCGGCAGATATCGTCGAATGTCTGAAAACTAAGTCCGCAGACGAATTGGGAAATTCTTTGCCTAGTTTTGCAGTAGGTAAAGTCCAGTCAGAGCAATTGGGCAGTCATAGCGTGACATCTTTATCCCATTTATCAAATTCTTTTTTCAAACAGGTCTAATGCTTCTCTCACAAAAAAAGTGTGCCAACATAACATGTTAGAAAGTTACGTGTAGAACAATAAAAACCAAACCCTGGCTCTTAGAGGTTATACAACAAAATTTCTATTAAGGCGGCGCCCAGAAAAATAGATCTCCGACAGGATTTACTAACACTTTGAAATATATGGAATCTTGGAGAAAAAAAATGGACGTCGTCGTATTTTGAATGATAACGAACGACCTAATATTTTGTTGCATTTGGCAGGGACCCCTGAAGAATCAACCCGAAATACGTCTTTAGAGGTAGATGTCAAAAGAACAACGCTTCGAACTTGCCTTCAAATAAATAACTGGAAGTCCTATAAATTCTGTTCAGTGCAGGTCCATCAGAGAGACACTTTTCAGAAAATATGTTTGCTAATATTGCTGATATAACCTGAACTAATATTTTTAACAGGAAAATTACCCATTACTGGAGCAACCAGAATAATAAAAAACATGTGAAAGTTACATGAACAGATACAACTTCTGTCAAAGTATGGTGCGCCATTTGGGGAATCGGAATAACGCATCAATAACAACGCTACTTAGAGCATTTGAGCAATGAAAAATGAGGTACCTGAAAGGGAACGACCACATTTTATTTGGCAGCAGGATGGAGCTCCTCATCACAGAAGTCAAGAAATTGGCATTGGGGGGAATGGCAGTTTCATCTGGCCTCATTGCTGAATATATGCAATCCTACACTTGCCACTGTGGTCCTTCCTTACATTCAAAACATCACTGACCACATATCAAAAGTTCTAAAGGAGTACAACTTCAAAACAAGATTTACCCCTTGTCCAAAAATCTCTCAATATCTTCGGTCCGTCAAAGACAAAATTCCATTTGCAATGTTTGGTATCTGTACCCTTGGGACACAAGTAGCATTAGCCTTACAACAGGACCTTCTCGTCTAAGCTGATCATCACGAGTACTTTCAGATCCTAATGCTCTCGAGATTTTTGAGCGAAGTTCTCTGGACAAATGGGGCATAGCAAATCTAATTTTCAAATGCTCATTGATAAAACTCATTCCTAGCTCAGAGCGATTTTTTTATTCCAGGATTAGCTGGATTATAGCGTACCAAATCACCAAAGGCCATCGACCACATCTTCGACTTGAACGATAAAGGGCACATCAACGCCTCCTTTCGTCTCATTGTAAAAATTATAATCTCAGTTTCTTAGTTTCCTGATCCACAGAGTTGTCGTGGTGCATGGTGGACAACATGGAATTTCCCTCTTGTTTTTACGCATGTGTAAGTCCAAGTTTCTTTAGTTCACTAACCGGCTCTAATGAAGTGAACCAGTTATCACCAGTGACATTCCTGTTACTATTAATAATTGGATTCACTAACGTGAGTACTGATCTGGTAGGTATGGACAGCTTCAGAGGATTTGGTTGATTGGTTTTGCCGGTATTCATGAAAGCATTTAACAAATAATGTGTCTTGGAATCACCGTCTGCCAGGTAATCACAGAAGTTTAAGTGCTGGGGGCAGATTTGATCCCACGATAGAAGTTCAGTGTTATGGTCAGTTGTGAAATGGTAAATCATAGTGGCTGCTCTTTAGCACTTGTTTTGTTGCCGTCATAGCCACCTTACACTAACTGAACTTAAATGGCAACAGCATATTATTTGTGATAGATAAAGGTTTAAAAGGAGATATATCAAAAAGTAAAAATATTAGGCATATTCAACCTTACATAAAACTGCCTTAATTTTTAATGCTAAATAAGACAAGATTAAAAAACTAGATAGTTTCCATTGAAAAAAAAGTTTTTTGGTAGTTTTTTTAATCTTATTTTTCGCGTATCCTGTATTAGTAAGGATCGAAATTTCTTATGAAATCCGTTATTGGAGACCTTTGTCTCCAACAAAAACTTAACCAAGTGAAATAATAAATGCTTCCGAATGAAGAAATTGGCTTACATTTTACATCTTGCAAACTTCGTTTTTTGCATAAAAAAATAAAAATTTCAAAAACGGTTAGACTTAGGTGCAGGACATTATACAGAAAATATGTCTAGAATTTTTATATAGAATTCAAAAATGAAGTAATATACCAGGTGTTCTATTTAAAATAAGAAAGTTGATATTCGCCTGTATACACATAATTAATTAAATTAACTTTTGGCTCCATCCCTTATAATTTCTGTAGGTAGTGTCCAAAGGTAAACTACTTGGGCTACGACATATGGATCATTTTTCATTAAGTCCCTGTATGTGACGTCACTAACTGCTCTGACCGGAGTATACGAGCCATCGCATCACCCCAAATAAATTTCAGATACGCGGATATATTTCAGGAATTCAATTACGATCCCGTTCTGATTTGGACCCCAGTAATCGAGAAAGATTTTGGCCAGGAACGATTCTTAACAGATCACCCAATCGAACTGATCTTGGCTGATAAGTTCTACAAAATTCCTTTCATCGCTGGGGTGACCACCCACGAATTTTCTTACAGGGCTTACAGTACCGTCGAACGATCGTATAAAATGCGACCAGAATAACGTAAAGTTTTTAGATGTTTTTGAGAATAGCACATCGCTGAGACTGCTCAACGAAGAATGGGAGAGGATTGCACCGACCGCGTTCATTTACGAGAGAGACACGCGATTCTCCAATGAAGTCAGTGCGGGCTTGAAAAGCTTCTACTTTCGTAATAAGACTATCGATCGATCTCTGTTTGACTCACTAGGATTGGTACTTTGAGTTAAATTTTACCAGTAGCGATTCTATTCGTTGCGATTCTAGGTGTACGCCGACTCAGTTATCGGTTTCGGAGTCAATAGAGCCATTAAACTGATAAGCTCTAAGAACGATAAGGGAAGTTATTACTACAAATTCAGCTACAAAGGAAGGTACAGTCACTTTACCGATCCTGACACCAACAAAACAATTGGTAGGTAAATTACCGTGGTATTACCATATAGTTAGCAATTGTTAGTTACCTGGTAGCTCCCAGATACTTGTTAAAATTAATATGGATCTAGGGGACCGCCATTGTTTTTCTTTTTTCAATTTTCGACGAAATTCTGGACGAAATCGAATTGAAATTTCGCGTATGCACAGAGCCGGGCCCTCTATTTAAAAAAAAAAACGAAACCATTTCGAAAAGGAAATGACTACGCCACTGGACTCTACGTAAAAGTCTATATCGATATCATGGTGGAAAAGCCAAATGTCAATGTCAAAAAGTTAAAATTTTCAGGATTTGTGTAAAAAAAAAAATGGGCCTACTATGTTGCGTACGGCCGAAGTCACGTTCCTTTTTATGTTCCTCATATCGGTTTCTACATTTTCAAAATGCTTTTCGACAGTTTATGTTTGGTCGGCAAAAATCAGGAGAACTAACAAAAACAAGACTTCAGGCTTTGATAATGCTAGTCAGTTTTAAAAGTCATCTAAATAATGAGTGGATAAGAAAGGAGTCGATAAAATGGAAGAGAGAGGTCAGTAAAATTTTCGTACACGCCTTTAAAAGTACTTAAAAAATTATTCTCGGACGTTTGCAAAATCAAGCAATTTTATATCTGAGGATCTCGGAGGCCATCTGACTGTTGGAAAATTCTGCTTTTAAAAAGTTCGTTCTTGTTAGAATATCCTTCGTAGTGGAAGGTTCGTAATATCTCGTTCGTTTGCGCAAAGTTTAAATTTCTCTCGAAATTTAAATTATTTAAGAAAAACAAAAGTTGACTTCGGCCGCAAGCATCATAGTGGGCCGATTTTTTCCACGCCATTTTTAGCATCGACGTATCCTTTTCTCATATCGTGAAAATTTTCAACTTTTTAGCTCTTGTAGGGATAACGATTTAAAATAAAACAAAATTATATTATTATTTGCCATATATCTTCTTTTCTTCTATTTAGGCGACGCTGTACGTCTTACAGTTTCCAATATCCCCATAGATGTCATACTGGTCACAAAACCTAAAACACCACATAAATTGTTCCCATGCAATCCAAAAACTTAAACTCAGCCACAGCTTACAAAATTATATTACATTTCAGCAGTTTTGAATATCAAATGAAACTCAAAATTATGATATATCAAACGACAGCCAAATTGTCCATTAAATTTATTTCAAGTTTAAATTAAAGTATTTATTCACTATTCATCATTCTAGGTCCTGTTCATCACGACGACTTGATATACCTACTCTATATAGAGAAATTATTTCCGTTCTTTAATGAAAGTTTTCCCGAGATCGAGATGGTCGATAATTTAACCAGTCTGTATTCAAGTTTTGCGAAATTTGGGTTTGTACGCGGTACATGGATGTCTGCTCCCGTTAACAGCATTTCCCGTTTAAGGGTTCCCGGTGCTGCATGGGAATCGTTCTCCTTAGACACTCAGAAATACATGGATATTGGCGATCGCCTAACTATGCGTCGGAGGTTGTACGACGAAAGATATCTGGAATGGGAGAAACTGTTTCCTCTGAGTTTATATAAAGAAAATTAAATATATAATTCATGCGATATTTACCAGGAACGAGTGAAATCTAGTAAATAAAAATGTGAAAATCCAAACGATTTGGATCGGGCAATGTTGTAGTGGTTCCAACAGCAACGTCTTAAAAATGTACCACTCTCTGGAGCTATCGTAAAACTAAAAACAGAAAAGTTTGCTCAACGGCTTGGCATTATCGATTTCAAGGCTTCGGAAGGATGGTTGTGACGTTGAAACAGAGACATGTCGACAGAAAAGTCACAAAAAAAGCAGTCCCTTCAATTTTGCTATATAGAGTTTCGACGGTATTTATATTTAGATTGTGTGGTTTGTTTAACCTGTTTGTGTCTCAAAGTGCAAGTAATGAATATAAAGTAAATATTGGACGAGTTTGTAAAAGCGATACGCACATATATCTCTGTTGCCGTTTCAGAGCTATAAATAAAGCGTGCTTCTATCTTTGAATTGGTGAAACATAATCACACGGTACCATGGGTAACAGTATGATAACACTACGATACGATTTGCGCATATTTGTTGCATTATTTTGCATAGGGTTACGAGACAAAAAGTTACGATCGTTATAATTACCAGAAATACGCGGAATCTACCATTCTTTTGTTTTACAAGCACTTTAGACACCTTGATTACAAAACAGTTTGTCTTGCTGCCGTGTAGAGCGACAAATGCCGTAAAATTACTTTCAGTCTTTGGGATAATGGAAAATTTTAATAACACATAATAATCCCATCCAATTATACCATTATAGCGTTTTTATGACAATTATTGACTGAACTCGCAATTATATACAAATGTGTTTACTTTTTTTGCTAACTTATTGAATCGCACGTGCAGAACGCCTATTGTCGTATTTTTTTCATCTAATTAGACTAATCCCAGAACTATGTTCGCAACAATTTAAACATATGACTATCTACTTCAAAATGACAATGACTTAAATTACTAAAGTAGTCCAAACCAGACGTACCCAATTTTGCATAATACAGAAAAAGTATACAGGGTGGACCAGCCAATATAAAATAGAAGATTGCATCTCTGCAGGCCACTGTATAAAAAAAAATTTAACGCTTGCAAACTAAATAGAAACTACTAACAATATTAATAATAATCATAGTAACAATAATAACAATAATAATAATAATAATAGTAATAATAATATTAATTATAACAATCTCCCTCCTGAAATTATAAAGACAATTGCGAAGGATTATATTGAGGAGTGCACAGACCTCATGAACAAAATACTGCTGAAGGGAGAATTTCCTAGAATATGGAAATTGGCGCGACTTATCCTTATAGAGAAACCAGGTCAGGATAAGAAGTATAGACCCATATGCTTAATCAATATAACTGGTAAGCTACTGGAACATTTGCTGGTAAAACGTCTCAAGGAAGAAATTGAAAGGACTGGCGGACTGGCAGAAGAACAGCATGGGTTTCGGGAAAAGAGATCAACTATCAGTGCTTTGAGAAGGATACGAGAAAAGATAGACGAAGTAAAACAGACACCGTGGGGAAGGAGGAAGTTATGTGCTCTTGTCACGGTAGACGTCGAAAATGCCTTCAACACGGCACCATGGTGTGGTTTATTGGAAGAGCTTCGAAATCGTAACATAGCCCCTTATCTGTATAACATCATAGCAAGCTACTTCGAAGATAGGCGTTTAAGCATAGGTGAGGCAGCGCAAATGGACGTCACATGCGGGGTCCCGCAGGGATCAGTAATAGGTCCAACCTTATGGAATGTGTATTACAACGGTGTATTCCGAATTCCTGTTCCAAATGGTATTACCCTTGTCGGATATGCTGACGATCTGGCTATCTTAGCAGAAGTAAAAGAAGCCGAGATGATGGAAACAGTGGCCAACCATGCCCTTTACAATGTCACGGAATGGATGAAATCTAAAAACCTGAAATTAGCCCCCCAAAAAACGGAGGCAGTCCTACTTGTTGTTGGAAGGAAAGTTAAAAACATTTCAGTCACAGTGGAAAACACAACAGTTCAGAGTCAGGAAGTAGTCAGATATTTAGGTATAAAACTAGATAGAAACATGTCCATGGGGGCCCACATTAGAACCGTAACAGAAAAGGCCAACAAGGCCTTGAACAACATCAGTCGCCTTCTACCAAAAGTGAATGGGCCTCGTGAAAGCACCAGGAGGATATTATGCTCAGTAGTGACTTCAATACTACTATATGGCGCCTCAATATGGGAGCAAGTAGTTGAGAAGAAAGTCTATAAAAGGATTCTGAGAAGTGTTCAAAGGAGGGTAGCCATAAGAGTCTCCGAAGCATACAGAACAACTTCCAATAAGGCACTTATGGTGATAGCTAGGATCCCACCTATTAATCTCCCAGTTAAGTGTAGAGCCCGTATAGAGAAAGATGGACCAGACGCTAAAACGGAAGCACAAAACGCGGTGATTTTGTGCTGGCAAGAGGAATGGGACATAGATGATGGTACAGCGGAATGGAGTAAAAAGCTAATTCCAAATATAAGACCCTGGTTTGAGAGACGACACGGTGAAGTAGATTTCTTTCTTACACAAATACTCACCGGGCACGGGTGCTTTGAAGCCTACTTCAAACGTTTCAATCTGGCCGAAACCGAGGAGTGCCTTTATTGCATAAACGTGGATACGGTTGAACACACTCTATTTTTCTGCCCAAGATGGAACATGCAGCGGAATATAGCAAAGCAAATACTCGGTCACATAAGCCCAGACAACCTAGTAGAAAAAATGTTAGTCACCGACAAATTGGGACCACGTCTGCAAAATGGCAAAGCAAATACTTTCTGCCAAGAGGATAGAACGGTCAAATCTTATACAAGCTCGCTGAACCTTAGTCAGTCCATCTGAAGTAATGCTGACGCAGTTCCAGATGGAGGGCACACTGTTTTGTCGTCAAGAGAGGAAGTGTGAGTACGCTCACACTGGGTTTACACGGTCGGCTGATCCCAACCCGTCGTCGCCAAGGGGACACACCATCCATCCCCAGGGTGTCTTGAGACGCCCAGAACGGGCTGAGGAAGATTCGCCTTATAACCTCTCATACAAAAAAAAAATTATAATAATCGTACTCCTGCGGACCACTACGAAACTTTCGCAAAATTGATCTAATTTTATTGTGCGTACACTCTGTATAAAGTGTCTTTAACGAAATTGAAAATTATTTAGTAAATTGCCATTGATAAGCGTGATGAGTGAAAATTGTTTACGATACTAATACGATACGAGCAATAATTTTCACAAAAAAAAAACGAAAATTTCCAGGATCTTATAGATTTTTTGCTCACAAAACACCCTTTATATAACTCAAGAAATGTTCGAAGCCCCGGATCTCCCACGTTTCTTGGTGCATGATTTTTTCCAATAAAGTAAATGGTTTTCGAGAAAATAATTTTCGAAAATAATAGCCGATACCAAAATTGTAGCCCCTGATTTGGGTATAACACTTTTAGATTTTTGTCCATAACTAAACCGGCCTGTATATAATCGAAAAAGTGCTAGAAACGAAAGCGATAGTCAGGGATCTTCCGCGTTTCATGGGTCCAGAATTTTGCCGAACGGGTGGACAGTTATTGAGAAAACCATGTTTTTATGGAAGCCAAAATAACAAAAAAAAAAATCAAAAATGTATAAAAAAGACTTAGTTTTGATGCAACTACATTTGAAGTCGACTACGCAATCACAGCAGTAGTGAATCAACATGGATTTCACTATAAACGTTTCGTACTCACAAACATCTCCTTTTGTCCATAATATTAACATTTCAATGTAGAAAGGCTTTGAGATATGTGCCGTGTATACTGACTTTATGTATGCAATAATTTTGCTGAACAGCCTGGGGATACATTGCGTGTTTAACCCCATAGAGCATTTGTGGAACCAAATACAATCAGAGCTGAAATTTTTGCTCACGCTTTGTGTCCCAGGGTTGTAAATTTAATAAAAAATGTAATTAATAACCTACCAATTGACAGCTGGAGAAATTGAGGACAACAGAACATAAATGCTATCATAATTTATGTTAATTAGGACTCTGATAGTAAAACACAATTAGGTCTAGACATTTACAATACAATACTATGCAATTACTTATTCAACTTAAGGTCCACTAGCTCAAGAAATATCTAGCGAAGTTTCTTTTGTATTCCCGACCATGTGTAATCTTATGTTTGATCTAGGCTGCCCTGTAATTGGGAGTCCTTGACTGCCTGTCGATTAATCTTTGGGTTTATAAATAAATAAATAAATAAAAGATAAAATCGGCAAACAGATTGACATTTTAAATAATAATAATAAACTGCACATCATAAACTCATTACGGGCGGGTATAATAAACAATATTAACGATTTTTTGAAGGGCTTTATTGTGAGGAGGGACGTTATAGCATAAGGGATTTCATTAAATAATTTAACTGCGTTATAGCTAAAAGATCTCTGGAAAGTTACCGAAATGTGTCTAGGAACGCAATATCTTAAACAATGACGGGTGTTTTGATTATGAATATCATTTCCTCCGCAAATTTATCAAACAATTACGGGGTCTTGTTGGAGTTTAGTAAAACAAAAAGTGGCTAACTGAACTTTATGTCGGTCCTCCAGCTTGAGTCAACGCGAATCAGAGAGGCACTTGGAAATATGGTCATCCATTATGAGATTGTAACTAAAACAAACGCAAGCATTCTGAAATCATTGGAGTCTTTTCTTACCTCGATAGCTGGCCAATAGACAATACTGCAATAAGCGACATGGGGTAAAACTAACATCGCAGACTTTAAGTTTGACTTCTTTACCAAGTTAATCTCATCATTTAACGTAATCTTAAAAGAGGGGTTTTTTACAATATCTTCCCCTTATTTCCTAATAATAACTTCTGCTTTTTGTTCGTAATCAATAAGAGGTTGTGAGCAGAAGATACCTGCGCAATTATTTTTAAATCTAAATTTATTTTAGTAGCGGCATTTACAGCTTCGCTAGCAACAAAAGATAAAGATAACTGAGTATCATCGGCGTATTGATGAGATTAACAAAATTTAAGAAAAGTAGAGAAGTAGGCTGTATAAATTGAGAACAGAATCGGTCCCAGAATACTCGCCTGGGGAGCACCCCTCTCCAAAGCAATGGCATCTGAATGAGTATTTGCAATAACTACCCTTTGGTATCTCTGAGCAAGAAAATTTTAAAAAAAATGAAACCGCAGTAAAGTCTGTTCATAGATATAAGAAAGTGACTAACTGATACGAATTAAGGAAAGACCCGGACTAGCTGTAAGAATGAAATACGGTCGAACAGGTCCGTACTTTGCGTAGAATTTAATTATTTGGGGTTTTGTTAGGAAATTATTGACATAATTTATCAGTATCACTATCGCTATCATCGCCTGTTCTAATTATTATTTGTTCTATATTATTTCCAATATGGATATACGATTATTCTGCTTTTTCTATATGTTTAACAGAATTTGCCCAACTTTGTGGAGGGTTGTTAAAAACTTCGGTTTCTATAAGTTTGAGGATATTGGGGAAAAACATTGTTATGACGAATGGCAGATTTCTGGTAAATTTTACGTCGTACTATATCTCGATCACTTTCATCTACACTCGAGAAAATGTCAGCATCGCTTCTTTTTTTCCTCATACAGTTGATGTTGGAATTTTATAACTTCCTTAGTCTCAATAGAATAGTGTTTTCTACATTTGGACGGGAGCATCTCCTGAGATACACTAGACTAGCACATATTTTGCATAATTCGCACACGATTCAACACACTCTGTATTACACACGAAATAAGAATGATTACTAATATACTTAAACTAAGTAGTATACCAAACCAAAGAATATTAAACACAGGTAGGTATAAAATTATTTTCTATTACGGACCACAATTTTACCTGACTTTAAATTAGGAAACTTTAGGTAATAATCTTGTTGCATTGTATGTTAATGACCACCGTTGGATAATCCCATTCGAAACCAATTGGTCACTCTCTTATATCTATGAACAGACCATACCTTTTATCCCGAAGAATTCCTGTTTAGCTAGGAAAAGGAAATGATCCAAGGTGTCGAACGCTTTGCTACAGTCGAAGAGTATGAAGCAAGAGTTTCATTTAGAATCCGCTGCTCTCAATAAGTCATCAGTAACATGTAGCGCTGTGAAGAGGTCGAAAACCAGGTTGAGTGTCTGGGAGGATTTTGTTATCCCATTGCTTAGCTTCGATTTCGAGATGGTTGGCAACAACCTGATTGGTTAATGCCACCTTGGCGCTCCGTCTTCAGCTTGCTCCCAAGAGTCCGGAAAAACCCCGCCAAGGCGTACGTGAAAAGAAATTACTTAGCTTTGCTTTATAAATATGAGAAGCGTGTTGAGTTTCGTTTGTCATCGCATCACGCGGCCACCCAAAAAATGTAAAATTAGCAAGTCAAATGAAAAAGGTAGGTTTGCTTTAAGACAATAATTAACGCAATTAAACAAACGATGCAAATCAGTAGAATGTAAAATAGTAAAACGCAAACAAAAAACGGCACAGTGTGTCGCTAATTTAGATCAGTCGTCACACGAAAAGAAAAAGGCGCGCGCGTTTAAAATGGCGGACTTAAACGCGCGACCTGTCAGTTTCGGTCAGAATGACCGCTCGCGGAACATCGGACGAGAACCAAAACGGTGACGTCACCGTCAACGTGACGGACAACGGGAAAGTGGAAGTGGTCTACAAGACAAGCTCGACGGACGGTTTTCTGAAGGCGGAAAATGTTGAAAGGAAAAGTGCCTCGTTTCTCTACTTGTGCGCGTTCACCGGTAGGTATGGATCAGTGCCTCTACCATTCTGTTCGCTGTTAAATAAGTAGATAAAGCTATAACAGAAAACAATCGTACTTACATTTTAAATATACGAGTCAGTAGCAAAATAGGAAAATTTAAATGAGTATAAAAGTACAAAAGTACGCAAAACAAAAGTCTATAACACCGGAACAATTATAAAAGAAAAATAAGATTAAAATTTTAGACAATACGTAAGTTTTAATTATTCTTTTAAAAGCATTTAAATTATCACACTCCTTAACAATTTAAGTTAGATCATTAATATACATAATAAACAATAATGGCCCCAAAACAGTCCCCTGTGGTACCCCACGGTCCACCAAGATTGACAGTCTCAAAACCTCTTCTAACGTCCAAAAACACAGCCAAAAAAAACTATTGTCGTCGTCAAACTACGCTGTGATTTTCCGTATCCCGGTTTTGATCTAAACTCATCAAATTGACGGATGGTCTAGTTATTGCCGATCTTCAATGCTCTGCACAAAATATTTATTGACTTCACTTCACTAGATAAACTTTTATTCGGGATTAATGGCTTCAAATGTTTCCAAAGCTCTCTTGAATTTTGCTTACTTTCATCTATCACCTCTCTGAAGTATTAGTCTTTTTCATGCCTAATTTTATTAACGATGTTTTTTCGTAACCTTTTGTATGCACTCCAGTCTCCAACGTCTCTGTGATGAACAGCCCTAACATAATTTTTATCCCTTTCTTTCATCATTTACCTTATTTTTAGTTGTTGATTTTATTTTGGGGCACATTGTATTTAGTATATCAGTTATGTCTTGTACAAATCTATTGGCAATCACGTCAACATTTGCGTGTCAACCATCCCACTGTTCAGCAGTAGAGACAATATAGTCAATAAGAGTTTGACTACTATCAGTTATACGTGTTGGACTAGTAATAATCTGATTGAACCCATTGGAGTGTATTATTTTCAAAAGCTTGTCACCGTAAAACGAGTTTTTTAAAATGTCGTACTTGACTATAACGTTGACTCCTTCAAAATTAGGTATTCGATCCAAATAGTCAGTTAATTAATTGCTGGGGGTGGCTGGTGAGGAAGTAATTTTTTAAATTAATGAAATTAAAAAACCGATGATTTATAACAAATGAACCGAGTGTGCCGGTAGACTATAAGCTAACACCAGCTTAGACCGTAGAGAGAACTAAAACTCTCGCCCGCCCCCTTATGCGGGTTGTAAAAGCTAAAATAATTGTAAAACATTAAAAAAAATATTTGTTGTATAAAAAAATCTAGCAAAAGAATTCCTTCCCAATCCCTAAAGATCGTGGCCATCACCTTTTTTGTTGACTGGCAGACTCTGAATTTTCTTGGAGGTGTTTCACCCTTACGATGCCACTCCATTGATTCTTTTTCGATAGAGGGTCATAACAGAGAACCATAGTTTCATCTTCCGTCACAATAGTTTCTATCACAGGCTTCGGTTCCGACCCACAGAGTTCCAAAAAAGACCGCGCACACTCGACACGGAGTTTTCTTTTGAATAGCCGAAAGGTTTCTAACCTTATGCATACCTAAATGATCATGCAGGAATCGACGAATACTTGTATCAGAAAGCTTAGTAATTTCTGAGACTTCCTTGACCTTTAAACGTCGATCACTCAAAACCACCCCTTCCACAATCGCAACAATATCTTCCGTTATGACCTCCACTGATCAATCAGTCCTTGAATCATCTTCAAAAGACTCCTGCCCCATTCAAAAACGTTTTGCCCATTCTTTCACTACAGAATACGAAAGAGAATATTATAATATAATAATTTTAGGTGCTAACCCTTCTTTTGTCAAAAACTTTATGTGTGTGGGTGTGTTTTCTAATGAGCAAAAAAATATAAAAGTTCCTGAATATTTCCGTTTTTGTTTATTGGCGATAAATAAAAAACCGTTAAAGATGGGATAATTTTATTTGAACAGTATCTTAAACTGGTTTCGTCTCTCATACAGGGTGCGCGAGATATTTGAAAAAATATCATTTTAAATCGTCATTACCGGTGAAAATTTTAATATTTACCAAAGGTTACCGTAACTCTGAAGTTCGGCGTGACGGGAAAGTTACTTTATACAGCAAAGCGGCTTCTTTAAAATACAAATCTGGTCCAAATCAATCTTGCAAATTATGGATCAAAATAGGTATTGGTTCAAGTAAACCGTTATTGTTTCACCCTGTAAGATTAAAGATTACATTGATTTATTTTGTTTATTATTGACATGATTATTGAAAATAGAGACCCTTAATGTTATTATTATTATTATTAAAAATTTATTGACATTGAGGACAATAAATAGAGTTTCTTTCCATTTCTTGTCAAATACGAAAGACAAAACAACTGCAGTTACATGGTTTCTGACAACTCCCATTACAAGAATACCTTTCTTCGATTTGACACCAGAAAAAGGCTCCAAATATTTATTTAGTTTCTTTTTCATTCTAGCTTATCTAACCTCTTTCTCCAGCGGCGTCGGTCTCTCCTGGAGTTCCCCTGTCTTTCCAAAAATGGAGACCCCGGAAAATCCGTTCTCGCATCCGTTGTCCGCCACCCAGACCGCATGGATCGCCGCCTCCCTGCAGCTAGGGGCCGCTGTGGGACCTTTCGCGTCAGGCTATTGCGCTGACAGGTTCGGCCGTAAAAGGGCGCTGATTTTTTTGACCGTGCCGATGTTATTCGGGAACGTACTGTTGGCGATCGCGGGAAACGTTTATTCGTATTATATAGCCAGGTACGTTTGTATTGTTCAGTTTGTAATACACTTTTTTTTTAAGCAACTGTCAATCTGAAAAGTCATATTTGTTCTATTTTTTTTTTTTGCGCGATAGTACTTACTCTCATGAAAGAGATCTTACCGATGAGAGTTTGTTGAGATTCGTATTTAATAAAATGTATACCTACATTATCATGGAGATTACCATCTAAGATCGCCCTCAGAGAGTACTATCAACGTCAAATCAAGCTTTTACTTAAAAGGCGGATGCACAGATTTTTTATATCTATTTTTTAAACATACACGAGGGCAGCGCCAAAAATTTCCCGACCTGCATATGAAAGAAAGAAAGCAGAGTAACAATTTTTAATTATTTTTCAATATAATCCGCGTTAACTTCAATACACTTATTACATCTCTTTATTAACAACTCAATCCCTTTAAAAAAATGTTCTTTTGGTTTGTTTGCAAAATGAGCTAAAACAGCCTCTTTAAGTAAAATTCGCCGTCCACGTAAGTCCTTTTACAAATATCCAAACAAATGTCGCTGTGGCCATACCGGGACTATAGGGAGGGTGATCTATCTGTTGGAACCCACACTGTAAAATGGCAGCGTGCGCAACACCAGCAGTATGGACAGGTGCATAATTTATGTAATAATGTTGCGTACTATTTACCATTGACAGTAGTATTAGTTTCTTTAAAATCTCGCAAAAGAATCCAATCCCAAAAGATCGTGGCCATCACCTTTTTTGTTGAGGTGCTTCACCCTTACGACGCCACTCCATTGATTCTTTTTTCGATAGAAGGTCATAATGGAGAACCATAGTTTCTATCATAGGCTTCGGTTCCGGCCCACAGAGTTCCAAAAAAGACCGCGCACACTAGACACGGCGTTGTTTAGGTTTTTAGGAACCCATCTTGCTTCACCAACCATACCCAATAGGTTAGTTCCATCACACGCGAGTACCAAATACTGGGATAGAATTTTTGTAGTCGTACAACCAATTGAACCTCTCCAGTATTTCTCATAAGCTGTTGGAAATAATCTAATAAGTAAGGTCCACTGGTATATCTATATAAGATCATATATCCTCACAGTCAGACGTACTAACGACGTCTCAACTAGTATAACTGGATATCCTTAGCATGTATTAACAAACATCCTACTGACGTACGTATCTGACATACTGTGGACGTTCCAATTAGTAACATCGTATATTCTTGAGACGTCTTAAGGATGTCGCTTAGCTGAAACAGTAAATCCCCAGGATATACGCCATGTCCCGTCAGAAATCCCGAGGATGTTTTACAGACGTTCTTGTACTATTCGCGGCACCAATATACCGTAAAGTATAAGAAAAATTATAATTAAAATTATTTTAAAAAAATATTTTAAAAAATATTAAAAAAATTATTATTAAAAAGACAGACGTAATTTGCTTTATTTCATACTTCCTCATTTTCTTAGACAAATAACATATATCATTTTTTAACTTGATAATTATTCCCAAGTGTTTGATTTCAGCACTGCTTTTAATTATGTCATTAGTCCTGTCAATTGTTATACAGTCAAAATCTGGTCTCCTTGCCTTGGTTAAAGAAAACGCGATATAGTGAGTTCCGTCTATATTCCTATATTTTTCTATTTGAGCTTCTTTGCCCTGGCTGGGTCAGTATAGGGTGCATACATACATATATGCAAAATGTTTATTTTTAAAGATGGTACCCTCAACTCATATAAAAATTGGTAAGTCTATATGCCTGCCAGCGAATCACTTATTTATTTTATGATTTTTCCTCAATTTTCAACATTCCAAACTCCCGAACAGTCTTATATAACTTAATGGCGAATTCTAAAATGGAGCGGCCCAAAAATATATAAGTGCAGATCAAAATAACCAAAAAAAATGTCCCGCAAACGATAAATCCAGACATTTTGTATAATAAATGCAAACTGTGAAAGTCTTCATGCAGCTTATTTCCTTTATTAACATTTTTTAATTGTCCGGCATATATAAACTTAATTATTCGTATTAGGCAACCGATAGAAGCCGAGCATTCTGCGCAGTAGTAAAGACAAAACGTATTTGTGTTTTACTTTTAATTCCCGTTCACTTGGGTTAACACTGAATAATTACAGTCGAAACCCTGTATAGCGAAATTGAAGGGGTGGCTTTGTTTTTCGCTATAGAGTTATGAGCACTCAAAAAAAAAATACGCATGTGTTCTGTAATATTTATTTATTTTATACACATACAAGGTTGTTCGGAAAGTCATTTCGTTTTTTGCCGTCAGAGGACTTAATTACGTTTTTTCGAAACCAACTTCACACTTAAGCCGCATAACCATTATATGCCTTGAGAGCTGATATTGCAAGGCTTGTGTGTGAAAAAGTTCTATTAATTCTACGCAGTAGTTTTTGGTTGGTGCCCTTTTAAATATGGAGAGCAATAAGCAGCATTTTCGTCATATTTTATTTTACTTCAGAAAAGGTAAAAATGCTGTCCAAGCGAGAAAAAAATTGACGGATGTGTATGGAGAAGACGTGTTAACAGTACGCCAGTGCCAGAACTGGTTTGCAAAATTTCGATCCGGCAATTTTGATGTCGAAGATGCACCACGGTCTGGAAGGCCGGTCGAAGCTGACAAAGATGCGATAAAGGCATTAGTTGATGCATATCGGCGAATAACCACACGAGAGATCGGTGAGAGATTAAATTTGTCGAATTCGATTGTTTATGGCCATTTGAAAGGCATGGGCTTAACCTCGAAGCTAGATGTGTGGATGCCCCATGTCCTTACGGAGCGAAATTTGTCGTCGCGTTGACGTGTGTGATTCGCTCCTCAAACGTCAAGAAAATGATCCATTTTTGAAGCGGATTATTACTGGGGACGAAAAATGGGTTGTATACAACAATGTTAAACGCAAGAGGTCATGGAGCAGAAAAGATGAACCGGCTCAAAGCGTGTCAAAAGCCAACATTCACCAAAAAAAGGTGATGCTCTCCGTTTGGTGGGATGTCAAAGGAATCGTTTCTTTTGAGCTTTTGCCGGACAATACAACGATTAATTCAGAAGTCTATTGTCATCAACTGGACAAATTGAATGATTCACTTAAAGAGAAGAGGCCCGAATTAATCAACAGGAAGGGTGTAGTGTTCCACCACGATAATGCGAGACCTCACACAAGTTTGGTCACTCGCCAAAAACTTTTACAGCTTGAATGGGACGTACTGCAACATCCACCATATTCTCCAGATCTGGCGCCTTCCGACTACTATTTGTTCCGGTCCCTGCAAAATTTTCTGGATGGCAAAACCTTTACCTCAAATGAAGATGTCAAAAACCACCTGAACCAGTTTTTTGCCAGCAAGGACCAAAACTTTTATGAGAGGGGAATTATGTTACTGCCAGAAAGATGGCAAAAGGTGTTGGACCAGAACGGCCAATATATAATTTAATAAAATATTTATTCATTATACGAAAACTGTCTTTCATGTTCCCCAAAAAAAACGAAATGACTTTCCGAACAACCCAATAATTTAACATATGCCAATACGCATCTCGTACTTTGGCTTTCTCTAGCCGTTTAACTGAATATAGAGCTTCATCTTCATCTTCTTCTTCCTCTTGGTGCTCTTCCTCACCTTTTCTTGCTTGTTGCGATATGGCTTCGTCTGTCAAGTCTGCTGTTGTAGGCAAATCCTGAACTATCAGAATAAAATCTTGCAACTCCTCACTTGTAGACGTAATTGTTGTTTGAAACTACTTTATCCACTCGCTTAGCGGGTGATCATTTCTTCCAAGTCCTGTTCGCATCCTGTCTCGGTAATAAGTCCTGCGTAAAGGCATTAACATCGCATATTAAGAGAAAAACACTTAGGACGACCCGGTTCTCGGTAATTAGATTTTAAGAGAGAGAGTGGATTAATACATAGCTTTGTATGGAGACCTAATAGTACAACAAATTTTGTTCGTAATACAGAGTATTACCTCATACAGGGTTTCGCTATAGCGAGTTTTCACTGAAGATCGAGACAGACTGTATTTGAAAGCACATTGTCCTTCGATGATATCAAAATTAGTCTTAGCTGGAAATCTTAAAAATATAAGCAAATTAACTGAACAAACCAAAAAAAAAAAAAAATCGAACCTGGAAAAATAGAAAAATAAGAGCAACTGTGGTCAGTGGTTTTTTCAGTCAATGCGTGCCAATTAAGTACACAAAATACTTTCTATATTTTTAACGGAACAATATAATGATAGTTATTACGTATGGAAATTTGAATAAAAAAGTTAACGCTAGCTAAGCACGTGTCAACTTAAAATATTATTGCGATATATTGTCCTTTGGTTCTCTCCCAAATGAATGAAAATAACCAACAGCAACGTCTTAAAAATGTACCACTCTCTGGAGCTATCGTAAAACTAAAAGCAGAAAAGTTTGCTCAACAGCTTGGCATTATCGATTTCAAGGCTTCGGAAGGACGGTTGGGGAGTTCAAACAGAGACATGGTATAAATTATGGACGGATAAGTGGCGGAACCCATGATGTCGACAGAAACGTCACTAACGATTGGCTGGAGAAGGCATAACTAGCAGAAAAGTACCCTGCTGACGACATTTTTTATGCTGATGATACTGGTATTTTTTACAAAATGACGCCAGATAAAACTAAATAAAAAAACGACAAACAACAATTGATTTCAGATAACAAGTATTTTCTCAAAAACTATTTATTCCTTTGAAAAAATTCACATACCGTGAAACGTGGGAGATCTAGGGCTATAACTTTTATTTTGGGCATTTTTTGGATTGTGTACAGGGTGTGTCGATTATGGGTAAAAAAAAACACAAATGTCTTGAAAACGGCCGTTTTCCTGGGTAAATTATTGGCTGTAAATGAAATACTACGGAACATGGGATAATTTGGTTTAAACAGTCTCGAAAATTGTGTCGAGAAAGAGTTTCAGGTTTCATCTATCATACAGGGTGCGCGAGATACTAGGAATTATATAATTGGAAATCGTTATTAATTGTACAATTTTCTATATTTATCGAAGTTTGTCGTGGCTTTGAAATTCGGCGATACGTGAAAGACGCTTTATACAGGGTGTATCCACAATATAATTACATCGAAGCGCCTTCTTTTTAAAATAAAAAGCTGCTTCGCGCTACGCGCTACGAACTTGCCCCACCCAGCTACGATTTTTCGAAAGCAATCTTGTTACTATTATTTATGTTTAAATATGTTGCAGATTTGCAGTTGGAGTTGGTGTGGGCAGCCAATTCGCAGTGGTGCCAATCTACCTGGGCGAAATAGCGGAGAACCACAATCGAGGCGTTTTGGGCTGCTTCCTGGGGGTCTTCCTCCACGTCGGATTGGCGTATCCCCTCTTCGTGGGTCCCCACGTCACCTTGGTCCACTACGCCCTCTCGTGCGCGGCGCCTCAAGTGTTGTTTTTGATCATTTTCGTGATTTTCATGCCGGAAACTCCGCAGTTTCTGCTCTCCGTGGGCAACAACGTAGAAGCGGAGCAGTCGCTGAGGAAGCTGAGACACAAGAGCGCGACTGAAATCAGAAAAGAAATGGAGGAAATCAGGAAGTGTTTGGAGAAACAAACCGGACGGACGAGAGCCGTTCAAGTATTCTGCAACTCTCGGAGCGCGAGGAAGGCCTTGTGGATAAGCGTCGGGCTGGTAGCGATCAAACAATTCTCCGGCATAAACCCGATCCTGTCCTTCATGCAGACCATATTCCAGGCAAGCGACAGCAGTATAAGTCCCCTAATATCCACCAACATCATCGGGTGCGTTCAAATTTTCGCCAACTTCGCCTGTTTCCCTATAATCGAGAAACTCGGTCGCAGGATCCTCCTGCAGCTATCCATCTTCGGCTGCGGAATGTCCGTCATGTTTCTCGGCATCTACTTTTGCCTGAAAACGCACCAGTTTGACGTGGACGCCATCTATTGGCTGCCGGTGACCTGCGTGTTCGTGTACTTCCTGTCTTTCAGCATGGGCTTGGGGTTTTTACCGTGGTGCATCATGGGCGAAGTGATGCCGCCTGCGGTTAAGGGGGTAGGATCGGCGATTACGTCGTCCGCTTCGTTCGCGTCCTCTTCCATAGTGACGTTTCCCTTTCCCATCATCAAAGAGGTCTTCGGCATGGGCGTCGCGTTCCTTATGTACGCCATCTGTTGCCTTTTGGGGATGGTTTTCGTGCATTTTTGCGTGCCCGAAACCAAAGGTAAAAGTTTAAGCGAGATACAGGAAGTTATGAAGAGTAAGCGCGATACCAAAGGAGATAAAGTGCTGTGTGGAGTGAAATGAAGTGACTTCAGTGGGGTATAGAAGTGTTTCGATCACGTGGGAACGAACGGTAACAAGGAAAGGAAAGTGTTTGTAATCTTATAGGGAAATATGCAAATACAAATGGTACTTAAAATGTAGATTTTTCCTAAATAAACACAAACGGAGGATTATGGGGCGCAGTATGAGAAATTGCACTGTAGCGAAAAATTCTATTGCGATTCAAACGAAATATACATATTGAGCGAAATTGAGTTTAAGAAATTGAGCGAAACGCCTTTACTATTGTTCTACCATCTACGAGGTGTGTTCAAAAAGTAAGTTGACTTTTAAGTACTGCTTCTCGCGAACTGGGCACAACTTTAAGACCATACTCATTATATACCGCACGACCTTGTGGTAAGAACTCTTCATGTACTGACATTCGATCGAACTTGACGTATTTGTTTCGACCTTAGTGATCCTGTGGATGGCTGGCCCTTCGTTTCGTCTGCTCCATATACCTCAGCTCTTGAACGATGCTCCTTCGGTGGTCCGTTTGTTCAAAATTAAGCAGTTTCGGAACAAATTTTGCTGGTACACGTTTCACTTCTCTAACAGTGAATCGAGGATTTTTCAACACCATTTGTTCAACTCTTTCATCAGTTGCTGGGATATCTAGAGCAAGCAGAACAGCTTGTACCACTTATAAACATTTTTTTGTGCAAATTAGATTCACCATATGCCGTTGTTAACATTTCAAGCGTTTTCCACACAAAACACTTCTAACGCTTCTGTCTCACAAAAAAGTACTGACAATGGCTGAAAATGTGAACATATGTTAGGGACGTGTGTACCAACATACCAAAAAAATATCGAAGATCAAATACACGTAGGCCGCCCAGTTACAAAAATCTTCTTACTTTTTAAACACGCCTCGTATCTGTTTTTTTAAAACGTCAAGGACAATATTTCCTTATAAATTTCGTCCAATGACCTAGAGGGGACAGGAATAGGAAGCAATCCATTTATTGTGGAAAATAGTGGTCAAAAATTGATACGTGCATCGGAAATTATGAGCCGCATATGGAGATTCTGCCTACTAATTTTTATCGTGTGTAAAACCCAATTTTGATGAGATAGTGATATAGTAAAATTAGTCTAAGTAATAAATAATAACCTTTAGAAATAGCAAAACCGATTTTGTTAAAAGGAGAGAAAAAATTTTATACCAAATGAAAACGTGCGAATTGCCGTTGTCTTTATTATTTCGTACTACCAATTAAAACAATAAAAGTGAAATGGAGTTTTATTTCGCCATAACCATCTATTCTAAAGGAAAAATATGATGAAAAGTCGGTTGTTTTCAATGCTATGCTAATATCGAACGTTAGAGTAAAAAATATAAAAAATAAAAAGAGTACATTTTTCTTTTTTTTTTTAATCAATTGTTGTTACCGTTTTCACTCAATTTAAATCAGATAAAATTACACGAAAGGGCTCACTTAAAATTATTATGATGAGAGGATAATGCGAGCCGAACACGGTCACATAACGTTGATATACTTGCGAAAAATGAGACTCCACCATTTTGTCAAAATAGCATGCGGTGGATGCGACACAATTCAAGCAATCTGACTTAGTACCCAATAATTAATGATCCTTAATTAGTTTTGGGAAATACTCCGGCAGAAAAAATATACTATTTCTAAATCTGGATGGCTCTTCGGAGCCGAAACTGTTTCAGTCCACAGGATTTCTCTATAAACAACTTTTCCCGATAAGAAGTTTTTATATTGAAATTGGTTCAAATAATTTGCTTATCCGAATGTCAATAATCGTTTAGTATTGATCTCGTTCTTAGGAGTGTATGCTATTTCATTAAAACCGTAAAAGTAAAAAAGAAGAGTCCTCTAATTTTTTTTTTTTGGCACTAGTTGGTAACTAAAACTCAAAAATTTTATTTTAGGTAGAGGTTTTATTATACACAAAAAAAAGTTCTCGATTTAACCAGTGCAATGGCGACCTAACTAATCAAAATAATGACGGATCATATCTTAGACTTAAAACAGATCGTACGTCATCTATGAAACTCAACCTTCAATTTGGTTTACGTGCTTACAAAATCCAACTCGTGCAAGAATAGAAGCCAAACGATCATCAAGTGGGCCCAAAACGAGTTTGACGTTGTTCCCGATTTTCATAAGCGAATTTTGTTTAGCGATGAAGCGCACTTCTGGTTGAACGGCCACGTCAACAAACAAAACTGCCGCATTTGGAGCGAAGCTAATCCTCAAGTGTATGTCGAAACACTGTCACATCCAGAAAAACTGACCGTTTGGCGCGCGTTATGGGCTGGTGGAATCATTGGTCCGTACTTCTTCGAAAACGATGATGGCCAGAACGTTACAGTCAATGGTGATCGGTAGAGAGCTATGATGTTCAGGAGATGTGGTTGTGACTGAAAGACACGTTTGGTGACCGCCTAATTTCACGTTTTGGACCTGTGAATTGGCCTCCAAGATCTTGTGATTTAACACCGCTAGACTACTTTCTGTGGGGCTATGTAAAGTCATTGGTCTACGCGGATAAGCCACAAACGCTTGACCATTTGGAAGACAACATTCGCCGTGTTATTGACGATATGCGGCCACAGATGTTGAAAAAAGTCATCGAAAATTGGACGTCCAGATTGGTCTACATCCGCGCCAGCCGTGGCGGTCATATGCCAGAATGCATATTTAAAATGTAATGCCACGAGATTATCTTTCGGATAAATAAAATTCATGTCAATCAAATAATCCGTCGTTGTTTTATTGCAACTTAAAGTCCTATACATCGAAAAAAAACACCCCTTATAAGCAGGCACCGAGTAAAATGCGAGCCAGTTTCAGTCAAGCTCCGAAGAAGCAAACAGGATGATTGACGAAACGTTAGCAAGCTCGACCAGTTTTGCAAACCCGCTAAAATTATGGCCAAATTTCATTAAAATATATATATCTTAATTCTTGACACCCTGTACAGTACATCATAAAGGTTCCGTGGACTGTCAAACGGTATAAATGGTTCGCAGGCAAATCAATGTATAATTATTATTAATAGATTATATATAATTGGCGCACGGAATAACAATTAATTAGCAATGAACAGTTGAAGGACAGGCTATGGTTTTTGCGGAGTTCCGTCTAATAAAAACCGATAAAATTAAAATGAGCGTGGCTGGGGCGTGGTCACCTATCGGTTTTGGTGGCCTTATTTTTTGTTTAGGTGCAGCTATAGCGTTGACGCTGGCGTTTTGCAATTATTTAATCAAATCTTTTATCGTATTTGTTAACCAAATTTCCGATTGACGACGTAAGACGCGAACTGCAGCAGGTGAATGGGTGCGAATTAATATTACAATATGGAGGTTTATGTCGGTGTAAATGAATGCAAAAAATAAATCTCCTTTAATTGGCGTCGTGTGTTTTGTTTGTTTTATTTACACCACCTGGCTGGTATATTTCCCTGACCTTGAGCAAAGATTCTTCGGTATTTACGTCAAATAACAACACCCAAATCGAAAAAAAAAGTTATATTATTAACAATACCTGAAAACTACTTTTTTCCAAAATCTTATTTCTTATTTCTATATTTTTGGGGGCCCTTTTTGTGATCTGGCAACACCGGATAATATTAGAATTATCCGCAAAGCAACAGAGTTGGCGCTGAAGCAGAGTTTCGCTGCTGTCGTCTTCGTTGTTGCGTATTTCTAGCGTTCCCGCGCTCCCCATACTGTTTGTTTCGTTAAAGCATTAAGAAACTGGCAAATAGGTAGCAAAAATGTTTATTTAACCTTTGGCGTTTCAAAATTAGGAAATGTGTCGTAAATAATAGAAAAATAGCGCCGGTTTAAAGACTTCACATTCGATACATTTAAGAGAAACGTATGAAAATAAACCACCAAGAACATCAGTAGATGCTTTGTGATGACCCTAAAGCGCTGTGCATGCCGTGCAGAGGGCATACAAGATGTCCATGCTTTGTCGAGTTGGATAGTCGGCAAGAGATAGACATTGGACTCGAATAGGATGGTCCCCTAGAACAAGCCCTACACCTGGTAGCAAAAATGTATTACGAGATAACTTAGTTGAGCCCAAACAAGTTTTACCGCCCCCTCTTCATATCAAACTTGTCTTGATGAAGCAGTTTGTTAAAGCCCTAGACAAAAATATGTCCATTTTTGTAATATCGTTTTGGTTAGTTTTGGTTAGTTGTTAGTAGTTATAAAGTAGTAGTATGAAGGAAACATATATATTTTTAAATGGAGCAATCTGTATATTATTTTTTACATTAATTGCAAATCATTTAGGCTTTTAAGAACTAAATATTAGTATAAAGTTGTTTTGGAAGAACGTGAAAAGCAACATCCGTAGGACAATACTACCAGTCTCCCAAAAAAATCTTCGATTCGTATTTGTTTCAAATACCAGTCCAGCATGCAAATGCTGAAACGATTAGAGCAACTAAATTAGAGTAAGTAAGTGGGTGGTCCCAAATTCCATAGTTTTGGATTTCGCCTTGTATCTCAAAAACCAAGAGCAAATACCCAGAGACTAATAAATTCTGAACTAAGTAGATGTACTCAATTTAAATAACAATCATAGTTATTTTGATAAATGTTTTTAATTCTCCTCATATGTGACGATTTCAAAAGCCAGTTTAACAGGCGATTTTGGTGCCCCTTTTAAAACATAAAACTTTGTCTTGCTTTAAATACATATCTTAGTATGCTTCGAAAAAAAAATTGAATTCTTGCGTCAAACAGTTTTTCATTGACAGCATTTTAAACAAGACGTGTTTTTGACCAAAGAAGGGTTGGCACCTAAAATTATTAAAGAAAGGCTGGATGGTGTGTACGACCAAAGTTCTCCTTCGTATTCTGTAGTGAAAGAATGGGCAAAACGTTTTCGAATGGGGCAGGAGCGCCTTGAAGATGATTCAAGAACTGGTCGACAAGTGGAGGTCATAACGGAAGATATTGTTGCGATTATGGAAGAGGTGGTATTAAGTGATCGACGTTTAAAGGTCAAGGAAATCTCAGAAATCGCTAAGTGTTCGTCGAATCCTGCATGATCACTTAGGTATGCATAAGGTTAGTGCAAGATGGGTTCCTAAAAACTTTTGCCTACTCAAAAACAACGCTGTGTCGAGGTTGCTCTGTGGGTCGGAACCGAAGCCTGTGATAGAAATCATTGTGATGGGAGATGAGACTATGGTTCTATATTATGACCCTCTATCGAAAAAATAATCAGAGTGGCGTCGTAAGGGTGAAGCACCTCCAAGAAAATTCAGAGTCTGCCAGTCAACAAAAAAGGTGATGGCCTCGATCTTTTCAAATTGCGAAGAAATTCTTTTGATAGATTTTAAAGAAACTAATACCACTGTCAATGGTAAATATTACGCAACATTATTACGTAAATTGCGAGACTGCATACGTTTAAAACTCCGAGGAAAACTGACTGGAGGCGTTCGTCTTTTGCACGATAATGCACCTGTCCATACTACTGGTGTTGCACAAGCTGCCATTTTAGAGTGTGGGTTCCAACAGATAGATCATCCTCCCTATAGTCGAGAAATGGCCCCCAGCGATTAGTATTTGTTTGGATATTTGAAAAAAGGTTTAACTACCAAGTTGAGTTAAAACAGGCTGTTTTAGTTCATTTTGCAGACAAACCAAAAGAATATTTTTTAAAGGGATTGAGTTGTTAATAAAGAGATGTAATCAATGTATTCAAGTTAAGGGGGATTTTATTGAAAATTAATAAAAAATTGTTACTCTACTTTGTTTCTTTCATATTCAGGCCGGGAAATTTTGGCGCCGCCCTCGTATATAACGCCTGTTTAGCCTTCAGTATATGTGATGTAAACAACTATTTCAAGATTTGATGCTGATTGAAGATGCTGTTGGACTACTTGCTAAAAATTTCATTTTTGCTAATAAACAGTGGGGTTGTTTTATCCCGAAAATTAAAAGCATGTATCTCTATCTCTTTTTGATATATCAAAGGCCCTCGACTGTGTCAAACATAATTCAACCCCAGCGTCACGGTGTCTCGCAAGGATCGGTGTTGGGCCCGCTCCTTTTCCTCATTTATTAAGCCCATTAAATGTACACTATTCGCAGACGACACCGCAATTATCTGCACAAGCTTATCTCTTGATACTCAAGTTATAAGAAGCGTGTATTTCATATATGGGGTCACCAAATATGGTGCATCTCTTCTTGGTTTGCACTATTGCTGTAGAATGCATTACCCCAGTGTATATACTTCCATGTTTAATCGAGATTCACTCTAAATTTCAAATTTTAAACATGCGTTGGATGGAGACCCAAACAAACATAACGCTAAGGTGATTTGTTGCAAAGGAGTTCAAGATCTGTTTCAAGTTTTTGGCGAACTTCTGTAATGGATTCGATACTGATCGGGGGTGCACTCTGATGCATATCAGACACATATAAAGAAAAAAAAAGAGTTAAAAGGTTTAAAGAGTTACTCGAGTATCCAAAATACTTCGATTTGGGAAATAATAGGTTATAATTATTATTACACTTACTGACATATCGCCCATCTGGTATACGGCTACGACAACATTCCGGTTTCGCTTTAATTAGGTACGCAAACCGGTCGCATAATGCCATAAACAAGAAGTGACCCTCAAGATCACGGTCGGTTGAATAAGTGAAACCAAACACACACGTAAATACTGGGGGATAAAATTCCATGTCTCGAATTACGGGCGTTTCGCCTGCATCGATCTTCCCGAGCCGTCAGAGCTTTACAGGAACAATAAAAAAATAAGTGACGCAAACAGTTGTCCAAGTTTAATAATGAGAGTTTTGCGCGATCTCTCGACCGCAAGGAAAAAATGTGGGAGCGTTTCGACTTTTTCTTATTCGGGTAATGTGTTTATCAGTAACAATAGGTTGTTTCTGTTTAAACGGTGCGGCGGATAGACTGAAATTATAGACACGATGGCTAGTCGGGAATGCGAAAACAAGGGTGAATTAGTTGAAGTCGTCTACAAGCCGACTTGCGGGTCCGCCGAGACCAGAGAGTCCGGCCTTTTGACGCCCGAGCCGGAAGAATCCAGGAAGGAGGCGTTTTTTTTGTACCTGTGCGCGTTTTCTGGTAAGCGATTTAAATATATTGACGATTTTTTTAACGAAGGCGAATTATCGGATTCTCTTGCAGCGAATATACCAAGTGACACATAAATTTCCTTACTACACAGTTATATACAGGGTTCTGAGTAATTCGAAATCGTAATATTTTTTGATTTACAGCTCCTCAAAATTCATTGTTTTAAATTTTATTTTAACGCAGCCATCTTAATTCTCAACGAAATAAGCTGATATTTTACACGCACCCCTAGAACATTTTTTTTAATTTTCCCTGTATTTTATTTACTTACACTGATATTGCAAAATAGAACAGACTGCCTTAAGCAAATCCTCAAAAATTGTTATTCTTGCTACTTTCGAAAATCGATGAAATCGAATTTTCGAAAGTATCTGCGCTCCTATACAAATTTTACATCTCGATAACGGTAGGTCCTATGGGATCGCCGTTGGTACAGAAATGATCATCGTCGAAAAAAAAATTTTTTTTTGTCTGTTTGTTCCGTCTCCGTTCTCCGTTCTGGTCTTTTGGTTTTTCCAGAATAACTTTCGAACCGTTAGAGCTACAAAATTGCAATTTCCCTCATTTTTAACCCTCCACGAGGAACATAAGCTTGCAAGAAATGGCCCTGGTCCGACGCCGGTATCCATATTTTTTTCGAGATTTTCGACTGTTTTTTGGGCCTTGCTATGAAACACGATAATTGTCCGAAATATGCAGGTTTGCCCAGTGACTTATTTTCTCGAAAACCGGTTACTATTTTCAAACAATTCTTGTGGAAAATCCAGAGCTATAACCTCTACTTCGAACAATGATTGCATCATATACAGGGTGTATCGTTTATGGGCAAAAATTCTAAAATATCCTAAAAATTTCCGTTTTTGTGGGTAAAATTATTGGCGATAAATGAAAAACCGTTAAAGATGGGATATCGTAAACCGTGTCGTGAGAGTTTCAGGTTTCGTCAATTATACAGGGCGCGAGACATTCGAAAAAATATCATCCGACAACCCTGTTATTTGTGCAAATTTTGATGTTTGCTGTAACTTTAAAGTTCCACGAGATGTGAAGGACATTTTATACAGGGTGCATGCACAATTAAATTACATCGATAACTAACCTATTTCTAATGATTCCTCAACCGTTTATTGTTTTTTATCGTAGATCATTGATATCTATATTTCATACACTAAAAAAGAAGTCCATCGGATTAAGGTCTGGTGAGCGAGGCGGCCAAGCTAGAGGTCCGCCCCGACCTATCTATCGATGTTCAAATGTCTGATTTAAATATCTTCTACAGCCCTTAAGGGTACCTCTTCCGGCAAAGGTGATAGTTGCTCTTGGAGAAATTGCAAATACGTTTCCTCGTTAAGCGATCAGTTAAAGAAATGAGGTCCTGTAAGATTATCTTCTATAATCCCTGCAACTCTGCTGATGCATATTTCTAAAATTTACAGCCATCACGCAGCCCCGTCAATGAACAAAATGGCGGATAATTTTGAACTTTCATTGCATAAAATTTAAACTTAACAAATAAAAACTTGAAACAAGAGTAACAAGTTCCCTCGGTTCCATTTTGCAATATCAGCATAAATAAATAAAATACAGGGAAAATTAAAAAAAAATCTAGGTAAAGTGTCCTCTAGCGGCAAATTTTCGACACACTTTTATCTTCGAACGATGACTTTTACTAAATCAAGGCTGTGTGTAAAATACCAGTTGAGAATTAAAAATAAAACTAAAAAAAAATAAAAAATTTCGCACACCCTGTATACTTGAAACACCAATTGAAATCGATATACGTATGAGTCGTTGTAACCTATTGGGTTGTTCGGAAAGTCATTTCGTTTTTTTTGGGGAACATGAAAGACAGTTTTCGTATAATGAATAAATATTTTATTAAATTATATATTGGCCATTCTGGTCCAACACCTTTTGCCATCTTTCTAGCAGTAACACATTTCCCCTCTCATAAAAGTTTTGGTCCTTGCTGGCAAAAAACTGGTTCAGGTGGTTTTTGACATCTTCATTTGAGGTAAAGGTTTTGCCATCCAAAAAATTTTGCAGGGACCGGAACAAATAGTAGTCGGAAGGCGCCAGATCTGGAGAATATGGTGGATGTTGCAGTACGTCCCATTCAAGCTGTAAAAGTTTTTGGCGAGTGACCAAACTTGTGTGAGGTCTCGCATTATCCTGGTGGAACACTACACCCTTCCTGTTGATTAATTCGGGCCTCTTCTCTTTAAGTGAATCATTCAATTTGTCCAGTTGATGACAATAGACTTCTGAATTAATCGTTGTATTGTCCGGCAAAAGCTCAAAAAAAAACGATTCCTTTGACATCCCACCAAACGGAGAGCATCACCTTTTTTTGGTGAATGTTGGCTTTTGACACGCTTTGAGCCGGTTCATCTTTTCCGCTCCATGACCTCTTGCGTTTAACATTGTTGTATACAACCCATTTTTCGTCCCCAGTAATAATCCGCTTCAAAAATGGATCATTTTCTTGACGTTTGAGGAGCGAATCACACACGTCAACGCGACGACACAAATTTCGCTCCGTAAGGACATGGGGCACCCACACATCGAGCTTCGAGGTTAAGCCCGTGCCTTTCAAATGGCCATAAGCAGTCGAATTCGACAAATTTAATCTCTCACCGATCTCTCGTGTGGTTATTCGCCGATTTGCATCAACTAATGCCTTTATCGCATCTTTGTCAGCTTCGACCGGCCTTCCAGACCGTGGTGCATCTTCGACATCAAAATTGCCGGATCGAAATTTTGCAAACCAGTTCTGGCACTGGCGTACTGTTAACACGCCTTCTCCATACACATCCGTCAATTTTTTCTCGCTTGGACAGCATTTTTACCTTTTCTGAAGTAAAAAAGTAAAATATGACGAAAATGCTGCTTATTGCTCTCCATATTTAAAAGGGCACCAACCAAAAACTACTGCGTAGAATTACACACACACAAGCCTTGCAATATCAGCTCTCAAGACATATAATGGTTATGCGGCTTTAGTGTGAAGTTGGTTTCGAAAAAACGTAATTAAGTCCTCTGACGGGAAAAAACGAAATGACTTTCCGAACAACCTTATATTTAAAAAATAATTAGAAAGAATACAGTAAATAGGAATAAACGCGCATTTAAGACATTTTTAGAAAATATTCTAATTGAACTTTCATTTTACAATGTTACTGAATTTAAGATATTTATATTGGGGTGTGTGTGCTGCATATTTTCTTTTTAAACCTGTCGTATGACTTTCCATGTACTGCTGCGTATATAAAAGGTCAATAAACGCTATTATATTCTATTCTATTCTATAAAAATTTTCAAATTCATACATCATATTTAATTCGATAAATGAGGATTGATTTATTAAAATTATGTTACAACTTTGCCATGAAATGTACAGGGATGACGATGTTTCCTATGTTCCCTTCGGCGATGCATCACCCGGTATACGTTTTCTGAAAAATATGGTTTATTAAGATCGGCGCCCTTGCGTTAGCGCAATGCGGAAAGGGTATGGTCTGTTCATAGATATAAGAAAGTGACCAATTGCCTTTGAATGGGATTATCCAAGGGTAGTCATTAACATACAATGCGACAAGATTATTAACTAATGTTTCGGAATTTCAATTCAGGTAAAATTGTGGTCCGTTTACCACTGTATATTTAATCCCATTGAACATGTTTGAAATCTGCCATTCGTCGTAACAATGTTTACCAACAAATTATGTTAAACATATAGAAAAAGCAGAACAATTGCAAATAATATAGAACACATAATAATTAGAACAGGCAATGATAGCGATAGTGATACTGATATATTATGTGAATAATTTTAAGTAATTTAGGTAGGTAATAAAAATAATTTATAATTTTATTTTAGATTTAGACATAAGTACATACATAACTAAATAAATATTGTTTAATATCTTTCCTAACAAAACACCAAATAATTAAATTCTAAGCAAATTACGGACCTGTTCGGCCATATTTCATTCTTACAGCTTGCCCGGATCTTTAATTAATTCGTATCAGTTAGTCACTTTCTTATATCTATGAACAGACTTTAACAACAGTCGAATTATTTGTGTGTTAAATGGCCCATTCGTGTGTCGGTTAAATCTAATATAATGAACGTAAGGGTAAGTCCAAATTTCTTATCACAGTCACAGTTTACAGTCCCTACGGCTATCACAAAATCGCTAGAGGGTAAAAGAAGGCGCTTTTTAACCAGCTAACCGATAACCACCCGAAAAAAGACTCAAAACTCACTTCTAATTTTTCTCAACCATTCACCAAGTGGTACATATGTTTATTCAAGCCGAACTTCTAACATTCATCGGAGGCATAGGACTGTCGTGGACCTCCCCCATCATACCGAGACTACACGGACCTGAAAATCCCTTCGCTCACCCGATCACTACTAACCAAGAGGCGTGGATAGCAGCGTTTCTTCCCTTAGGAGCCGCAGTAGGTCCGTTCGCGGCTGGTCATTTTGCCGACAAACTCGGAAGAAAAAAAGCCCTGTTGCTTATATCCATACCGATGTTCGTCGGATACGCGATATTGTCTGCCGCTGCACACGTGGAACTCTATTACTTCGCCAGGTGAGTCGGTAATAACCTCGTTCCGGTTCCCTAACCGCACTCTTTCCTTGCAGATTCATCGTTGGCCTGGGAGTCGGCAGTTCGTTTGCATTGGTGCCGATGTATATCGGGGAAATCACGCAAACCTTCAATCGCGGCAAATTCGGCTGCTTCATGGGGCTCTCCGTCGTGTTGGGTCTTTTCTATCCCTTTTCCATTGGTCCCCACCTAAGCATCCCGCTCTACAGCGTATGCTGCGCAGTGCCCCTAGTTATATTCTTTGTCGTGTTTTCCGCATTCATGCCTGAGTCTCCCTATTTCCTCGTGGCCGCCGATGATCACCTCAAAGCCCAAAAGGTAATGGTCCGGTTACGCCCAAAGGGCGTAGACGTCAACAAAGAAGTGGCAGCCATAAGAGAGAGCTTTGCCGCTGAGAATAGGGCGGCACCAAGCTTCCACGAAGTCGTAACGTCCAAGGTACTTCGCAGAGCGATAGTCGCCGCACTGGGTCTGGTTCTGCTTCAACAATTCGCAGGGATAAATCCTATTCTCTCCTTCATGAAGACGATTTTTGAGGCCAGCGGCAGTACCATATCCCCCAACGTATGTACCGTGATCATCGGTGTAGTGGAAGTCAGCTCCAACATCGCCTGCGTCTTCGTGGTGGAAAAGCTGGGCAGAAGGGTTCTATTCCTGGGTTCCTGTTTGGGTTGTTTCATTTCCATCTCCGCCTTGGGGGTTTATTTCTACCTTAAAGCCCACGATCACGACGTCGATTCGCTTTTTTGGCTTCCAGTGTTCTCTCTGATAGTATACAACGTTTTCTTCAGTCTGGGGTTGGGCCCGTTGCCTTGGGCTGTTGTCGGTGAAGTGTTCCCTTCGAATATTAAAGGCTTCGCGACCGCCGTGTGTTCCGGGTCGAATTTTTTAGTATCCTGCGTTATTACGTTCTTATTCCCGTTGATATCGGAAGCTCTGGGTATGGCCGGGTCGTTTTGGCTATTCGGGGCTTTCTGTTTCGTCGGAATTATCTTCGTGTATTATTTCCTGCCCGAAACGAAGGGCAAAACTTTGGCGGAGATTCAAAAAATGCTTGCCGATTAGAACGCAACGATCGCACGCGGTTCTCTAACATCAATTAGAAAGTCAATGCGATTCCAATTAGGAATTTAATAAAAATACGACCTTGCTGTAAATCCATCTTGTTATTCTTTATGCATACTAATCATAATTTTCAAAGTTGATTTGGAATTACGTAATTTGTGCCATTAAAGGTGGTCCGACGCGTCTCCTCCTCTAATGATGAAGTGTCAAACTTCATATGAACATATATGTATTAAACAGATACAGTGGCGAGAGTTTCGTATGTCAATTTTGGTAGATATCAATGGCGCGCGACTGAATTTATTAAGAGATCAAATCTGCTCATAAGTGAATGCAAATGTCATTTATTTTTGGAAATCAGTGGCCTGCCACTGACTGTTTATGAACAAATAATATTTTGGTTGATTATCTAAAACAAAATGTCTAGTTTTTAGTGAGAAAGCTTTTACGTTTTAATGAAATAACATAACATTCTAAAAACAAGATAAATAATAAACTATTTTTATTTAAAAAAAAGGCAGTAACCTAGTATTAATAGTTTTTAACAAAATTATATGTTAATAAATAAATAACAACCTAGGGGGCCATGGTTGAGGCCCTGCGCGATCAAATCATATATATTATTAAATGTATGATTTAAATATTATCTTACTGCAATTAAATATGGTACTTCTTCCAGCAATACTGGCAAATCTTCTTCCAAAAATCGGCGGTAATTAGGCCATTTAGCCATTCTGGATTTTCATCAATAGAGTTTAAAACTGCTTCTTTAATAATTAAATAACAAGAAATACTAATGATAAAAATTAATTAAGAAGAACTTTAATTTTTTTACCGAAAACCTTAAATAGAATTTAAAAAAATAAAAAATATATTTTTTTTCAGGAACGATTGGATAATTTTTATTTTAAGGGGCTCGGTGGCGCGCCATCTGGTGTATTTGAAAAGAAATGTGCGTCTAAAGTGGTATGTCAAAAGTTGAGATGTTTAGGATATACGTACATACGTACGTATAGCTTCGTTGGCTACCTATCAAATGTTAGAATTGTGTAAGCACGTACATAATAGCTTAAATCTGACTGCAATTGTAAATTGTAATAAAGCAATACCAACTTTAGCAAAGTAATCCTGATCTCTATCTCAGGAATTCCTAATTTAGCGTTATTTTAGAATACGAAAGTGTTTTTTCTATAAAACCATTTAAAATTATTACACATTTGTTTTATTTTGGGTCAAATTGTGTTGGGTATAGCGAAATGGACTGCTTTGTTGTTTTGGCTGGAAGAAATGCCAGTTCAATATTCCGCAGATTTGGAATATGGGGATGTGCAGGGCACTTATCTAAGAGAAGTAATATTTTCCTCCCTTTTAAGTTTTCAAAGAAATTTCCGTCTTGCGTCTGTTTTTGCTGAGTCGAACTTGCTGACGTTTCGCCAATCATCCTGCTGGCAATGGTGTGCTTTTATACATACCGATAAAGGCATTAACATAATCGCATATTATGAGAAAAACACTTAGAACCACCACCCATTAGGGTAAGGAATTCTGAGAAAGTAAGAGACTCTATTAACATTAGATTAGCGTTACTTACTTTGTTAAATGATGTGCCGTTTTTTCTTCCGGTATGGAGAGTGAGAAATTCGTTATACAGAGTGGATTAATACATGGAAACCTAACAGTACAACAAATTTTGTTCGTAATACAGAGTTTTCGCTATAGGGAGTTTTCACTGTACAAATAAAAAAAATTTGGTTTTTAATCCGCAAATTTCCGACAAATTTTTTAATTCGCTATAAATCCCCCGGAATAAAACAATGACATACCAGTGGCAAAATCAACATAAATACCGCGTAATAAGTCCCTCGCGTTGCCATTATACGTTTCGACATACCAAGCGTGTTTAATAGTTGGTATCTAAAACAGATTGATAATAACCTTAATCCGTCCGATATTATCTGGCTTTAAATCTCATGTCGCAAGGGAAGAAATTGTAAATAAAAAATAATCAGTCTACGGATTCAAATTTAATCTTGCTAAAATTGAGTAGCTTGCTAGTTCCGTTCGGATTCGCGACAATGCAAAAAGGCAGCAATTTATACATTTACGTAACGGCCCTATCGGGTAAATCGAAATTCATCATTCTTCGGACGATAGTTAACGACGGCTGTTTTCATTTCCAGCGAATTTGTTCACGTTCGGAGTGGGGATCGGATACGGTTGGAGTTCTCCAGCGTTGCCAAAGCTAAGCGGAAGCGTAGATCCAGAGCAGAATCCCTTACCGGAACCCGCTACCGTCTCTGAGCAATCATGGATGGCATCTTTGCTAAGGTATGTCGTGCCCAAATTTAATCAAACGCATCAAAAATATTGACAATAGTTTGGGAGCGATGACTAGTCCGATCGTGACTGCTCTGCTAGCCGAGAAGATTGGAAGAAAGAAGACGTTGCTCATATTTTCTTTGCCGATGGTCGCGTCCCATTTGATCATGGTATTCGCCAACAAAGTTTTCCATTTCTATATAGCCAGATTTTTAATAGGGGTAAGTGAGATGCTCAATTAAATCAATAAACCATTACCATTCTATGGTGGTATAGATACGTGGATGATGCCTTTGCTTGCTTTGTTGGGACGGACAGATAATTGAATTCTTTTTTTAATTACATTAACTTATTACATAATCGTATAAAATCCACTATCGAGATCGAACAGGATAACTCTGTTAATTTTGTAGACTTAACTATTACGAAAACGCAAAACAAATTAGACTTTTACATTTACCATAAACCTTCACACACGGACACAGTCACACATAACAGTTCCAATCACCCTTATACTTCTTAATACGCCATTCTCAACAGTAAATTACAACAAAGGACTTAATATCATTAAACAAATTGCACTGAACAACGGCTACAATCCGTCCATTATCGATAAAATTATAAATAAAAAACAAATCCAGACAACAGTAAACTCTATAATACAGAACACGAACAATTTCAATTTCATACATAGGAGAACCCAGTGAAAAAGTTTCAAAACATTTGTCAAAATGTGGTTTAAAAATAGCTTTCAGAACTAACAACACAATAGGAAAAGCATCACATGCCGTAAAAGCATCCTCGAAGACTCTTGTTGAAATGCCAGATTCACCCCCACCAACATGTTTCATTCCAGGTTCAATGCTTTTTAAGTGAATCAATGAAATGTTTTCAAACCTCGCGAACTCCGTGGCGCTGTGATTTTCCGTATCCTGGTTTAGATCTAAACACATCAAATCGACGGATGGTCTAGTTATTGCCGATATGATATCTTCAATGCTCTGCGCAAAATATTTATTAAACTCACTGGGTAGATCCTTATCAGTTTTCAGCAGTCCCTGTTCAAAAACAATTTCCCTTGGCCTGGATAAGCTTTTATTCGGGATTAATGTATTCATATGTTTCCAGAGCTCTTTTGAATTTTGCTTATTTTCATCACCTCTCTGAAGTATTTGTCTTTTTCATACTTTATTTTATTAACAACAACGTCTCTGCGACGAACAGCTCTAACATAAATTTTATCTCTTGCTTTCATCAATTTTGCTGCTTCCTTGAGGTACATTGTATTTAGTATGGCAGTTATATCTATATCTATCGGCAATCACGTCAACATTCGAGTGCCAACCATAAACTGACACTTTGAAGCTGTTCAGCAGTATACTTTTCCCAGCACCTTCTGAAAGAATCTATCAAATAATTTCTGGACAACTTCTGAACATCAATGGTTAAAATGATCCATGATTTTTGGTGTCAATTGGACTTTGTGCGACAGGTTTTTTTCATTAGAGACAATATAGCCAATAAGGAAAACGCATCAACATGTTACACGCTGGGTCAGTAGACGGATTTGTCCGAAACTGCTTGCTGTTTTCTGCAGAGAATATTAAATATTCCAGCAGGGATTGTCATGAGGACACAAGTAACTTTTCGAAAATTGGTGGCAAAACGATCTTTGAAAAAATATTCCCGATAACAGAGTGGATAACACAAACCACAACAGTCGTCTGAAAAACTGAAATCCAGGAATATTTGTTAGAAAATGATATTTATTTTGAATTCAGTTACAAAAGAACCAAGTAAAAGCAAAGGCCAGAGCAGAAAATGTAATTCCGATTTTATGTCCCGGTGTTACACATTTGATGAAAAGTCTAATTGGGAAAATTCACTGCAGACCATTACAAAAATTGAGTACTCTTAATTAATATCAATGACGTGTCTGATAGTGAAACAGATTTAGATTTGTACATTCAGAATAAAAACATAATTAAGTATAGATATGAATTTATTGTATTACATTTAATGTCATTGTTTTTTCATAGTGTAATTTAATAAGTATTTACCCCCCTAAATAAACAAAAAAAAAAGTATTATTACGAAAAACTTTGAGAGTCTGTCCCTAATGTTCTGAGACAGACTCTATGCGATTGGAAGTTACTGAGGCTTGGTTTATAATGACCGACTATAATGACTATAATTTATTTCTTCGGAAATATCTCTCTTTTGACTTTTTCACCGAAGAAAATGCAGAAATTTATGTAAACAGGTCTTATTTTTAACAAAAAAAATCCGATATGGACTACAACTTATTTCTTCAGAAACATCTCTCTTTTGACTTTTTCACCGAAGAAAATGGCAGAAATTTATGTAAACAGCTCTTATGTTTAACCAAAAAAAATCCGATATGGACTACAACTTATTTCTTCAGAAACATCTCTCTTTTGACTTTTTTACCGAAGAAAATGGCAGAAATTTATCTAAACAGCTCTTATGTTTAACCAAAAAAAATCCGATGTGGACTACAACTTATTTCTTCAGAAACATCTCTCTTTTGACTTTTTCACCGAAGAAAATGGCAGAAATTTATCTAAACAGCTCTTATGTTTAACCAAAAAAAATCCGATATGGACTACAACTTATTTCTTCAGAAACATCTCTCTTTTGACTTTTTCACCGAAGAAAAAGGCAGAAATTTATGTAAACAGCTCTTATGTTTAACCAAAAAAAATCCGATATGGACTACAACTTATTTCTTCAGAAACATCTCTCTTTTGACTTTTTCACCGAAGAAAATGGCAGAAATTTATGTAAACAGCTCTTATGTTCAACCAAAAAAAATCCGATATGGACTACAACTTATTTCTTCAGAAACATCTCTCTTTTGACTTTTTCACCGAAGAAAATGGCAGAAATTTATGTAAACAGCTCTTATGTTCAACCAAAAAAAATCCGATATGGACTACAACTTATTTCTTCAGAAACATCTCTCTTTTGACTTTTTCACCGAAGAAAATGGCAGAAATTTATCTAAACAGCTCTTATGTTTAACCAAAAAAAATCCGATGTAGACTACAACTTATTTCTTCAGAAACATCTCTCTTTTGACTTTTTCACCGAAGAAAAAGGCAGAAATTTATGTAAACAGCTCTTATGTTTAACAAAAAAAAATCCGATATGGACTACAACTTATTTCTTCAGAAACATCTCTCTTTTGACTTTTTCACCGAAGAAAATGGCAGAAATTTATGTAAACAGCTCTTATGTTTAACCAAAAAAAATCTGATATGGACTACAACTTATTTCTTCAGAAACATCTCTCTTTTGACTTTTTCACCGAAGAAAATGGCAGAAATTTATGTAAACAGCTCTTATGTTTAACCAAAAAAAATCTGATATGGACTACAACTTATTTCTTCAGAAACATCTCTCTTTTGACTTTTTCACCGAAGAAAAAGGCAGAAATTTATGTAAACAGCTCTTATGTTTAACCAAAAAAAATCCGATATGGACTACAACTTTTTCACCGAAGAAAATGGCAGAAATTTATCTAAACAGCTCTTATGTTTAACCAAAAAAAATCCGATATGGACTACAACTTATTTCTTCAGAAACATCTCTCTTTTGACTTTTTCACCGAAGAAAATGGCAGAAATTTATCTAAACAGCTCTTTTGTTTAACCAAAAAAAATCCGATATGAATATTCTTCTTTCAAAATTTTAAAAGCAACTTTTAATGGGATAGGGTTTTATCACGCCTCGCTTAAGTAAAAAGCATCCATTTTTTTAAATTATATTTGACAATTACAATGATAACATATTTTTTTAATATAAATTTTTATTTATATATAAATAATTTCACTATTGCGGTTGCTATTACCACCCGAACCCAAATTAAGAGTTTTGATGACCCTTTTGTGGAAAGAATCTTCTACTAAAACTGGCATATCTTATTTAGGTTAGTGTGGGCTGCATGTTCACTGTCATACCGGTCTTCGCGGCAGAGATATCCCAAAAACACAACAGAGGCGTCGTGGGACTCATACTCAACGTGATGATGACCTGCGGTCACCTCATGGCTGCCGTCGTGGGACCGTACGTCACCATAAGCGCGCTCAGCATCATATCCTTGGTCCCCATAGTGGCCTTTTTGGTGATTTTCGGTTTGTTCATCCCCGAAACCCCGTATTTTTACGCGCTGATCGACAACAAGACCGAAGCGGAACGAAGCCTCATGCGACTGAGAAGAACAGCTTCGGTGGAGCAAGAACTCACTGAGATAATCAAAAGCGTCAAGGAGTTGAAGTTATCCCAAAATAGAAACTTCGTGGAGTTGTTCACCGACAGGTACCACCTGAAGACCCTCGTCTGGGTGATTTTCGTGTTGTTCTTCCAGCAGTTCACCGGCATGATTTACATCATCTCTTACACCCAAAAGATCTTCGACACTGCAAACACTCCGCTTTCTGGTGACGTGGAAGTGATGATCTTCACGGCGGTGCAATTGGTAGCCGTTCTGTTTTCCACGCAAACCGTCGACAGAATAGCGAGAAAAGTCCTAATGATCGGCTCTTTGGTGTTAATGCTCCTGCCCAACGCGGCGATGGCTATCTATTTCAATCTCCTAGACTCCGACTATGACGTCAGCGTGGTATCTTGGATACCGGTAGCGGCTCTAATCGTCTTCATCTCTGCCTACAATTTAGGCATAGGGCCTTTGGGGTTCGTCTTCGAAGGGGAAATCTTCGACCCCAACGTGAAAGCCTGGGGTGTGACCGTCGGTACCTGTTTTAAGCTCTTGGTGCAATTTCTAGCAGCGATGTTCATGCCGTCACTCTCGCAGGCGCTCGGATTCTTCGTCCCTTTCTGGATCTTCGCCGGGTTCACGTTGATCGGCATCGTCTTCATCCGGATTTGCATACCCGAGACCAAAGGCAAGAGCTTTTTGGAGATACAGCATTACGTGCGGAACAAGAAGTAGAAAATAAAGGACCGTTTTGTAAGAAATTCGTTTCTGTTTTTGCCACGAGTTGAAGGCTGTTCCCCGATACGTCATTTGCGAAAAAAAAAAAAATCACCGCACTAGACCTTCAGACATTCGTAAATCCTGAACCGGAGCAATACGTAGTAAAAATTGCGTCAGTCCACTTGTTTTTTTATTACGGAACTTTTAAGCGCGTGTCGCAAGTCGAGGCAGTAATAGATATTAAAATTTTACTATTAACAATTATTTGTAACACAAAGTTGATTGAATGAATAGAATAGAATCAAACTCAAACTAACGACTAACCAAAACCCGATGCTCTGAAAACATTTATTTTGTTCGATACCATAGAACATTTCAAAAAGATGCCTAAAATCACTGATAATAATAAATAGCAGCTTGTACAACACCGTCAGTATGGACAGGTGCATTATCGTGCAAAAGAAGCACGCCTCTGGTCAGTTTTAATCGACGTTTTACACGTACGCAGTTTCGCAATTTATGTAGTAATGTTGCGTAATATTTACCATTGACAGTGGTATTAGTTTCTTTAAAATCTATCAAAAGAATTCCTTCACAATCCCAAAAGATCGTGGCCATCACTTTCTTGTTGACAGACAGACTCTGGATTTTCTTGGAGGCGCTTCACCCTTACGACGCCACTCCATTGATTCTTTTTTCGATAGAGGGTCATAATAGAGAAACATAGTTTCATTAACTTTATTATTTACATAGTAGCAGGTAATTTGTAAATATTACATTTGATAAAGACACGGTGTTGTCGAAACAATTGTCATGAAAAAATATATTGGGTTGTTCGGAAAGTCATTTCGTTTTTTTTGGGGAACATGAAAGACAATTTTCGTATAATGAATAAATATTTTATTAAATTATATATTGGCCATTCTGGTCCAACACCTTTTGCCATCTTTCTGGCAGTAACACAATTCCCCTCTCATAAAAGTTTTGGTCCTTGCTGGCAAAAAACTGGTTCAGGTGGTTTTTGACATCTTCATTTGAGGTAAAGGTTTTGCCATCCAAAAAATTTTGCAGGGACCGGACCAATAGTAGTCGGAAGGCGCCAGATCTGGAGAATATGGTGGATGTTGCAGTACGTCCCATTCAAGCTGTAAAAGTTTTTGGCGACTGACCAAACTTGTGTGAGGTCTCGCATTATCCTGGTGGAACACTACACCCTTCCTGTTGATTAATTCGGGCCTCTTCTCTTTAAGTGAATCATTCAATTTGTCCAGTTGATGACAATAGACTTCTGAATTAATCGTTGTATTGTCCGGCAAAAGCTCAAAAAAAAACGATTCCTTTGACATCCCACCAAACGGAGAGCATCACCTTTTTTTGGTGAATGTTGGCTTTTGACACGCTTTGAGCCGGTTCACTTTTCTGCTCCATGACCTCTTGCGTTTAACATTGTTGTATACAACCCATTTTTCGTCCTCAGTAATAATCCGCTTCAAAAATGGATCATTTTCTTGACGTTTGAGGAGCGAATCACACACGTCAACGCGACGACACAAATTTCGCTCGGTAAGGACACGGGGCACCCACACATCGAGCTTCGAGGTTAAGCCCATGCCTTTCAAATGGCCATAAACAGTCGAATTCGACAAATTTAATCTCTCACCGATCTCTCGTGTGGTTATTCGCCGATTTGCATCAACTAATGCCTTTATCGCATCTTTGTCAGCTTCGACCGGCCTTCCAGACCGTGGTGCATCTTCGACATCAAAATTGCCGGATCGAAATTTTGCAAACCAGTTCTGGCACTGGCGTACTGTTAACACGCCTTCTCCATACACATCCGTCAATTTTTTTCTCGCTTGGACAGCATTTTCACCTTTTCTGAAGTAAAAAAGTGAAATATGACGAAAATGCTGCTTATTGCTCTCCATATTTAAAAGGGCACCAACCAAAAACTACTGCGTAGAATTAATAGAACTTTTTCACATACAAGCCTTGCAACATCAGCTCTCAAGACATATAATGGTTATGCGGCTTAAGTGTGAAGTTGGTTTCGAAAAAACGTAATTAAGTCCTCTGACGGGAAAAAACGAAATGACTTTCCGAACAACCTTATATAATTTCGTGAAAATCTAATTCAATTCAATCCTTAATAATTGGCATTTAATTAGAACACCATTTACATGGGGAGTAGTTTAAATGTACCGATCTGTCTGGCCAGGGTAATGTCGACACGCTTAATCGGGCATTTTAAAGTAGGATGGAGAAAGGGCCAGGGTCGTTTGTAAGCGAAAACATAATGATAAACCGAATGTCCTGATAAAAATAGGTGGCCCATTGCATCATCGTGCGATTTTTCTAAACTGACACCGAATCAGATGGTAAATCTTTATTGCACTAACTATTTCTGGCAATCCAGCCAAACTCAGACGTGCAATTTATCTCAAAAAGAAAAAAATGTTTACGACTATTTCAATCCCGACGTACGCGACGTATAAATTGAACGTCGTAGCACGTTTTGTGCACGAAAATGGCGGCCAAATCGCCCCTATTCACTTACGTCGCTGCTGGGTCAGGTGAGCTTTTCGCGGAAAAAACGGACCGGATATCTTAGACCGTGACATTTAGCGAACCTGATGACGTTCGGGGTGGGAATGGGCTACGGATGGTCGTCGCCGTCTTTGCCGAAACTAAACGGCCAGGTGGATCCCCAAAGTATTCCACTGTCGATACCGACCACCGTTCTGCAAGATTCTTGGATAGCTTCTCTGCTGAGGTAGTTCTAGTACGAGAGCTAGCAACGTCAGGTGCAGGTAAAATATCAATTTCCCAAATCATATTAAGAAGGTTCCTTTTTTTTTCATTATCCATTATTGAATCCATTATTGCCAGATATTTGTATTGTTGTTTAAAAATCGTTCTCAAAATATTCTGACTGAGAATGAAGCTTTAGTCATCATTATAATAATAACATCTTTATTATCCCAGATATTTAGGATACAATCAGTGAACTATGGATTTCGTCAAGTACGTCAATATAGATCATACAAATTAAGCAGAAAATTTCATTAAAAATGTATATCATAAAAATATATGTGATGACAAACATTAACAGGTAAAATACCGGTTCAAATTATAAAAACAGTTTCCTAGGAGGAAAAACTTTGGTTTGGATTTAAAAATGTTTACATTATTATTGCTCTTTAGCTCTGGTGACAGTCTATTGTAGACTGTAATGCCGGCGTTCGTAATTTTTTTTTATGGAGAAACAGTCTTTATTTTTTTTAAATATTTTCTGACCCCCCAGCCCCCCCCCATTTTCAATAGGTTCCGTTGAGGAGCAAAGCTGCAAAATATGCCAAATATGAAGTCGATTGCTTCAAATTTCGAACACTTATCGTGTTTCATGGCAAGGTCCAAAAAACAGTCGAAAATCGCGAAAAAAAGATGGATATCGGAGTCGGACCAGGGCCATTTCTTAATAAGCTTATGTGCCTCGTGGAGGGTTAAAAAGGATGCAAATTTCAATTTTGTAGCTCCAACGGTTCGAAAGTTATTCGGGAAAAACCAAAAGGCGAGAACGGAGAACGGACAGAAAAAAAAATTGTTTTTTCGACGGTGATCGTTTCTGTACCAACGGCGGTCCCATAGGACCTACGGTTACCGAGATATAAATTTTTTATACGAGCGCAGATACTTTCGAAAAATTCGATTTTCGTAAGTAACAAGAATGAAAATAATAATGGACTCAAAAGAAACCTCCTTAAAATGTTTTGAAAAATTTATATTTTCCCTGTACAGGTGCGCACTGGCCTACCCGAAACTCCCTCTCTTAGACTGTACGGTATCAGAAGTTTTAATTACGTCTCGTTTCAGTTTAGGGGCCATGTGCAGTCCGTTCATCACCGTGTTTCTCTCCGAAATCATAGGAAGAAAGAAGACGCTGCTCGCATTTTCTTTCCCCATGATCGTATCTCATTTAATTATGATATTCGCCACGAAGGTTGTCGACTTCTACATCGCGAGGTTTATGATTGGGGTGAGTACAACGTTTCCAACTCTCGTAAAAAGTTTGTGAATTTAGACTCTTTTTAAGAAATTGTGTTTTTCTTTTTACTTAAAGCCTAAATTGATAATTTTTTCACCACATTTTGCGGGTCAAGTCTCCTATTGGTTCCGAAAGTAATGGAAAAATGCTAAAAATAATTTCTCAAATCAATTTTGAAATTTCGTTTTGAATTCGTGTTGAGTTTTTTTTTGCTAATAATAATACGTGCATAAACCTAATGGTTTTTCCTGAAAAAATACTAGCTTTCACATTTGCAAGAGAAAAATTGTTCTCTGACAAAAATTCAACCACATTAAAAACTTTAGATCGACTTATTAATCTGATAATCTTTCGCCAATGCCAGTAGTTGATGACATATGACATAACTTCTTGCGTAAGCAACATTACAGTGAAATTTGACATTTGCATTTTGACGTTTGCCAATTCGGACGGGCATGTCATTGAATGTATTTGTGTTTTTCTTTGCAAAAACTAATGATCGTAGAAAAAAAAAACTAAGCAACACGTTGGTAAGATTCTTGTTGACGTTGGAATGTTCATAAGTGCATAGGAAAGATTATGGTCAACTATGAAATGGTAAATCATAGTGACAGCACTTGTTTCGTTCAAACGCCGTCACAGCCAACTGGCACTAACTGAACTTGTATGGCAACAGCATATTATTTGTGATGGACAAATGTTTAAAAGGTAAATATTTCGAAAAGTAACAATATTATATGTAATATGTAAAGTTTGCTTAATTTTTAATGCTAAATATGACCAAAAAAAAGTTTTTTGGCAGTTGTTGTCATTTTAATTTTAATATGTATCGAAAATTTGTTTTCTTCCCCGTGCAGTAAAATGTTCAAATGTATATTGTAAAGTCTGTTCATAGATATAGGAAAGTGACTAACTGATACGAATTAAGGAAAGACCCGGGCAAGCTGTAAGAATGAAACAGGTCAGGAACAGGTCCGTACTTTGCTTAGAATTTAATTATTTGGGGTTTTGTTAGAAAAGATCTAAACAATGTTTATTTGTTTATGTATATATTTATGTTTAAATCAACTGTCTACTGTGATAACTTACATTGTCCGTTACAACTAAGCCATAAGGAGGAATGTTTGGAACTAGTTTGCTTTTAAACCAACTTTCAAATACATCAGCGGTGGTGTCTTCATGGTAATCCAGAGAAGAATCTTTAATATTTTTCGCAGACAGAGAAAGTCCAATTGGAATTCGACCATCTTTAGAGCCATCATGCAAAATCGTTATTCTTTCACCTCTTTTTGGTGGCGCGTTTGTTTTACACTTATCAGTTGAGTCGACCCAACCGTTTTCCGGGGTATCAGAAGTGTCGAACCAGGTTTTATCCAAGTTCTCTGTAAATCCTAATTTTTTCTAGATATTCCAGTCGCCATTTCCGAACTCTAAAAGATTCCATTAAAACTTGCCTTTTGTCATTTTTTTTAAATCTAAAACCCATGTATTGAATACACTTCCATAAGGTAGTTCTGCCACATTTAACACCGGTTTCATCTTTTTCAAGCCTCCTAATTAAGATATCTAATGTAGTCACGCTTTGTTCCTCGTATAACTGGTAAATTTTACGCCGTATTATATCTTGATCACTTTCATCGAGGAAATATCAGCATCGCTTCTTTTTTTCCTCGCTGAAATGGGATTATTCACAATTTTCCATGCAGTTGATGTGGGAATTTTCGTCAATGTGGCCGTTTCTTCTAAAGATGCTTGCTTGCTGGCACCACTTTCAATGAGAGTCAAACAAACATTGTTTATAACTTCCTTAGTCTCAATAGAATAGTGTTTTCTACACTTGGGCGGGAGCATCTCCTGAGATACACTAGACTAGCACATATTTTGCATAATTCGCACACGATTCAACACACGCTGCATTACACACGAAATAAGAATGATTACTAATAAACTTAAACTAAGTAGTATACCAAACCAAAGAATATTAAACAACGGTAGGTACAAAATTATTTTCTATTACGAACCACAATTTTACCTGAATTTGAATTCCGAGGTATTAACCTCGTTGCATTGTATGTTAATAACCACCCTTGGATAATCCCAGTCAAAAGCAATTGGTCACTTTCTTATATCTATGAACAGACCTTACCTTTCTTCTGCTCTGTTATCGACTTTTCAGCCAAATTTTCACAAAAGATTGGCTTATTAAAAGTAATTCAAACCGGCCCCTCAAAAAAATTATATTACAACTTTGCTAGGCACGTAAAGATGTACATGGGATTTCCTATATTCCAATGCATCACCCGGTATACAGAGGTTAACAATGAGTCTTCTCTTTCTCATTATACAGGAGGAGTTCCGTCTGGAATTGTTGTATTATTCCTCAAACTCGACAGCATGGAAGGCAATGGAAGTTTCGTGCGTAATGGTCTTTTGTCTATTTCTCAGATTTCCTCCGGCTGCATGTTCTCGCTCATACCGGTATACACGGCCGAAATTTCGCAAAAACACAACCGAGGTCTGGTAGGAATAACCCTCAACATAATGCTGACTCTCGGCCATCTGACAAGCTCCGTCGTCGGCCCTTACGTAACCATAAAGATGCTCAGCGTCGTTTCCCTGGTGCCGTGCGTACTATTCGTCGTAAGCTTTGCCACGCTCATCCCCGAGACGCCATACTTCTACGTTCTCGTCGGGAAAAAGCAAGAGGCGGAGGTCAGTTTGAAGAAGTTGAGACGCAGCAGCGCGGTAGAGGACGAACTGGCCGAGATCGTGAAAAGCGTGGAAGACTTGAAATTGACGGAGAGAGGAAACTTTGGGGAACTCTTCACGCGTAAACACCACCTCAAGGCCTTGTTCTGGGCGGTCGGCATCATGTTCTTCCAGCAGTTCACCGGGATCATCTACGTCGTCTCCTACACCCAGAAGATCTTCGACGCGGCTCACACCTCCCTGTCTGCCGATCTGGAAGTGATGATAGTGACGGCCGTCCAAGTGATCGCCGTTTTGTTATCGACGCAAGCTATCGATCGAGTCGCACGCAAGACCCTGATGGCCGCATCGTTGGTTTTGATGCTTCTACCGAACTTCTTCATGGGACTGTACTTCTATCTACTGGAGTTCGGCTACAACTTAGACCCCATATCGTGGCTCCCCGTAGCGTTGCTCGTGATATTCATATCCGGATTTAACGTAGGCATCGGACCCTTGGGATTTACATTTGCCGGGGAAATATTCGAACCCGGCGTGAAATGCTGGGGGGTAACCTTAGCGACCTGCACGAATCTGATGGTCGCCTTCCTCACCGCCACTTTCATGCCATCTGTTTCGGAAATTTCGGGGTTTTACGCGCCCTTCTGGATTTTCGCGGGTTTCACGGCCGTCGGGATTGTTTTCGTGTACGTTTTCGTCCCGGAAACGAAAGGCAAGAGCTTCTTGGAAATACAGCGCTCGGTCAGAAGCGAAAAGTGAGGCGTTGGGCACTCCAACCGCTGACTCTCGAAGTGTGCTTTAATAATTTTTTTTTTATTGTTGATCGTTGAGAGTAAACCATATCGTGGCTGAGGTAACCGTAATTCATTCGTAAGCAGCGTGTACATAAAATACCGATCATAAATCGAAAGTTACGACGCAATTATCCCAGGAATTGCATTGAATATAGTCCGCACCTTGCATATTAAAGAAGAAAATAATGCTATTTACAAAACTTGTGGATCCCCCCTGCGTCGGTTTTGACTGAAACTGTTTCGACTCAACAAAAACCGACGCCGGTGGTATCTTCAGAAGTTTTGTAAATAGTATTTACACATCCCTGACCATTATTATAATCTAATAGAATTGTAATGTAACTTCGGACGTCACACTGTGAGCCGGAGAGAGCCTATTGAAATGGAAGTTTTCCTTATCACAGTTTAATTACGTAGGCCGTGAACCATCACAAAACAAACGATTTAATTCGTCTTGTTACCATGGAAACGTCAACAATGATTTTGGAACGTTTCTTGTCAGTGTCATTTTGAGGATGTTGTTTAAACAATTTATCTCAAAATTTCAAAATTCGTTCACTCGGCGGCAGACTACGTATTGTTACAGAGAGATTTGTCAAATTTTGAAGAATATTGTTCTCTGAACAGATTGTTTGTTAACCCTGAGAGGAAAGACTTGTTCATAAACGAAATAAATAAATAAATATATACAAATAATTCATAGCTTGGGATATCTATACATAATTACATTTTTATTTTAAATGTCTAAATCTAATTCTGTTTCACTATCAGAGTCATGTTGTTTCGTATAGAATCGTAAGAGTACTGAAAGTTAAATTTTAAATAAATTAAAAAGTGCATACAGTAGACGAACTTTTATTTTTTTTTCCACATTCTTAGTGGCCAAAAGAAACCCCAGAACGGAGCGAAAGAAGGAAATCCCCGTTTTTCGTAAAACTTTTTGGCTTCTGAGAATAAGATGCCGAAACCAAGACGAAACAAACAATCGAATCTAACCGACGGTGTAAATAGTAATTTGTGTTCGTCTACGATCGCGATTTTTCCGATTTCGCGTCGATTACCATGAATCGGGAACCCGTGTGGGAACTTTTCGAAAAACCCGTTATTTTTAATGCACATATACGACACCACGCAAGTAATAACACTATTAAGATAATGTTTTATTTACCGCTCGCATTATACGCGTTAACGTTGCAATGCAGTTGGCTGTGATCTCGCCGAACGTTATCAAAGTGTCATTTTAGGGTGCATTAAACAAACATTAAAAAAAAAAATTGCGGGAAATGGATATCCGGAAAAACAAGTTCACCTATTTCGCCGGCATTTCAGGTGGGTATGCAATAAATTTGTAAAAAATAGTTATTTATGTATTTGCTAGTAGAGATCAACGTCCTTATATTATTAATACGCTTTGACGTTAAAGACAGTGTGGAACAGGATTAAAATCAACGTGACTATGAGAATGACAGATAATAATTTGCTAGAATAGTGAAAATCACAAAATATCACAATTAAATCATATCATAAATTGTATTGGACGTATTTTGGTGATAAGGTGAACAATGAGGTTATGTTATGACCGATGAAGACAGGGATTGGTAGGTAAAGTTAGGTTAGGGTAAATGTTTCTTGGTTTTATTGCGTTCGGTGCTGGATAAGTGTGGCCTAAAGGTAAAGTTTATCTAGTCAGATGAGTTATGTTAGCAAAAACATTTTCATCACTATGACCGTCGTTTCCGATATGTTTAGCATGCGACCATATTAGCCCAATAGCATTGAATTCACACTGACATGGAATAGATAAAGTCTGTTCATAGATATAAGAAAGTGACTAACTGATACGAATTAAGGAAAGACCCGGGCAAGCTGCAAGAATAAAATATGGCCGAACAGGTTCGTACTTTGCTTAGAATTTAATTATTTGGGGTTTTGCTAGGAAAGATACTAAACAATATTTATTTATTTATGTATGTATTTATGTTTAAATCTAAATTAAAATTACAAATTCTTTTTATTACCTACTTAAATTAATTAAAATTATTCACATAATATATCAGTATCACTATCGCTATCATCGCCTGTTCGTTATTATTTGTTCTATATTATTTGCAATATGGATATACGATTGTTCTGCTTTTTCTATATGTTTAACAGAATTTGCCGAACTTTGTGGAGGGATGTTAAAAACTTGGGTTCCTATAAGTTTGAGGACATTGGAGTTAACACGGGGAAAAACATTGTTACGACGAATGGCAGATTTCAGTTGGTGTCAAACATGTTCAATGGGATTAAATATACAGTGGTAAGGTGGAAGCCTTAAAACTGTATCCCCTAGATTTTTTGCATAATTATCACAGACGTATTCCTTTTGCAGGTTCAAGCTTTGTAGAACCTCAATTAATTGCTTTTTGGTATAATCTTCGTGAAAATAAATGTCGTTATTATACATGTAGTTTTGGATTGTTGCTTCTGTCTACTGTGATAACTTGTCCGTTACAACTAAGCCATAAGGAGGAATGTTTGGAACTAGTTTGTTTTTAAACCAACTTTCAAATAAATCAGCGGTGGTGTCTTCAGAGAAGAATCTTTAATATTTTTCGCAGACAGAAAAAATCCATCCATTGGTATCCAAACCATCGTTAGAGCCAGCATGCAAAATAGTTATTCTTTTACCTCTTTTTGATGGCGCGTTTGTTTTACACTTATCAGTTGAGTCAACCCAACCCTTTTCCGGGGTATTATAAGTGTCGAATCAGGTTTCATCCAAATAAATAATTGGCCTTTGTTGTTCTCTATAAATCCTAATTTTTTCTAGATATTCCAGTCGCCATTTCGGAATTCTAAAAGATTCCATTGTCATTTTTTTTTAATCTAAAACCCATGTGTTGAGTACACTTCCATAAGGTAGTTCTGCCACATTTAACATCGGTTTCATCTTTTTCAAGCCTCCTAATTAAGATATCTAATGTAGGCACGCTTTGTTCCTCGTATAACTGGTAAATTTTATGCCGTATTATATCGTGATCACTTTCATCTACACTCGAGGAAATGTCAGCATCGCTTCTTTTTTTCCTCGCTGAAATGGGATTATTCACAATTTTCCATACAGTTGATGTTGGAATTTTCGTCAATGTGATGCGGGAGCATCTCCTGAGATATACTAGACTCGCACATATTTTGCATAATTCACACACGATTCAGCACACGCTGTATTACACACGAAATAAGAATGATTACTAATAAACTTAAACTAAAGAATATTAAACACAGGTAGGTATAAAATTATTTTCTATTACGGACCACAATTTTACCTGAATTTTAATTCCGAAACTTTAGGTAATAATCTTATTGCATTGTATGTTATTGACTACCCTTGAATAATCCCATTCAAAAGCAATTGGTCACGTTCTTATATCTATGAACAGACCATACCACTAGACCCTGCAATTCAGAATGAGGGGTTTTATCTCTCTTTTTTTAAAACGAGGTTTTTATATATTTTTTTTTATGCGCAATCGTCAAAGTATGGGGGACTAAAACTTAATATTTTGACAATAAAAGACCTTCCTCGGGTATTTTTAGGAGTTGTTGTGACGATATTTATATTTTTGTGATTTTAAACTTCTATTAAGGATTTACAGAAAAAATATGCATGAAATGTGGATTTTTGTTTTGAAAAAAGCGGATTTAAATGATAAATAGGAAACAATTTATATGACAGAAGCAACTTTGTACTACCCAAGAAATGTAATCTGCAAAACTGACAGCAGAGGCGACATATGCATCGGCCATACTATTTGCTTAAGACAAGAAAATTGGTAATTATGACATTATAGCATTGGCTTGTCTTCTTTCCTGACATTTATCACTGTTACCAAGGCGCGAGACTTGTCATTTGTTGACGACGGTAGAAAAAGTCTTTTTAAAGATCATGAAAAAAAAAATTGTTCTCGAGAAAAACAATAATTATGCGGAATGAAGAAATGTGATATAAAGTTCCTCGTGAAATTATATTACAAATTTTAAGAGTTCAAAAAACAACAAACTTGAAATGGTATAGGGTTAAAGAAATTGAGATCGATCAAAACAACATCAATTCGATTATTCAAAAGGACTTGAGTGACTCGGTTTCTCAAGAATCATTGAATTTGTTCAAAACCTTCAACCTACTATATGATTTCTTTGATGTTGACATCGCATTGGTCCTAATATAATCTGTATTTGACGCAAAACGAAGAACAGTTTCAATACTTGCTGCAAGTTGTCAAAGAACATCGAGTACAGTAACAAAAATGTATATTTTGCTATTAATACTATATCAAGGTATCAAATTTCATGCGGTGGAAAATAATTCTTTTTCTATTAGTGCATTTATTGATATTTCTTGAATAAACAACTTTTTTTTCTGAAATATATAATAAATAATCTGAAAATTTATTCATTAAATGAATATGAATATAAGTCACCAATGGGATTCCGATGCAGATATCTTCAAAATGGTTCGGGTAATTGAGAAACCACGAGGGATCTTTTTTGTAGGGCACAAAAACAAACAAATTTATCATAAACCTTCACACACGGACACAGTCATACATAACAGCTTAAATCACCCTTGTACACACAAAATGGCTGCATTTCATTCTTTTATACACAGACTTCTTAATACGCCACTCTCAACGGAAAATTACAACAAAGAACTTCATATCATTAAACAAATTGCACTGAACAACGGCTACAATCCTTCCATTATAAATAAAATTATAAATAAAAAACAAATCCAGGCAAGTAAAAGCCACCTCAGCTCAATTTTTATAAGAGGTCATTTTTCCTATAAAAATCGTTAATCAAATTGGTTTAACGATCAATTAGTGATAAGGTATGATTATTTATATATGAGACTAAATCTTCCCATTAATATTAAGAGCTCATACGTGGTGAGTACTTTCTAGAGGTAACTAGCAACTAGTTTTCGTGTGTCAGATCCAAAAAAAAGGTATTTCTGACCCACCCAGTGAATAATATAACTAGGTTAGATTTGGTCGTTTAAAATGTTGTTATTATGTCATTTTCCATTTTCAAAGCCATTTTTATGGAACATTTTTTTTTAGCAAACTTGCTTACATATGGAAGCGGCCTCGGCTACGGATGGGCTTCGCCGGCACTTTCGAAACTGAGCGGCCATGTTGATCCAGAAAATAACCCTTTATCCAGTCCGACCACAGTGACACAAGAATCCTGGATAGCATCCCTATTGAGGTATAATTTTAAAAATCTGTTTACGTTAGCTTCAAATTTGTTCAATTTTTTTTTAATCAGTCCTTGGTTTTATTTTACGAGGGTCACCTGAAAAGTTTCCGACGAAACAATTTCTTCCCAAATTTTTCTTTTTATTTTTCTACATAGTCTCCTCTATAAACTTATCCCAACGTTTTTCTCCGCAAAATAATTGTTCGCCAATGTTAATTGACGAAAATATTTGTGTTCTGAGTGCAGTTATCAAATCAGGGAACAAAAATAAGTCGTCAAGCAGTTCAAACCGTAATTCGTGGATTCTTTTCCTTTTCGTGGATCATTTTCTTTTTGCAAACGTGGCCGTTTTTCTGCTCAGCTTGTAACGCTTTTTCCTTTTTGAAGGTTTAAAATGTGACGAACAAGTCATCCTTGACCTTCGATAGAAATTTTTAATTTTTAGTTTGTTCAATAAATGCTGGCGAAACATCAGCCAAATCAATTGCAAAGGTTACAAAATAAAGCATTTAGAGGAGTAATATTTGGAATGAACTTTAATATGTCTAGTGAAGAACCTACTTTATTTAAAAATATATGAACTTAAGATACTAGAACAAACAAAATTAATTTACTTAATTCAGAACAAACTGATAAAACAAATGGATAGTGTTACAGCTACAGCACAAGAAACAATGATAAGAAATGTATACGCAAGGACCAAAAAGAAACAAGACAAGACAAAATACCACACACCCATTAAAGGGCACTACCAAGAAAATGTGTCATAAACTTAAAAAAAGAATATAAGCTTATATTAACAAACTTTTATTAATAACTTTACTAGAACTTTTTTTTAAGTCTTCAGGCTCAGTTTTATTGTTGGCAGTTGAGTCTTCTGAAATAAATATAAAAAAAAACTATAAATCAATACGTCAAGTAAGCTTCTTTTTTAACATTAAAACTTACAACTTCCGTCTAGCGAAGGTGAGTCAATAAAAAAAGATGATTTCTAAATCTTTTTCGTCTTTTCTACTCCAACAACACAAAATATCTATTGGACATCGCCATTTCGCATAGCTGGTAAAATATATTTTTTATCTATACATTAGCTTTATTCCTGGTTGTTGATAAACAAGTATTATAGTAGTAATGGTAAATTTTCCAACAAATGCCTGCGATAGCCGAATTACAATTTGAAATTTCCAGGTTCCAATGTTTTTGCGTAGAACCTTAATAGGGCATAATTACCAGGGAATAATTAAAACGTACCCAGGCAAAAAATTTAAATATGAGGGAAATAATTTACTTTAATCTTAGTGTGAGTAAGTAATAACTTGGACCTATAGTTAACAAAATAAACTTTTGCGTCCATTTTAAAAAGAAAACTCCATTCGGACATATGTCCTAAACGTCTCGTCTTTTGAGATCCAGGGTGGTATATATTTTTTAATATCTGTAATACCACTTTGGATATTTTATTGAAATTTTGCACGCATGTACTATGTATCAGGAGATACGAGGTTAGCGCCAAAATTTCCCGACCCGACGTTGATGCAGCTCCAGTATCACGATAAAACCTTGTCTTCTTTTAAATATATATCTTAGTAGGCTGTGAAAAAAAAATTGAAGTATTGCGTCACACAGGTTAGTATTGAGTATAGAGCAGTCATGAAGTTTTTGACAAAAGAAGGGTTAGCACCTAAAATTATTAAAGAAAGGCCAGATGGTGTGTACCGCCAAAGTTCTCCTTCGTATTCTGCAGTGAAAGAATAGGCAAAACGTTTTCGAATGGGGCAGGAGTCAATTGAAGATGATTCAAGAACTGGTCGACCAGTGGAGGTCATAAAGGAAGATATTGTTGCGATTGTGGAAGAGGTGGTATTGAGTGATCGACGTTTAAAGGTCAAGGAAATCTCAGAAATTATTAAGCTTTCTGATACAAGTATTCGTCGAATCCTGCATGATCATTTAGGTATGCATAGTGCAAGATGGGTTCCTAAAAACCTTCCGGGTATTCAAAAACAACGCCGTGTCGAGTGGGCACGATCTTTCTTCGAACTGTGTGGTTGGGAACCGAAGCCTGTGATAGAAACTATTGTGATGGGAGATGAAACTATGGTTCTCTATTATGACCTAGCTAGTCATAAATGGAAAATCAACTAACCCACGATGTTTTAAGAACATCAAGCATTTGCTGGCAAACAAGTCTGCACGGATGACATCGCAAATTTTTGAAGAGGAGATACGGAAATGGGATGAAGAATTAAAGGGGAGGAAAATATTACTTCTCTTAGATAACTGACCTGCACATCCCCATATTCCAAATCTACGGAATGTTGAATTGGCATTTCTTCCATTCAAAACAACAAGTGTATTACAGCCGATGGACCAGAGCGTAATAAAAAGTCTTAAGAGTCGATACAGACATCAGAAAGAATTCAACACTCCTATCGTCATGCAGAATGCGAACAGGACTTTGAAGATGATCAACCATTTTTATTTTTATTATTATTTTATTGAAATATGTAAAGCGCCATTGCAGATATTAAAAACACCCTGTATTTGTAGCTTAGGTGCCATGTGCAGCCCGTTTCTCACGGCGTTCCTGTCCGAGAAAATCGGGCGAAAGAAAACTCTACTCGTTTTCGTGCTACCGACGATAATATCCCACCTGATTTTGATATTCGCCAAGCGGGTCGTGGACTTCTACGTGGCTCGATTTCTTATCGGGGTAAGTCCGACGCCTTTAATACGCGAGAATGTGGTGCAGTGACGCTTTCAGCTTAGTACGGGATGCGCAATCACTATAGTCCCCCTGTACTCAGCGGAAATATCCCAGAAACACAATAGGGGAGCGATAGGAGCCTTGGTCATAGTGATGCTAGCTTCCGGACACTTCACTGCCAGCGTGGTCGCTCCGTACGTCACTATACGAACATTCAGCGCGCTCGCCTTAATCCCTAGCGGTTTGTTCCTGATCGTTTTCGGCATTTTCGTGCCGGAGTCGCCATACTTTTATATATTAATGGACGATAAGCGCGGCGCCAAACTCAGCCTCGAAAAGCTGAGAGGAACGGAAAACGTCGGTGAAGAACTCGGCGAGATAGTCAAGAGCGTGGAGGAATTGAAATCGTCCGAGCGGGACAATCTGCGAGAACTGTTCACCTCCAGCTATTGCCTGAGGTGTCTGTTTTGGTCCGTAGCGCTTATATTCTTCCAACAGCTCACCGGACTGATCTACATCGTCAACTACACCCAGAAAATCTTCGAATCGGCGCATACGCCGATAAGCGAGGAAATCGCTGTCATGTTGGTGACTCTGGTGCAAATCACGTCCATTCTGGTGTCTACCCAAATCCTAGACAGAGTTCCGCGTAGAAAACTGGCGCTTTTGTCCTTGACCTCGATCCTCGTCATCACCACCACTATGGGAACTTATTTCTACATGCAAAAGCATCATTTTAACCTGCTTCACTTCACGTGGCTTCCGGTCTTATGCCTGATGGTGTTCATACTGTCCTTCAACATGGGCATCTGTCCCATATCGTACATCTTCCCGGGGGAAATCTTCCAGCCGAACGTCAAATCGCTGGGGGTGAACTTGGTGATGTGCGTCGGGCTCTTCTGGGAGTTCGCCGTTGCCAGTTTTCTGCCAGCGTTGTCGAATAGGTTCGGCTTCGACGTTCCGTTTTGGGTGTTTACGGGCGCCACGTGTTTCGGTATCGCGTTCGTGGGGTTTTCGATGCCCGAAACCGGGGGCAAGAGTTTTTTGGAAATCAACGAGTCTCTGAGATACAAAGAATGAAAATGACGAACAACGTATTGCACGGCGGTCCGCAGCACACTTACCTTGGCCAAAATAATTTATTAACATTTTTGATTGTGAATCGAATCGAATAACGGCCGAACGGCTTGAGCTCCTTATAAAGATAACTAGAAGGCTGCGTTTCAGCTACATACAGCTATACCATATTCAAAAATGTTAGCAAAGTGAAAATGCACAACTATATCTAAACCGTAGAGCAATCAAGGCTTGCCTGGTATTTTTTTTTAATTTTTGAACATTTTGTTTTTGTTATTTATGTATAGGGTTTTCCAATTATAGATAAAAATCTAAAAGGCCCTGAAAATTGTTTATTTTCAGAGTAAATTATTCGCCGTAAATCAAAATTCCTAAAAAATATGGCCAATTAGTTTATATGGTATTGTACAATGCATCAGGAGCTACAATTTTTGTGTTTACGGTTTCGATCTATCGCAAACACAGTTCGAGATACATTGGATTTTGGCTTATCGATGTACAAGCTTAAACGAGACCAAAATAAATTTTGGATTCCTTATTTGCTGATCCCCTCGCTTGCCAGATTTTTAATTGAATTTTGTAAGAAATGTGCACAAAAAATCTTATCCAGCAATGCAAGGGGCTTACACCATAACCATACACCAAAATGATTCAAACCCAAGTGTAAATCAAAATGTTTGGTATTCTTGAAGATCTTTAATTTCCTTATCTAGACATTCTTTCCCATTCTTTGATTTATTCCAGTTTCAACGGTCCACTAGTCGCACTTTCTCCCACTTGGCGGCCAGATTAACGCAAAATATTTGCCAACAGTGGATGGCTTTGCAAATGCTTTTTCTTCAAAACACCAAACATTATAGAGTCCTGATTCTTGAACCCGTAGCGACAGAAAAAAAAAAGTTTTTTCTGCGATGTTTGCATTTGATAGCAAAAAAAAGGTACGCAGCCAAAAAGTAAAAATATAAGAGAACCAAAAGACATTAACGTCAGAATTATCACTTTTAATTAAATTTTAAAATACGCTCTTCTAAAAATTTTCATAACGTTATCCATCTGTTTTTGTTTGTGGTGAATTCATTAAAGTTAGAAGTAAAAAAAATGCTTTTTAACCTAAAAAGCAGTAACAAGAATCAAAATTAGGTACCACGCTTTGCCTGCATTAATCGTAGAAACATTTTGGAATATAATAAACCGAAATTTAACATTTTTAAAAATGTCGACCAAATTTATGTTACTGCTAGCTCGGTATAGGGGAGAGAACCTAGTGATCAAGTGATCAAAGTTTCCCGCCATAACTCAAAGCGAAATAGGTTTATTTTCGAAAAACTTGCTTCAACAACAAAAACCGCGAAAACCCACAGCGCGAAGAACAACGAAGTCTGATTCGTGCATATCGATAGCAACTGGGAGAATATTGATAAAAAATATAATAATAAAAATAATATTTATTGACTACTTCATTACTAATCAGGCGGATATTTAAAATGTTAATATATATATATATATATATATATATATATATATATATATATATATATATATATATATATATATATATATATATATATATATATATATATATATATATATATATATATATATATATATATATATATATATATATATATATATATATATATATATATATATATATATATATATATATATATATATATATATATATATATATATATATATATATATATATATATATATATATATATATATATATATATATATATATATATATATATATATATATATATATATAACAAATTTTAGTTAATTGGGGTATCGGTCCGATAGGACCGATACCCCAATTAACTAAAATTTGTTGTTCAACTAGCCGGTCACGACTACCGTTTTGTGTATATATATATATATATATATATATATATATATATATATATATATATATATATATATATATATATATATATATATATATATATATATATATATATATATATATTATTCCTTTTTATAATGTGCGTTTTATTTGTTATTAATATTTTGAAACGGTGTCGTCAAATATTCGTTAATAGAATAAAAGCAATATTTTAAACAATGTGTTTTTATTAGATATATTTTTGTCCTTATCGATGTTTAATATTCTGATTTTTAATGGAACATAATTAAAGAGTTTCAGGATAAAACAGTTGTTGTCAGATATAGCTGGAGTTCTCACCAAGTGATAGTCAGTCTGTCTCAGTCTTCGTCGTACCGTCTTTTAGGTAGGTATTAAAGGACAGAACATTTGGGACAGACCCTCAAAGGTTTTGGTAATAATTTTTTTTGTTTACTTAGCTATGTATAATGTAATTAAGTTACATTAAGAAAAAACAATGACATTAAATATGTACAATATAATTATATACATAATTAAATTTTTATTCTAAATGTCTAAATATAATTCTGTTTCACTAGCAGAGTCGAGATTGGGATTAATTATAATAGGATTTATGGTGTATAAGTATGAAAAAAAATGCACGAGTTTTTTCCTTCCTTAGGCACAAAACTAACAATCTTATCTCCGTTAGTAGGTTAAAGAAAGTCTACCTTTCCCATTGTTGGGTTGAAGGTAGGTAGCTTGTTTGGCAATAGCAAATTTGAAGTATATAAAGACCTTTCATACTGTAACCCGGATACAGATAAAGTTTTCCTTAAATGGCTTTTGTATTTCCCCGTCTCAAAGCAACAACGTAATTTTCACTTTCAACGAACAGAATAATTGAATTATTAATTTAAATATAAATCGTTGTTATTTTATCCCGGTTTTACGTAAATAGTGACTACGCCTGGGTTTTCTCCGTAATATTTTGCGTAATTTATCGAAAATTTATGTGCCTGTGGAATAAAGATCAGGTTTAAATACCGCAAGTAATTTTCCGATATTTCCCACTGGATTTCAAAAAAACATAAATATGCAAAATGAACGATTGTTTATACGCGATTTTTTTTTTTCAAATCTGACACACGAAAACTAGTTGCTAGTTGCCTCTAGGAAGTACAAACCGGGCTCTCAATATTAACGGGAAGATTATCCTCATTACAGTTTTGCATTTTCGATTTGGTCTCATATAAATAATCATCAATAGATCAGTAAGCCAATTTTATTGATAATTTTTCACTCGCCATTCGGCATAAAATTTGAGTGACTTAGTTTCTTGTTCAAAATTTGACGTTGACATTGCATTGTGTGCTTTAGATGAGAGTCATGAGGAAAATGAAGAGAATTTCAAACAAATGAAAGTTGTAACGATGCAGCAGAGCCTGGAGTAGCGTTGGTCTCTGAATATAATCAGTGTTTGATGAAAAAAAAAAACATCGAGCACTATTTCGTGACTGTAATAAAAGTTGATTTGTATAACCATATCCAAAAAATGTATAATTTTCAATTAATACTGTATTAAGGTATAAAATTTTTATTAATGCATGTGTTATTATATCCAAAAAAAAATTTTAGAGTGTATATCTGAAGAAAATTGGTTAATGGGCAATGGTCTAATTTTTTAAATACTTTTGGTGGATCTTTCAATGATTATTTTCCGTTGATAAATAAAAGAAAAAAGCACTCTCATAGGAATAACTAGCAAGTTAAAAATAAACTAAACATTTTACTTGTACTCTCTAGCAATGATGCTTACATTGAATCGCATCATAACCAAACAAAAAAATATGACAAACTCCTAAAAACGTCCAGAGCTGAATAATACAGACAGAAGATTGAATGTTCGGATAATAAAACAAACAGTAAAACAACAACAGTAAGGTGACCCTATGGAAGTACCAGATCGTTATAATGAGTATTTATTATCGATTATACCAGATCTAATCAAACAATCAGAGCTCAAACAATTCAGTTGTAAAATACCAATTAACAACCAAACAAAGTTCCTCAGAACGGCGTCACCAGATGAAGTTACTGAATTTGCTAATAAAATAAATAATAAGCACAGTAGTGGTTATGACGAAATACCTGCAAGCATAGTTCAGTTATCAGTGTCCTATATTAACGATGTTCTTAGTCATTTATTAAACAACAGTTTGAAGTATTTATGCGAAGGCAGGGCCAAAATTTCCCGGCCTGAATATGAAAGAAACAAAGTAGAGTAACAATTTGTTATTATTTTTCAATATAATCCCCCTTAACTTCAATACACTTATTACATCTCTTTATTAACAACTCAATCCCTTTAAAAAAAATATTCTTTTGGTTTGTCTACAAAATGAGCTAAAACAGCCTCTTTTAACTCAACTTCGTCGTTAAACCGCCGTCCACGTAAGCCTTTTTTAGTCGCTGGGGGTCATATCTGGACTATAGGGAGAATGATCTATCTGTTGGAACCCACACTCTAAAGGGCAGGGCAGTACAAAGATTACTTGTAGTTCAGAAGAGAGTTATAAGGCTAATTAAATAAAAAATATGATACAAGAACATCATTTAAGTAAAAGTTTTCTATGAACCACGAACCTTCACACACGGACACAATCATACATAACAGCTCAAATCACCTTTATACACACAAAATGGCTGCATTTCACTCTTTTATACACAGACTTCTTAATACGCCACTCTCAACAGAAAATTACAACAAAGAACTGAATATTATTAAACAAATTGCATTGAACAACGGCCACAATCCGTCCATTATCCATAAAATTATAAATAAAAAATAAATCCAGACAACAGTAAACTCTATTTATCTGAAACCTAATACAAAAGACGAACAATTTAAAACAATTACAAAAGTTTCAAAACATTTGTCAAAATGTGGTTTAAAAATAGCTTTCAGGACTAACAACACAATAGAGAAATTTTTAAAAAACAATAAAACAAAGTGTTCAAAATCTTAAAAAGCAGGTGTGTACAGGTTGAAATGCGGATCATGTCCTAAAATTTACAGTGGACAAACAGAAACGCATTAACGAACATGAAAGAGCGTTTAAAAACCATAGTCTAGATTCTAATTATTAAACACAGCCATGGAAGCCATGAAGATTAACAAAATGTATTGCTTAACGGTCAATTAGATTTAAATACCTCTCCTTTATTAAACTTAAATTCCTGTAAGTAGCAGGTAATTTGTAAATATTACATTGTCATGTGAATATTTCGTGAAAATCTGAACTTTTAGTTCTTATTTATTTTGTTAAATGGATTTTCATCAAGTAAAAGCCACACCTCATTTCAAGCTAATTAAAAAGATGAATAAAAAAATAATTTTTCAGATGGAAGGTTTAATGACAGTATACGTGTCTATATTTATGAGTCACTCGTTTTCTTTTTTAAAAAACGTACAACACTAGAACGCGACATGTAAATTACCCAATGCATAGATTAACTCCAACTGAGAAGACTCCATACTATATGTGTAGAAGATTTTATAACAAATTGCCCAACAGTTTAAAAGAAATAAATAATTTGAAAAGATTTAAAAGAAATATTAGAATTAGAACCTTACTCAATAAAATACTATTTTGAGAAAATAATGTAAGAATTTTTGAATGTTATGGTTAGGTATTAGATGCTATTTTCGTTGTGTTTTCCTATTGTGTAGTATACAAACACAATTTGAAATGAAGATGATGATGACAATGATGATGATTATTATTATTATTAAACGGTATATCGTTCGGCGAACTTTAATTCTACCGAGCGTTGAGCAATTCCTGAACATCTCGCAAGCTTTTGCCCCCGGTTTCCGGAACCAAAAACAAGACGAACAACAGCGCCGCCGCGCAGCATCCTCCGAACGTCCAGAAGCACCACGCCAGCCCCAACGTTTCGGACAATGTCGGAAACGACACGGTTATCGCGAACGCTAACGTCAAACACGCGCAGGCGCACATCGCCGACCCCGATGATTTCTCTTTGGACGTAAACAACTCGCCCGTGATCGTCCACGGCAGCGGGCCGAGGGCCAAATTGTACGCGACAATATACGCGACGACCGACGCGATGGGCAACCACCACATCGAATCGACATCGGATCCCGTCGATTTAAGACGGAAGAATAACCCCAACACGGAGAGCGACGCGAAACAACCAGCGGTGGAAACGATCAGCAACAAACGCCTGCCAATCGCGTCGACCAATTGAGTTGTTGTAACTGTGGTTACCATGGCGACGGTTGCTATGATGATGACGGCCACGTGCGACGGGATAGAGTCGCCTGCCGCGTGGAAGATGGTCTGCATGTAGCTTAAAACGGCGCAGATCCCGCTAAACTGCTGGAAAAACATCAGGCCCAACCCTATAAAAAGCCCCCTCTTCGTATTTAACCCACCGGTCCTGCGGGATTTACAATATTCCACGCTTTCCACTACTAGGAAGAGTTCTTTTTCGACCATCGTAGCTCTGTATTTCCTCAAGGAACGCCGCGCTTTGACGACGTCGCCAACGGAGACGAAAAAATACGGACTCTCCGGCACAAAAACACCGAAAGTTAGGTAAAATAACGCGACAGGGATTAAATTGCACACACTGAACAAACGTATGGACACGAAAGGTCCCACAACGTACGAATACAAGCTTCCAAACGCCATCATCACTCCCATAACGCACCCCGATAGACCCCTGTTTCTGTCCTCGGCGATTTCCGCGACGAAATTCGGCAACACCGCCAAGCAACAGCCGATTCCGAGACCCAGCAGGAACCTGGCGAGTACATAGAGTTCGACGGTTGCAGCGAAGGCGCAGAGCAAATGAGACGCGGCCATCGGCGAAGTGAACACGAGCAAGGTGGTTTTTCGTCCCACTTTCTCCGACGACAAAGCTCCCGGGAAAGGTCCCAACACCGCTCCCAGGCTCAGCATGGAAGTTATCCACGAATCTTCGAGGGTCGTCGTCGCTTTGCCGAGGGGATTCGTCACGTTGTCGTGGAGCTTGGGCAGAACCGGCGATGTCCAGGAATAAGCGCTCCCGATGGAAAAGGAGACGAGATTGGCTGTAAGAACACATCGAAACATCATCGAGCTCCGATGAAACGTTTAATTGTTTAATATTTAAAAATATATCCATCTTTTACAATAAAATGTACTATCAAATCTATTTTTCTACTCCCGTCCGTAAAATACCTAATTACCCACGGATCTAGCTTGCGGGAAGCGTCACTTTACCGCGTCAGTTTCGTTTCCCATGAATCCCCCACCCTTCATCGTTATACCTGCAGTCCCTTGAGACCCAAGATGAAGTTTGTAATAGTTATTCTTTTTAAAATCTAATTTTACACTAATATAACTTAAGGAAAACTCCAAAAAATTAATAATTATTTATAATAATTATTAAAAAATTAAGATCGCCAAAATTTTTTTTTTGACATTTTTCTATATGCTATTAAAAACACATTGCCAAAGTTTATAAAAAGATTTATTGACTGGCCCTGGATTCCGAGGTATAAACCTTACGGCGCCCCACTAAGTATACACCGTTCATTTCTAAACATTTTCTTATGCATTTAAAAAAAAACCCTCGATTACGAAAAAATACGCCTAACCTATTACTGGGCTATTTGTTTGGATTATAAGCTCACGACAGAAACTTATTACAAAATCAAATTGAACCCGCACCAGAAGCAGTTGTTTCCCGAAAATAAGATTTGGTCTGTCTCAATCTCCATCGTGTTGGTTTTCGACCATTTAAACTTAACCATCGACAACAAATTTATTCTGACATGAGTGACAAGGCAGGGGTGGATCAGGTAGAAGATTTTTCAACAAGAAATCAATCTACCATCTACCCTAGTGATAAGGACCTAATAAGAAGGAACGAATATTGTCATTATCAAAGCGAAGTTGTTATTATTAAATCAAAGGTCTGGGTAGAAAATGTTACTCCAACTTTAAGTTCCAGTGTTATAAATTTTATAAAAAATGTAATGAATAACATACCGATTGAGAGCTGCAAAACTGAACTGAGGTGGCTTTTACTTGATGAAAATCCATTTATCAAAATAAATACGAACTGAAAGTTGAGATTTTCACGAAATTATATATTTTTACATGACAATTGTTTCGACAACACCGTGTCTTTATCAAATCTATTATTTACAAACTACCTGCTACTATCTATACTCAAAAATGACCATAAAACCTTAATTAATGTTGTGAAAATTTAAATTCAATAAAGGAGAGGTATTTAAATCTAATTGATCGTTAAGCAATACATTTGAATGTCTCATTTTGTTCATCTCCATGGCTTCCAATAAATTCAATTTTCTACTGTTTATGGCTGTATGTAAAATGTCAAAATTGTCGCCAAAACTATGTTTTTCTGTGTTTAAATGTGTAGCATAATTAGAATCTAGACTATTGTTTTCAAACGCTCTTTTATGTTCGTTAATGCGTTTCTTGAAGGATCTACCTCTTCGTCCAATATATATTTTAGGACAAGATCCGCATTTCAACCTGTAGACACCTGATTTTTGAGATTTCGTTTTATTGTCCTTTCAAAATTTTCCTATTGTGTTGTTAGTTCTGAAAGCAATTTTTGAACCACATTTTGACAAATATTTTGAAACTTTTTCACTAGGTTCTTCTATGTATGTAATTATTTTAAATTGTTCGTGTTCTGTATTAGATTTCGGATAAATAGAGTTCACTGTTGTCTGGGTTTGTTTTTTAATTATAATTTTATCGATAATGGACGGATTGTAGCCGATGTTCAGTGCAATTTGTTTAATGATATTAAGTTCTTTGTTTTCTGTTGAGAGTGGCGTATTAAGAAGTCTGCGTATAAATGAGTGAAATGCAGCCATCTTGTGTGTATAAGGGTTATTTGAGCTGTTATGTACGACTGTGTCCGTGTGTGAAGGTTTATGATATATTGAAAAATCTAATTTGTTTTGCGCTTTCGTAATAGTTAAGTCTAAAAAATTAATAGAGTTATCATGTTCAATCTCTTTATACGATTATGTAATGAGTTAATGTAATTTAAAAAAGAATTCAATTGTCTGTCCGTTCCAACAAAGCAAGCAAAGACATCATCCACGTATCTATACCACCATATGATATTTTCCAAATTGCCATCAAAATAATTTCGTGAAAATCTGAACTTTTAGCTCTTATTTATTTTATATATATTTTTTCTTTTTGTATTTTTTCTAGCTAAATAAACAAAAACAATGAATGATGGAGATTGAGAAACCCTATACCAGATCGATGGTTGTCCCGCTCAAATCTAGTTCCCGTATGGTTCTATTGTTTTTTTAAATAAGCGTTGAATATCAAAAACGCGTTACCTGATATGACCGAAAAATGAAGAAAGTAATTGGTCTCGCGGTCCATGGCGGATCCTGCAAGAAAAACGCAAAAATGTACACAAAATATTGTCGTCGCGCATCGATCATTTCGCGTTCTCCAAAAAGGATAATCAAGCTGTGCTAACACAGTGACTTCATAAGTTTTAATACCGGCATAAATACGTCAGGCCGATAACTTCAACATTCTAAGTAAATGTAAACGCAGACTTAACGAACAATTCAAATAGATAATGATTTGTAAATATCAGTTAGTATTAAAAAAACTAGATTAAATCGCTTACCGGTAGCGGTTAACACGTTAACCTGGAAGCTTAAGAAAACAAAATAGGATATTTCATCATGGATTGTTGTTTATTTTGGTTATTGCGGCTCCGTGGTCCTGTTAGGGCGTAGCGATGCGCCTAAGGTATCGATCATTTGGGCATAGAATCCTGCACAGAGGCCTCCTTTTCGCAACCACAATTTATTCTTCTTCTTCACTGCGTTTCAAACTCTACTATGGCCATTCGCCCATTACCGAAGTTAAGGTTAGTTTTACATCGGTCACAGACCAACACGTAAGAAAAACTTTATCCGGCATTTGTTCTCAGCTTGCAAAGCACCACACGATCAAAACCGATATCAAAAAACATCACAGTTTACGCTTGGGATCTGTTAGAGTTTTTGAGGTAGATTGTAAAAATATTGTATAAATTATAAATTGTTTTTATGACTGCAAAAAAGAGTTGTATGTTGTACAAGTGGCAATTATCTATTATAATTTTTTTTATAATAATATTTTGTCACTGCAAAATTTTATAAGAAACCTTTTATTACGATTTTTTTTTGTTTCATCGATTCAAATAGGTCTGTCGTGTAGATAAAAAATTATAGGAATTTTGAGGAACGGATTTAATTATAAAGAAATAGTTCTGGCTTTATTTTATAAAAATATATTCTGAAGATTTTATGCTCAGTAATAAAATGTATTGGGCTTTTCGTATTACCTTTATTTCCGGTATGCTATATGTAGAAAAACGGTATTTTTGAATTCTGGGGAATATGTATAATAACAAGTTTTAATATTGCAGTTATCAAAAGAAATCAGAAAAAGTTATTTTACCATATATAGATATATGAAATATATAAAGTATATAAAATTTAAATATAAATATAAAAAATATATAAATCATTTGTCTCTTAATGCAAATCAGTTTATGAAAAATGTGTTGACAAGATTGCTTTCGAAAAATCGTCGCTGGCGGGGCAAATTTGTAGCGCGGACCACTATAGAACTTTTGCAAAATCGATGTAATTTAATTGTGTTCTACAAAGCTTGAAGCTACAAAAGGAATACCTCTGCGATACTTATGCAAAAAAACTAGGGCATACAGTTTTTTTAAGGCTTTCACCTTACCACTGTATATTTAATAATTTGGCACAACCGAAATCTGCCATTCGTCGTAACAATGTTTTTCCCCGTGTTAACTCCAATGTCCTCAAACTTATAGAAACCGAAGTTTTTAACGTCCCTCCACAAAGTTGGGCAAATTCTGTTAAACATATAGAAAAAGCAGAACAATCGTATATCCATATTGCAAATAATATAGAAAAAATAATTATTAGAACAGGCTTTATTGCATAGGCGTCAACAGCTTTTACCATGCTCTTACCACTTAGCTTAGTCTCCATAATCTTCTTTAGTCGCTCTTTAAAGTTGTTGGTGATCGTTGGTTTCGATTCTTTTCGATCGATTCCTCCTGCTTTCTGGTATCCTAGGTATTTGTATAGTTCATCCCGTTCCGTTCCTTGTATGTGCCCTTCTTGCTCTCCTAGTTTCACTCCTTGGTGTCTCCTCCATTTCCCTATTTCCCAAACGTTATGCCAATATCTGAACTAAATTCCCGTATTAATTTTATGTTTCTTTTCAGGTCTTCATCAGAGGTAGCGTATACTTTGAGATCATCCATGTAAAGAAGACAGGTAAGTACGGCGTCGTTCTCTAGCTTTTAATATTATTATCGTAGTAGTGAGGAAATGGCGCTAATTTTGCTACTCGAAGAGTCGCATCACGATCTAGGCTTAATGTATTTAATTTCAGAACGACGATAACTCAACTTTAAAACATTTCTCTGGTAGGAAAAAACCGCGAGGTCCAGACAGGCGCGTGATCCCGACAAATCGAGACATTTAATTCTTTCAAACACAGTATTTTACTCGAAATTTGTCATTACGCGCGAGTTGCGTCGCGCATTATCTGTCGGCGTGATAAAAATTTAAAGTTCAAACACGGGACGTCACGCGAGAACTCCTTTAACACATTTCGGCCGTTAATCCGCGTCTGAAACCGCGACAATGCAAAATCAACAAGTTTGCCGGTTCGGTATTCATTGTTTTTGGATTGTGGACATGGCTTCGAGCAAATCTGTAATAATACAGATAGAACGGTGTCTAAACAGGAAAAAGCAAAAAGTAAATCGGGAGACAGATATAAAAGCCGAACGCTCGACGCAAAGGGGACAATTCGGTCGAGAATTTTGCCACGCATAGACTTTTTTCATTCATTTCGTATTTATGTAGGAAGTCTCGTTTGTTATCATTTTCGTACCGTGGCAAAGTTGCGTCGTATAATATGGAAAAGCAAAACATCAACTACTTCATCTACTTCGTGGTGGTGGCAGGTAAGATCCCAACAAGTTTCGTATCATCTCGCGAAGATGCAAACATACTTTTTACCAAACTTCTCGTACTTTGGCGTGTATTTTCACCATTTCTTCGAGAGAAGCATCTTCCCCATGATCTCTAGCAGCTTAACTGAATATAGAGCTTGTTGAATGGTGGGCGGTGGTCCCAGATCAACTTCTTCATCATCTTCTTCCTCTTGGCGCTCTTCCTCATCCTTTCTTGTTTGTTATAATATGGCTTCTTCTGTCCAGTCTACTGTTGTAAGCAAATCCTTATCTATCACCATAAAATGTTGCAACTCCTCACTTGTAAACGTAATTGTTGTTTGAAACTGCTTTATCCACTCACTCATCATCATCATCATCTTCCAAGTCCTGTTCGCATTCTGTCTCTGTAATAAGTGCTGCATTACGATAGGAGTGTCGAATTGTTTCTGCTGTCACCTCTTTCCAAGCTTTACTAATAAAGTTGACTGCCTCTAGCATATTAATGGAAAATTTGTCTTCGGACTCGATCATTTCCATTAAAATGTCATTCCTGTATCGACTCTTAAGACTTTCTGGTCCATCGGCTGACATACACTTGTTGTTTTGGCTAGAAGAAATGGGGGATGTGCAGGGCAGTTATCTAAGATAAGTAATTTTTAATTCTGCATCCCATTTTCGTATCTCCTCTTCAAAAATTTATATATATTTATAACCGATGAATTTTGGGCCGGATGGTGATGTGACAATGCATTAAGGTATCGGTCTGTGTGCGTAGGCTTTCTGTAAACACAATGACCCAATGTTAGGTCTGATTTTCTATTGATAAGAACATCTAAGAATGGGAGGTTGTTATTAGATTGTTGGTTGAGGTTGTATTGTTGTATAGAGTTTAAATATCTAAGAAAAACTACTAGGGATTCCTGTCCATGAGGCCAAATAACTTTGGTTTTAGATGGAAGGTGTCGAGAGCTTTCTTCTCATAGCTGTTCCCAATGTTTGTTCAAAAATTTGACCGTTGACCAGCAACTGCTGATGAGTTTATTTGTCTTAAGTCTATTTCACGTTCCTTGGACATGGTTGATATTTTCGTCCGGTCTCTTCGATGTATTCTTTGCCACATATGCTGTAAACTGCTGACATCTCAAATGGAATTTTGTGATTGAGGGATCGAAATTGTCGAGAGATTTTTGGACAAGTGGAAAATCTGGTTTTGACGATTGATGTTTTGAATGTAAAGAAGGACAACCGTGACAAGTGTGGTATTGCTTCGAGCTCATTGCTATTGGAAGGTTGTGGTGAGGTGTATTTTGTGATGGAACTAACCAAATCTAAAATTCTTGCCTACAATCAATTCTTTTACCAACGAAAAGTCCGAGAGCCTATCTCTATAAGCGACCAAACAATCTTAATCGCGACCTTTCGTGACCCTTCTTTAGCTCCGCCCCCCTCAAACTATATATAAGCAGGTACAAAGTACAAAGTACAGTTTCAGTCAAGCTATGAATAAGCCAACAGGACGATTGACGAAACGTTAGCAGGCTCGACGCAAAAGGAATCCAGAATCAATATGCAAACTTCCTTCCTTTTGACGTCATCAAATACCCAAGAGCGGTTTATAAGAAGCCCCGACTACAATAGTGGTTTTCATAGTTTCATAGGAAATAAAAAAAATGTTTTTGAAAAAGCATAGTTGTTGGAGGTCATCTGCATTCTGTGCTATAAGAGCTGCATCGTCCGCATAGCAGACAATCTTCAGAGAACCATTTCCCATTCGAAAACTGCCTTTCATTAGTTTCACACTATGTTAAGGAGGGTAGTGCTTAAACTGTCACCTTGGCCGATATATTTGGAGTCTGGCTAGTCTAGAATGTCAATCACGTCTTGAAGATTTATTCCATCGAATGCCTTCGTGAAATCCACAAAGCAGACAAACAAACAAATTTTTAACTTGGACGCCATAGTGAGTCTTACTGCCATACGCTGATATATTTAGGGGTAAATCTTCTATATATTGTTCTATTTGGTGCTCTAAGAGTTGCAAATAATGATCTCCAGTTAATTTTTCATTTATAAATATCGCACCCAAAATATGTCCACCTGTGACACCGCACCATACATTAATCGATTGGCATCCCTGGGTTTTCAATTAGTTTAATTGTCTAGGATTATTTAAAGACCAATATCTTTCTTGTAGTGAACGAACTTTCATCAGTCCATAAATTATGTCTATTTAAAAAATTCCATGAACGTTGTTTACCAATGTGTCAATCATAAACATATTTTTATTTGTCAGTCATGCCACTCTTTGAAATATATAAAAGTTTACTATTTTTGCCGATTTGCCAGAAACGAGTGGACCAAAATATAAAGTGTGTTACCTCATAAGATATTCTATGAAACACATATAATATACAGGGTGTTTCATTTAAAAAAAATGATGTAGGAAAATTTTTAGTGTTTTGTTTTATACGTCACTTGGCTACTAACCCTACATTTTGTTTTTTTGTTTACCTTGATATCTCTAAAAACAAAAAAACTTATAGCTAATTAAAATGTTGTCAAGATAAATCGAACGCAAATCTTCTAATATATTTTAGTTATCGGTGTCGATATTATTTGGGCACAATAGCTTCTTCGACATTTCTGAAATGGTTTATCCATTCGTAGATTCTTGCCACTCAAAAATATGACATAAAAAGTTACGGGCAGTTGAAAATTTCCACGGATTCTCGGTGGAAGGTTAAATCGCCACAGCTAGAAACAGCTTCAGCTTTTAGAAAATCAAGAACGGGACGAATACTGGGTTAGAAGAAAAAAACAAACCAAATTTGTAAGAAACAAAACAAGGCGTTTGGTTTTTTTCTCGCGTTGATTGGTGCGGATAGAAAACGGCAATTCTTCTTTGCAGTCAACCTAATAACCATGGCCGCGGGAGCCGCGTTCACCTGGGCATCGCCCGTTCTACCCAAGCTCAGGGACCACGACAGCACCGTAAACCCACTCGGTGAGCCCTTGACGAACTTCGAAGAATCGTGGATAGCCTCCATCATGATGATGGGTGCGTTTACCGGCCCCTTCGCCGCCGGGATGCTTTCCGAGAAACTTGGAAAGAAAAAAGCCCTCCTCATCTTCGGGTTGCCGATGACCGCGTCCCACCTGATCTGCGCCTTCGCCACCACCCCCAACCTATTCCTAGTCGCCAGGTTTCTGATCGGTATCGGCGTAGGCGGAGTATTCAGCGTCATACCGAGTTACGTGGGCGAGATATCGGAAGACAACAACAGGGGAGTGTTCGGGAGCATGCTGGGGCTCATCGCCGCCTTCGGCCAAATATGTTGCTATGCGGTCGGACCTTTGGTTTCCGTGCGATGGTTCAGCCTCATCAACCTAATACCCTTGGCGCTTTTCTACGTTTTGTTCGGGGTTTTCGTGCCCGGAAGTCCCTACGATTTAGTACGGCGAAATGACCAGACGGAGGCGGAAAGAAGCCTCACGAAACTGAGACGGAGGACGGGCGCTCAGGTGCAAAAGGAGCTCATTTACATTACGGAAACCGTGGAGACGGACTCCGAGAACCGGGGGAGTATCTCGGACCTGTTTACCAACAAATCGGTGTCGAAGGCCATAATAATATGCTGCGGGCTGATGGTTTTCCAGCAGTGTTCCGGGATCTGCGCCGTCCTCGCCTACATGCAATCGATTTTCGAAGTGTCCGGCGCGTCGATATCGCCCTTCGACGCGACCATCATCATCTCGACGATCTCCATGCTTACCAACTTCGCCAGCTCCATGCTAATAGACAGGATGGGCAGGAAACTACTGCTGGCTATATCCTCCTTAATAGCCGCCCTCTGCATGTTAACGTTAGGCTTGTACTTCTTCCTCAGATCCGCGGGACGGGACACAACCTACATCTCCTGGCTGCCCATTATGTCCCTTATCGCGTTTATGGTCGCCTTTAACCTCGGTTTCGCCAACATCCCGTGGATTTTCTTGGGCGAATTGTTCCCGTCGAACGTGAAGTCGTCGGCGTCCACGCTGACGGCTTCCGTATGCTTCAGTCTGTCCTTCCTAATCACCATTTGTTTCCCGTTTTTGAGCGCGAGTCTCGGGGAGGCCGGCAGTTTTTGGATTTTCGGGGGCGTTTTGGTGATCGGCCACGCGTTCATCCTGACCGTCGTGCCCGAAACGAAAGGCAAGAGTTTCAAGGAGATCCAGGACATGTTGAGCGGCACGCAGAAGCAAATCGGCGTCTGATAACATCGCGCACGATTGTGTAGCCCATAAATGACATATTGACTTTTCGTAAACCCGCGAGACAACATATTTTTTAAGCACCTAAATAAAACAAGGCCCGGTGAAAATAATTTTTTCTGTACCGATTGATTCGTATGGTATCGATTGTGGGATAAATTATTATTTATAAGCATGACAAATAAAATGCAATTTGTAAAAAGGCGGTGTTATTAATGAACTCATTTCTTTTCAATTTTAAAGTTCGACGTCACAAACTGACGTCCAACAAGTAAACACCATATACCGACAGGAGACAGCGGTTTTCTAATTTTTTTATTGATATTTACGGAAATATTTTCTACAGTTCCTATAAATACTGCAAAGAACTAAAGCGTAGGACACAATCACCATCTGAAACTTTAAAATATCACAAAGTACCATTGTGTTCCGATTGTGTTGTACTTCTTGCCATAATAATCGAAAAATAAAATATAATGTAAATTACAGGTGACTGAAATTAAATTAACCAACCTTAAGGAATTTTTTTCTATAGGGACCTGTTTTTCAAAACTGGCCGAATGACCTTTAGAAATAGTGACCATTAGAAGTAATTAAAAACAACCACCTTTGAAAATCCCCCCGGAGGGTGATAGTCTCTTCCAGTCCCTTTCAATTAAGGCATCCTCTCAGGTTTTTGGAAGAAAATTTTCATTAGACCAGAAAATGGCCGAACGATCCTGGTAGCAGTGACCAATAACAGTAAGAAACTTCTAAAAATAAACCCAAACTAACCTCGCTGGAGTCGCCCCTGCAGATTGTTGAACGACTTAAAATTATTGTAGAAAAAAAAAATTTTGAATTTGTAGGCATATCAAAAATACTTTAAAAATATGACTCACACAATGGCATGCATTCAATTGTTTCTTGCAAGAAACAATTGAATTTGTCTCTATAAAATGTCTATTTGCAAAAAATCTAGAGATCCTTAGCAAATGAAATTATTGATATAAACAAAAATATAAAACTTGTACAATAAAAAAAAGGGCAAAAAAGTAAAATATATAATGTTTTTTTAGGTTACATTTGTTATTAGTTATTATATCTTCCACTGCTTCACTTAAAGAAGTCTCCACCAGTGTGGATATTGGAACATTTTCCGTGCTTCTTTTTAGTTTCACTTGAACTTTACTCTGATAATGGACTTGCCAGGCAATAACTGATTACTAAGAACTTTGCTCTCATATCTCAGAGTTAAAAATTTCTTGTAGCAGGATGAATTTGCTTCAATGTTTCACACATTTTAATTTCAGTGATTATGTCTGAGACATATTTATTCTGGTTCACATGTGAAAATATGTGGCACTACATCTGGCTTCATGCGAGCTGCAACTTTACTTAGTTTGTATTCGACGTAATTTTCCATATCCTCATCCAGCTGAACAAGATCAAGAAATGGTTCTTTAGAAAGTTTGATAACATAATATGTATAATATACCTACCCTAAAATGATCTTCACAGCAAAAGAATATCGTCTTTATGGATACGTCCTTTAAACTTCTATTAGCTGCAGCAAACCATTGCTTTTTTCGCACTAAATTACGCGGAACACTAACAAATACTTTTTCTGGACTGTTTTTCGACGTGTTTCGACAACTAGGGACGAAACACCACTTGTTTGACCTCATTTTTGAACAAAATTAGGAATAAAATGAACGTATAAATCAACAAAACAAAACCTTTGAATTATAACCTCCATCACAGGTCACAGAATACTAAGGTTAACCTCCGTTAACAGAATCACTGACGTCACAACAAGGCGCCAGAAGTATTTTCTAGTTTCATTAATTTTATTATTTTTAATTTCCAATTACATTGGTTAATAATGCTTTAATTTAATGTTTGCCAGGTCAAAAAGTCTATTGATTTTTTAGAACACCTAAAAAAATAGTTAAATTTGTGGAATACATTGGAAGGGATTACAATTAACCAGTGTACTGAAATAAAACCTTGGGAAAGGAGTACCCATATTAACTTAGCCATGAAAGTATAAAAAAGAAGAAGATGATAAATTGGTTAAGGCTTTCGCGGCCCGTTGATAAGCTATTATCTTCATTCGGGTTTAAAGGCCGTCGTCGATTGGAATTACTTCCTAACGTTTCGCTAGCACGAGTGGCGAGCTTCTTCAGAGGTCCTTCCATCTCCGATGTTGGACGTAGACGTTAAACCTGAATGAATATAATAGCTTAAAAGAAGAAGATGTCAAATTAAGAAGATTTAGAGTCATTCAAGAGATGTTAATGTTCAAATAGATTTATATATATTTTTTAATCCAAACGCTTGTTTAAAAATGAATTTAAACGAAGATCGAGAACACGAAATCACAAACAAATTGGAAAAAGTGGGTTTCATTTTTCAATTAAAGCAGTGTTTTAAATAATTTATAATTTAGGAACAGGCAAATTTGTCCTTGTTACAAGAGAGGCTACTGAAAAGCGGGCAGATTACGAAAAGCATTGGAAATATTCTAAATACGTTCGAACAAAGATTATCCCGACTAGAAGAGACTATTGTCCCGGTGTACAATGAAACTGAAAGTCTTCAGAAGGCTCAGTACAGTATGTAATTCTGAAACTTTCTTTATATTCACTAAAGTATTCGTCTATCAGATATTGATAGGACTTTGCAGTTGCTGGACAATGTCGTTAGTTATTATGAAGTGTCCAGTGAAGTGGAACATATAATAGAAAGGGGGCCAGGTGAAGGACACGCCGAGTTGGACACTTATATCGAAGCCTTAAATCGATTAGATAATGCACAGAAATATTTCGAAAAAAATATTCCCCAAAGCGTTGAGCTTATCAATGTGGTAAAAAATGTATTTTTTTTAAGTTTCAGTTGGAATACAATTTTGTTGGTTTGTAGTCATCTTTTTTTCATAAAGGCAGCGACAGGCTGAATGCTGAGTTTAAAATAATATTGGATAAGTACAATACACCACTTTTACCAGTGGTTCTATTAGAATTAATTAGTTTCGAAGGTCCGTAGTTATATTAGTTTTTTATATGGATTGGGCAAATATTATTTTTAGAACCCAAAGAATGCAAGGTTTACCCCAAGCAAATCCCAGTAGAAGCCAAAGACCAGCTGGTTAAAATATCCTCGTGGTTGCTGAGTCATAATCGGGACGAATTTTTGACGGTTTATGGCAAAATTCGAGGCGGCGTGCTGCAAAGGTCTTTAACGATGCTCAGAAATCACCAAAAGTCCGTTAGCGGTGGCAGCGTGCACGGCACTTCAGGTTCCCCCATGCTGGTGCGAAGCGACAGTGCAGATTCAAAATCGATCTGCCATTTTTATTTTCGTCTTGCAGAAACCGAAATTTCAGAACAGGCACGAAGCCAAACGTCAGCCTTCCACGAGGAGGCTTCAGGCATTCGAAAGGAAAGCAAACAGGATGTTCCTGAAAGCTTCGCAGACTTTGGAGCATTCCACCGGTCTTACTCTGGGCAGCAGACGAGCTTCGCATCTAGGTTAGTTTAGGTTAGTTTTTTTTTAATTTTTAATTAACGTTTAAATAGATACCTCGTATACCGGTGAAGAGGTAGACAACGAACAAGAAATGGAAAACTATCTAGTGTGCGTTATCGCTTTGCATAAACTGATGCAGATCGAGCAACATTTACTAAAAGAAATTATAACTCCAGCCCATCGGCCCAGAGTGTTTGAGCTCGTCGTTCGCGATGCTATGGACACCATAGTTCAGGACGGTGAGGTACTTAAACTTTGGCATTCATAAAAATTGCACACTTTTATGGATTCGTGGCGTTTCAGAATATCGTGGCACGAGCTAAAAAATGCATTCAAAGGCACGACTTCGGTACCGTCCTGGTTATCTTCCCCATATTTAAGCAATTGCGAGCGCTCAAACCCGATTTCGATAGAACTATAGAACAATGCGACCCCAACGTCAAACTAAAGTTCGAGTCCATTTTACAGATGCTCCATTCGACTGTAAGTACGCGGCCAGTTTTCGCTGAGGCTCTATGTTGTTGGTTACCAGGGATCGAAAGCTTTGGAAGACTTCATAGAGAGTCTCAGGTCGGATTCTGTGACGCAATTGCCGCCAGATGGCACTGTGCACGAACTAACGAGCAATGTGATTATGTTCCTGGAACAGCTGCTCGATTATATAGATACTATTGGTATAGTTTTGTTGCAGGATCCCAATTACTCGAAACAACTTGAAAAACTCAAGTATTCTGATCAAAATAAAGCCCTGCTGGGCCTCTATATTAGTGAGTTTGGTGGGTGTTTTCTTTTTTTTTCCTCGGTGACGTTTTTTCCCACTGCTAGAAAAGGTATTGGTCCAGTTGAACCACACGTTGATCAGTAAAAGCGAGCAATACAATGACGGCGCCCTAAAAGCCCTTTTCAGATTGAACAACAACAATTATGTCTTGAAGTCTTTACAAAGGAGCAGCCTGCTAGAGCTGTACCTAATTTCCGAGCCCAAATGCGAGGAGTACTACTACAGTTCCATACAGGACCACAAAAAAGCGTATTCTCAGAGGTAATACGCGACCTAGCGGATCGCGGTGGCCATTTTGTGAGGTTATTTCCAGCTGGAACAAGCTCTTGGGTTACATAGACTCGGACGATCCCTATTTTCACGGGGACAAATTGAAAGACAAGGACCGTGCCGCGATAAAGGATAAATTCGCCGGTTTTAACAGAGAATTCGAAGAGATATCCAAAGTTCAAAGGGGCTACTCCGTCCCGGACGTTGAACTTCGGGAAAGCATCAAGCGGGACAATAAGGAGCTGATCATTCCAAAATACGACGCTTTCTATAATAGGTATGGTTTATTTGTTTGATTAGTGATAGTATACGGGGTGTTCGGAAATAAGTTGAAATGTCATAACAAACCAAAACATTCATTCGATTGCTCTGTTAATATATTTTGATTTTCGGTTCAGGGGGTGGAGGTAACAAACTGAATCAATAAACCTAACCATATAACTACTAGACATATAGAAGCCCAGCCTATGCTGACAGTACAGTTTTTAACCAATGACAGCTCTAATTTCAAATTCTGCCCCACAAGAACAACATGGCCGCGGACAGGTCGTCAATAAGTTTGGATGCGGAATTGTATATTCCCAAAATATGTCGAAACGCTATTAAATTGTCAGGCAAAAAAGAAGCGAAGATCTGGAAAAAGTTGTTTAAAAAATTAGCGACAAATGCAGCAATGTAGATACTATTTTTACCGAATTTTTTTCATATAAGCTATTTTTTCGGAATCTGCAAATTTTTAAATCTTATGCCAATGACAGAAAAAACAAACGACGATCACAAGTTGTCAAAATAACATTTTTTTTTAATGGAATGCCCTATATAGTGTTAAGTTTATTATTTATTATTATTTATTTATTTATTATTATTATTATTTATGTAAACTAATAATATGTATGGCATTCCATTTTTAAAAAATCTTCAAACTTTTGTATTTACATTTTTTTTTTCTATTTTTTAAAATTAACCTTGTAGGTGGGTGTCAAAATATAATGAATAAACAAGTACAAAATCAGTATTTTTTGATGGGACCAGTTTCTATTTAATCAGTGTCAAATTGTGTGTGCACGTACTGCAGTATTCACTTACCTACCTGACCTGTCAATGAAATACCCCAGATTTGCCGAAAATTTCCTGCCGACAGATCCAGTAAATTCTTCCTGTTGTAGTTGAACCGATTTTGGTGAATCCCCACTATTTTGCGGTAATAATTTCTGTAGTCTTTTAACCGATAGAAAGACTATTTCGTTTTCGCTAAGCGTGATGACAAACGAAAACTTTCCCATATTGAATTAGCAAAAGCACAAATTACACAAGTTGGTGAGTGAGAGTCCTAGATAAACAACATTAAAATCTTTTAAATGAACTTAAGTACTTAAGGCAACACTTACCCGTGTATTCTTACAATTTTGACCACAAGCACAAGTTTTCCAGAGGATGGGCATTTTTATCACAAAAATATGGGAATCATAAATTTTCCAGCTATTTTTTATAGCTATATGAACATAGCCCATAAAAGCACACTACAGCTATGGCCGTTAACGTTGTTGCAGGTATGGGGTGTTAAATTTTACCAAAAATCCGGAGAAGTACATAAAGCACAGGCCCGGAGAAGTGTCCGCCATAATCGACAGGTTTTTCGATGTCGCGGCGTAAATAAAAAACTTATTCGTTTCAATAAAGTGTCTATTTACACGGAAAAATGTTTATCAATGCAACATTTTTGTACTTAAAACCCTATGGAAATGGTTCAACGTGACACATCCCGCTGTACAGGTTAACGGATCAGTTTAGGGGCGGGGCCTCGCTGAAATAGGGGGCCGAACTCTTGACTAGGAGGGTGTGACACACGTCGCAGACCTTCGAAGGCCGCAGGTTGGGTCCCGACTGTACGGTTCTGCTTAAACACGACGGGCAAAATATACGACCGCAATGCCTGCAGTGCTGCCTCTTCCTGTCCCTAGAAAATGGCGACCGGCACGCCGGACACTCGCTCACGTCCTCGTCGTGTTGCCACCGCACCTCGTGATCTAATTCCCTAATCTTTTCCAGTTCCATCTGTAAATAGTTTCGACTCAAAGGATCCTACTCTGTACCTACTCATATACGGTTTGAAGGGGCGGAGCTAAAAGAGGGGCACGATCATTGTCTCCTCTAAGTCACGGTTAAGTCTTTACCTGTCACCAATATGGGAATCGGTCATCCGAGATAACGGCCACGCCCCCCTATTTTAGCTCCTCCCCCCTCAAACCATATATAAGCAGGTACAGAATAGAACCAATTTCAGTTAATTTACTACCGCACTCATAGATTATTGGTTTAGCTGTCTCAGAGACAATTAAAAGAAATGGAGCTTCATGGCGACTACTGATACTGATGTAGATATCAAAATAATTGTTTATCATTGGAAAATAAAACACTGCAGGTGTGTGCATAAATTCGAAGGAACTTCAATGTTCTTAATTAGTGGATATTTGATGTAATTTATTTAATAATAATAATGTGGACCGTTTATTTCGAAAGTGGTCTAACTCCATATTCTCTTGTTTCGAGAAGATTCAATAAAGAAATTATCATAAATATTAAATTTGATTATATAGATTTGATTTAGGCGAATAAGACTACAATAATACGTTTTTATGGGCTGTAAATGGACTTACAACAGTTTCAAAATTAGACAACCGTAACAGTCGTTTAATTTCAATTTTAAAAAATCAAAAACCCTTTATGTCTAAACTCGAAAAATTTTTTTAGGCAACTTTTTGTTTTTCGTTAAAAATCTTTATTTTTAGACTTTAGATGTGAACTCCAGATAATTGGTCTTATTTATTTATAGTGAAGAACAAACTTACGCTTATTTCTCGTATTTATGAAAAACAGTTTTTCACGTTTTCTGAGAAATCAGTTTTTTGAGTTGTGTCACTTTTAAAGCAAGTATCTATTCGAATACTACTTTCGAGACTGAACTTTAACTATTTTTGTTTTCCACTCTTTTTTTTACGTTCTGTACTATTTTGTTGCGAAATAATAATACCAATTATTATTATTAACACGTTTTTCTGTACACCCGATAAAAATAAAAAACACTAGATCCCGGGGTAATTCGGAACCAACTTTAGTTGGAAAACCAAAGATTTTCAAAATCTTAGTGTTTTTATAGAAATGTCTTCAAATAATTTTATATTTTGTTATTTTTTTCATTTAAAAAGTTTCAAATGTTTTTTTTTTGTTTATGTTCCTTCAAATATTTATATTTTTAAGTTTAAAATGTTTTAAACGTTTGCAGTCTGTGTGTACCTTTGATTTAAGTGCTGTTTAAGTAATAAATAATCTATCCTAAGTATTTAACTGAAAAAACTCACCAGAATTTGGCTTTTTCAGCACTAAACTTTAAACGTTTTCTGCAGCTAAATTCTTTTTTTACATTACAAAAAAATGTATGTCAGGATTTTTTTTTTAAGAATGTAATACATTTGTCGAAAATCGCCAAAAATGTTTCAATTTGAAATAGGTAACTTTTTCTTTTTCGTTAAAAATGTTTATTTTTAAACTTTATAAGTGAGAACTCCAGATAATTCGTCTTATTTATTTATATTGGAGAAAAAACTTATTCCGTATTTAAATTTTGTTCATAAAACTGCGTATTTATGAAAAAACAGCATTTATTGAGTTGTCGCTTTCAAAGCACTTTTTGTCATTGTTTTCCACTCCTTTTTTACGTTCTCTATAATTTTGTTGCGAAATAATATTATTTATTATTATTATTTACCGACCCACCTGCAGACTTTGCGATAGCCTCACGAAATCCTTCTGGACGGTCTCCGAAGTATCCAGATCCTGCTGCAACGAGTGCACCCTGTTCTTCAGCTCGCCATTTTGGCCCTCCAGTTGTCTCTACGACCCGACATCGACACAAAATCGCAAATATTTCTCACCAACACTAACTTACGATCGCGTTTTGTAACTCCGTTATTTTTTCCTCCAATTCCGTTACTTTGTGGTTGGTGATTTTCAGTTTTTCCTGATCGCCCAAGATGTGTCTCCTTTCGTTTTCGTGCTGAACCAACTGGCGCCTGCAAACGATAGCGATGAACGGGGCAATGAAGAACGTTGAGTGACTCACTGTAGGGATATAACCTCCCTCTCCAAACTCGTTTTTTCACGCCGCTCATTTTCCACCTGGTCCTTCGTCAATACGAGCTCCGACTCCAAACCGATAATCTTCTCTTCCAAAACTTCCTTGCCGATCTTCGCTATGATGAGCTCCTGGTGGTTTTTAAGGACCAACTCGTGCAAATCCTTCGGGCGCAAAAGAAAGAGGTGGCTTTTACTAGATGAAAATCCATTTAACAAAATAAATAAGAACTAAAAGTTCAGATTTTCACGAGATTATATATTTTTACATGACAATGGTTTCGACAACATCGTGTCTTTATCAAATGTAATATTTACAAACTACCTGGAACTGTATATACCGAAAAATGACAATAAAACCTTAATTAATGTTTTTAAGTTCAATAAAGGAGAGGTATTTAAATATAATTGATCGTTAAGCAATACATTTGAATGTCTCATTTTGTTCATCTCCATGGCTTCCAATAAATTCAATTTTCTACTGTTTATGGCTGTATGTAAAATGTCAAAATTGTCGTCAAAAATATGTTTTTCTTTGTAGGATAATTAAAATCTAGACTATTGTTTTCAAACGCTCTTTTATGTTCGTTAATGCGTTTCCTGAAGGATCTACCTCTTCGTCCAATATATATTTTAGGACAAGATCCGCATTTCAACCTGTAGACACCTGATTTTTGAGAATTCGTTTTATTGTCCTTTCAAAATTTTTCTATTGTGTTGTTAGTTCTGAAAGCAATGTTTGAACCACATTTTGACAAATATTTTGAAACTTTTTCACTAGGTTCTTCTATGTATGTAATTATTTTAAATTGTTCGTGTTCTGTATTAGATTTCGGATAAATAGAGTTCACTGTTGTCTGGGTTTGTTTTTTATTTATAATTTTATCGATAATGGACTGATTGTAGCCGATGTTCAGTGCAATTTGTTTAATGATATTAAGTTCTTTGTTTTCTGTTGAGAGTGGCGTATTAAGAAGTCTGCGTATAAATGAGTGAAATGCAGCCATCTTGTGTGTATAAGGGTGATTGGAGCTGTTAGGTATGACTATGTCCGTATGTGAAGGTTTATGATATATTGAAAAATCTAATTTGTTTTGCGCTTTCGTAATAGTTAAGTCTAAAAAATTAATAGAGTTATCCTGTTCAATCTCTTTATACGATTATGTAATGAGTTAATGTAATTTAAAAAAGAATTCAATTGTCTGTCCGTTTCAACAAAGCAAGCGAAGACATCATCCATGTATCTACGCCATCATAGAAAACTTTTGCTTCATGGATCTTCTAGGATATTTTCCAAATTATCCATAGTTATCCATAAAAATCTCAGCTAGCAAAGGTTTGATTATGTGAAACCCACTTAGTCCTTTGTTAGGCGAGATTTTTATGGATAATTTTGAAAATATCATACTAGAACATCCTATAAGTAAAAGTTTTCTATAGTGATATAGATGATGCCTTTGCTTGCTTTGTTGGAACAGACAGACAATTGAATTCTTTTTTAATTTACATTAACTCATTACATAATCGTATAAAATTCACTATCGAGATTGAACAGGATAACTCTGTTCATTTTTTAGACTTAACTATTACGAAAACGCAAAACAAATTAGATTTTTTTCCATTTACCACAAACCTTCACACACGGACACAGTCATACATAACAGCTCAAATCACCCTTAAACACACAAAATGGCTGCATTTCACTCTTTTATAATACGCCACTCAGAAAATTACAATAAAGAGCTTAATATTATTAAACAAATTGCACTGAACAACGGCTACAATCCGTCCATTATCGATAAAATTATAAATAAAAAGAAATCCAGACAACAGTAAACTCTATACGAAACCCAATACAGAATACGAACAATTTAAAAAAAATTACATACATAGGAAAAACCAGTCAAAAAGTTGATATCTACAAATTTGGGACGCTTAACACATTTCTTATTTAGCACGGGATTTCAGGAACACCCTGTACAAGTTTTTGCTCTCTATACGGGCTACAGTCTTTTAGTTATGACCAATTTTCAATATAGGGGGACCTATTTTTTTTTTTTTTTAATTTGCGACGCACCCTGTATATTTTTCAAAAATTGTCAAGAATAAAAGTTTATGAAGCCGTATTCTCTGCGTCTTCTGGTTCAAGGATATTTTGGTCTCGTAAACGGTTTTTGAAAAATCATGTTTTTTTTTTAGAATACTTCCCGACTCCCCAGCCCGCCCATTTTCAATAGATTCCGTCACGGGGCATACCTTCATATATGTGCCAAATATGAAGTCGATCGCTTCAAATTTCGGACACTTATCGTGTTTCATGGCAAGGTCCAAAGAACAGTCGAAAATCGCGAAAAAAAGATGGATACCGGAGCCGGCTCAGGGCCATTGCTAATAAGCTTATGTGCCTCGTGGGGGGTTAAAAAGAAGGAAAATTTTAATTTTGTAGCTCCAACCGTTCGAAAGTTATTCAGAAAAATCCAAAAGACGAGACAGACAAAAATTTTTTTTTTAATTTCGACGGTGATCATTCCTGTACCAACGGCGATCCCGTAGGACCTACCGTTACCGAGATATAAAATTTTTATACAGTGAGTGTGACTTTGCCTAGTACCTTGTTTTAAAATTTACCATACGCAATTAAAATATCGAATAAAAATTGTTTTTTTGCATAATTATTAAAAAAAAAAAAGCATAAATAATAAGTATTTGCAAAAAAAAAAAAATTTGTATCTAAATTGATTAAAAAAATGTGCATTCAGGGGTTAATGAAATTTAGCTCTCACCTCCACGGTATCGGGAAGGTTTATGGCCTCGCTCTCCAAATCTTGAGAATGTATCGCGTATTTACCTACAAGGTGATCGTTTTCCTTCTGCAACCTGGAAAGAGCGGTTAAAACAAACACCAAACGTCAGTATCGGCTCGGTTACTTATCCAGCTCGTGGTAAATTTTTTCCCTATCTTTGGTCACTTTGGCCAAACTGGCTCGCATCTCCGAACGGGCCTCCTCGAAATACTCCCTCAGCTCTTTCAAATCGAGCTCCGTACATTCGGTGATTTTCGTCAGTTCGGCCACTTGGTGTTTGTGCTCCTCCTTTTTCTCGTTCCATCTCTCCTCCATTTCCTTTCTTGTTTCCCACACAAAAGATTAGCTAAAGTTCCAAAAGGTTTCCGCGTTATCACCTAAATCCGATCTCTTTGAGCAAGTCCTCGCGGTGTCGCTCCGTGGCTTTCTCGGCCACTTGCACTTTGACGGTTAGCTCGCTGTTCTTTTGCTGTTCCTTGACCAGCTGAGCCTCGTAGTTGCTGCACATGTCGCACAAACCATTCTTTTGCATATCGAACGAGGTGTTCGTGGAGGCGGTCGTTTGCAAATGGACATGCTGGGACGAACGGTCGACGCCTTTCTGCCCATCGGGCTGAAACGGGAACAGTTTCAGTAGACAACGCACTTTGAACATCGTTACGATTTTAGAATGGTCATAGTTAATAGTAAAACCGTTATCGCAAAAGTAAATGTTTACAAATTAGAGTAAAAGATTGTCTTGCGTATTCATAAGGCACAAATAAAAATTAGACGATCCCCGGGCATAATGAAAAGATAAGGAAAATCGTTTTGTAATGTGTTTATTGTCGCATTACCTCCATAAACAGGAAAAGCAAACACCCAAACAGCCTTACGTGAGATTTTATTCAGAAACTGTTGTGTCTTTTATTTGGTATTAATATTATTATCACTAACTGATTTAATTTTTTTTTGTTCATTTTTTGGGAAAGGGCTTTCTGCTCCATATTCCATGAACTTTCTTTACACTTGAAGTTGCGGGTTGCGCCGCTTGGGGATCGCCCCGTGTGTGAGGCGGGGAGCTCTCGAAGCCTGGGCGAGAGACCGGGCCGCGGGGGGCTGGAGAGTTGCTCCGGGAATGAGGCAGGCGAGGCTTATGATGGATGGGCCCGCCCTTCCTCGGACCAGGGAGCTGCTTAGACTGACCAGGAGGGAGTGTAGAGCACTAACAGGGGCCTACACAGGACATTGCAGGCTTAGGAGGCATCTCTGCTTGCTAGGCATTGGAGACGACCCGGAGTGTAGGTGGTGCATGGAAGGGGAGGAGACCCCGTATCATCTGCTCACCGAGTGCCCTGCCTTGACATGGGCAAGATTGGGAGTCTTCGGAACGGCCCTGATCGATCCGGACTCAGTGCACGGTATTGGGCTAAAGGATTTGCTGACCTTCTACAGGAGGGACGGCATTCTGGACGCCCTCTAGAGCGGCCTGGGGGCACAACGGGCCCATCTGGTGGCCTAAGTGCTTGGACGCCCGCGAGGGCGCCCCCCTTTAATACCAATACCAATACCAATACACATGAAGGACGGAGTACTGGTGATACCATGTTCACTTTGACATCTACTATTCTTAAAAACTTAAATTTAGGTTTATTGATCTGGCAAAAGCATTTAACGTGGTTCCTCAAGCAAAAAACTGGTATGGTATCAGAGGAATAGTGAACAATTATCTGGCAGATAGGTATCAGATAGTGAAAGTAAATGGTTACACAAGTAACATGATTGCTTTCGAAAAATCGTCACGGGGGTGGGGGGGGGCAAAGTTATAAAAGGAAAGAACTTCGCGATTTCGTGTGGTAAAGGGACGCATTGTTTTTCTATCCTGCTCCTGCGGACCACTATGGAACTTTCGCAAAATCGATGTAATTCAATTTTGCATGCACCCTGTATCAAGTGACCTTCAGATCTGGTCGAACTTCAAAGGTATATAACGACGAGACAGACAAAAATTTTTTTTTTTTATTTCGACGGTGATCATTCCTGTACCAACGGCGATCTCGTAGGACCTCCGTTACCGAGATATAAAAATTTTATACGAACGCAGATACTTTCGAAAAAATCCATTTCATCGATTTTCGAAAGTAACAAACTCAAAATAAAAATTGGTGTCCCGTAAGGCGCGGTCTTAGGACCTATACTTTTCATTAAATATATAAACTGTTTATTGAATTTAAGCGCCAATGCCTTGACTGTGTTATACGCAGATGACACTAATCTTCTTTTTAGTGGTGATAACTGGAATACAATTAGAACACAAATATTAGAGTTATTTGACACGTGGCCTAACAAACAGAAATATTCAAGTACCAACCAATTACAATGATATAAATTTTAAATTTTATCAATATATTGGTCCCGAAATAAATCATATTTTACCAGAAGAGATAAAAAATATTACTAATTCAAGCTTGTAAATAAATTGTAACAGTGAAAGATCGCAATCTCTATTTCAATGACCATACGGTACATATATTTGTTGTAATAGATTTAGATGTTGGGATCTACGCTCTATACTATGCTATGTAATGAAATTATATAAAATAGAATATTATATATTTTTTGTTTAAATTTCATCAATAAAACATAGGGCACATACAAATGCTTCTTGCATTTTGGTGCCACTTAAAAATAAATAAATTAAAATGAGTAGTTCAAATGTACCAATCTGAATTGAAGATAAGGTTCACATAGAAGTAATTAAAACCACAATTAGTTCAAATATACTTCACTACTAGCAGTCCCTATAGCTTTCGTGAAACATTTCTGCTTTTAATATCTAAAGAATTCGTTATTTTTAATCGAATAAGTGACACAGTTAACGGATAGAGGATGAAGACCATCAAACGGCTTGTTTTTGAGTTAAACCCACAGAAACCAAAATAAAAGTCCACTGCGCGATCCAAACAATGCGCTATCGAGGTGCATTAAACATTTTGGTCCTTCGAGCCGGATTTTGATTCCGTAATATTTGTCAAAACAAAAGTGGCATTAAAAGATACACTTATTTTGTAGTGATCGCGAGACGTAGAAGTGTGAGATAGCAACAGGTTCAATTTTTTAATACGTTATTTTAATGCAGATAAACGATATGTTTTCGCAAAGTTTTACTCGATGCGGAAGAAAAAATTAACAAAAATTAAAAAATCTAAATTAAGTTAAGTCTTATCAGTCGCATTAGAAGCTAAAAATGATGCTGCAATAACGCAATAATATAAGAAATTCCTGAAAAATTTCATAAAAGGCCTTTTAAATCGAACCTCTAAAAACTTTTGGTATTTCGTTTTAGGTGAAATACTATTGAAATCGCTTTTCAAACCAGTTTTGGAAGTCTCACAGGGTAAACCTGATGATTTCTTTTTCATAGCAGTTACATAACCTCACTAATTGAAAGCGAAACTTTATACCCACCTCGACTGAGTGTTTACACTCGTTGCACTTTTGAAGCTGTTCATCTGTAGCCCTCAGTTTTTCTTTTAGCGCTTTGATTTGATCCTCCAGTGGCTCCACCAAAGATTTTAATAGTTCCGTATCGTATTGGGCCTACAACAAAAATTTAAAGTCTCCGATAGAGACTCTTAAGAAGAAAAAGTCTACCTTTTTTGAACTGTCATCGTCCTGCGACGAAAAAGTGTCCACCCCTAATTTCCTGATTTTCGTCAGTGCATTTAATACAACGCTGGGAGCCAAACTATGTTCCTGAAACAATTAAAATCTTAAAAAAAAAGGTATCAGTGAAACAAAACTACACCTTCAGAACATTTAGATAGGAGAGCATTTTTTTTTACTTAGAATATTGGGGCAAGCTGATAATAGCATGTAAATGAAATACGCATATGTAAATTAACAACGTTATCGCTGAAAGTCAACTTACTTGGTTGGCATTCTGGGTCAGTTGCCTCTGCTCCTGCAAAATGGCGATTTCCTTTTGCAAATCCTCTATGTGCGACTCTAATTTTAATAATTTATTGTCATATTCGGTTTGCGTGGAACTGGATTCCTCTATGGTCTCTAAAAAGTTGTGCTACATAAATTTTGGTATGTACTAACTTAATAATGTACCATGTACTAGTGTTTGCCAATTTGCTATCTCTTCTTCCGCTTTCCTTTTCTCTACAAAATTTGATTCGACTGTTATACGGTTCACCACTAATTGGCTTTTAACATCATCGAGTTCATTCTTAAGCTGTTTCACTTGTTCGCTAAGTGAAAAGTTTTCTTCACTTTTCCTAAACAGTTCAGCTAAAAATTGGCGGAAAGATCAATATTTATTGTTAATATGTACTAAATTTTAATTGTAGCGCAACAATTATACATTTTCGCAAGTCACGTATGCATCACTTACTATCTTTTTGCAAAAACAACTCTTTCAATTTGGCTCTTTGTCCATTAAATTCATCAGTTAGCCGCTTGTTTTCTGCTTCCAGTTTCTGCACTTGTAACTGCAAATCTACAAGATCAGAATCCTCAAAAATATAGACAAAAACATTTTCAATCGAACTTAATTTAATTAACACTTACCATCTTTTTGCAGACGCAATTCTTTACATTCTTCAGTTACCCGTTTATTTTCTGGGTCTAATTTTTCCAATTGCGGCTGCATATCTACGAATTATCGAAATTTGAAAATCCCGAAAAAATATTTTGCCAACAAGTTACCCCCTTCACAATTAAAAACCTGCTCATCATCTGTATGATCCATTTATTTTTGTTAAGTATGGGGCTAGTAGCTGCGAATATTTTTACATTGCACGGCCCCAAATTCGAAATAAATACTGCAAAAATTAATTTATACAAACTTTATTTTTGCTAATTCTTGGCATGACAGCACATAGGAGATTGGTGACCGCCAAGCACAGCTGTCTAATCACTTTCCACAGACCAGAGATTAAAGTGGGATGCGCTTGAATTGTCTGTGATTAAAACGTGTTCTAGTGATTATAGCTCAAAAATTAAAATTCCAAAATAATATGATTAATAAAAAAAGGGAATTTAGCGAATCACAATAACAACAGGGAAGTCAAATTAAGCTAAAACATAAAATATCCATTTGCACATACAGGCGACATCTAGAGAACAAGTGCAACTAATAATTAAAGCTGGGATAGATAATCTTTGTTAACAGATTTTAGTCGTGCTTGGACTTGCAATATCATTCCGTGTTGAATTAAGCCTTTTTTATTCTCAAAAATAGTTATTTGAAGCATATATAATTTACTATCTATATTAATTCAAACACAACAAATGAATTACATCCAAAATCGTTATTTTTCGAACTGGGTATAACACTAACGCATAAATCATGCTAGCGAAGCCTTTTATTATTTTCATCATAATTTGTTTTCCTGGTTTGCTACGTTTCCCGATTTCAAACTGTACAATCATAAATGCCGCCTGCAACACAGATGTGTGAACTGAGCTTTTGGCATTTCTCTTTTCTACGTCAGAGATCCGAAACAAAGCGCGACAAACTGTCTACTGTTGTCCTTTTTAGGGATACGGCAAATCGTCTTTGTCGTCGGGTTTTAGAAGGACGACTTGTGTCGTTGAATAAACATCGTAAATCAAGCAAATGTCGCCCAGGAAAAGCTGAGAAAAAGGTTCTTTACCTGATTGTTAATTTTACGGCCGTCTGAAATGATTGTCTATTATTTGTCGGACGTGCACTTTACGGTTAGAGAGGTACCTTCTTATGGGCAATAATTCCACGAAAAGTACTATTAACCAATTCGACTGTGGGCACGGGATTTACAAACAAAAGCAAGAGGATTCCAGGCAGGTAAGCAAGCTAGCAAAATTCTAACCTTTCAATTTGTTATTATACTGCGTCATTGTAGTTTAGCTTTAGCCGTTGTAGTTTGAAGAGTTTTGCGAGTGTCAGCGGCCAGGGGTCTATTTCATGTATATCTAAAAACTGGAACAGAATTTGCAGGGGAAGGTAAGTGTAGAACACTTCGTCCTGTTTAACCCAAAAATTTTATATATTTTTTTCTGCATGCGGTCGCCTAGTGATTGGTTTTGTTATCAGCACGGCAGCCAGTTTTTTCACAAACGTGCCTGGTCGATTTGTTTACATAACCCAGATTATATTAATGTTATTAGAGGAAATATTAAATTTGCAGATTCATATACTGACCCAGTTTGACTTCTTTTGGATAAAAAATAACCAATTTATTTTCACTTTTATGAAAAATGTTATGGCATTTTAAGTAAAGCGTGCCGATCAGGTTAAAAGTGTTGTTGTGTTTTAGGTGGAACGAGTCAGTTACCTTACGGTGCGAAGCGAGCAAAACTGCTTGGCCGCTAAAACAAACCGAGGCTTGTTTCCATCCAGAATTTTCCACAGTACCAAGTCATAACGCAGAAAGGTTTTCGCTGCTATGCGAACTAAGTAAAGGAGCATTCGGGGAGGTTTACAAGGTCAAAGACTCGGAGACCAAACGGATATATGCTTTAAAAGTTCTCTCCAAGTCAAGGATAATTACCGAGAACGCAGTTGAGCAAGTGAAACAAGAGGTGCAGATACAAAAGGCTTGCGGACATCACTGTTTCATCGCTGAATGCCATTTACAGTGGCAGACTAAGCACAAACTCTTCATAGGTAATGTAAATCGCTCATTATCATTCATTATTACAACTGAAATGTTCTGTTTATCTGCTTGTTCAAAAGTAATACCAAAATTTTTAATTTTTAAATTTAATTTTAAGGAAGTATAAAAAATTTGGCTGACTTGCCAATTTTTGGTGTTTTAATTAATGGGAAATAAGATTTGCATAATATAGTTAAGGCTACAAAATTATAGAAATCTGTCGATATTGATTTCAAGACAGTTAAACTTTAAAAATATTTTTTTAGCTTTTTTTTCTTAAAGCAAATTTAAATAAATAACGAATTTTGCATTTATCAGCAGAATAGTGAATATCGAATTTTTAGTTTGTTTTTTAGATAGGTTTTTATGACTTCAAATCATTTTTTTTAATAAGTATAGCACTCTTAATGCCTATTCAAAAACAATCTCAAAAGTTTTTAAATTTAAATTTAATTTTAAGGAAATATGGCAAATTTGCGGGACAGCAGATTAGCTGATAACCAAATAAATTATTTGTAAAAGTATGTACTATATTTTTAGTTTTTTTTTAGGTCCTGTTTCAAAAACTAATCAAAACCATCATGGTCTATTGATTATTTTGGTTTCATATTGTGTTTTGTTTATCTTCTTTTGCATGCTCATTTCATTTTCCTATATCATTACAATTGGTATGACTCATATAGCTAAGATAATAAAGTGGCCCTACTACGGTAAAAAGTGATGCGCCGCAGGTGGCTATAAAATTTTCGTAGAGAAGGTGTGGATCTTTTGCGCATGCGTCACCCCCAACTAATCGAATTGTCACATTGCCCTAATTTTTCTGAAAAAATTGATTAATTTTCCTCACAACGCAAAATCAGTCTCTGAAATCCGAATATAATTGGCAACGCCGAGATAGGAATTGCTATACCTTGCTATTGCCAGAGAATACTAATAGTCTGTGACATTGTTGTATACATTTTTGGTGGTTATGATTCCATCTTTTTGGTTATTTACATTTGAATCCAAATTGCAATAAAATATAGCTAAATTGTTGCGTGAATTGATACTAATATCTAAAGCCCGGTAGACACAATGCAATTTCTACATGTATTTTTAGCATTTAACAATTGCTATTAAATATTTTTAACGGGAAATTTTTTTGCGGTAGTCACCGTGCAATTTTTGCTAGCAAAATGTTTTTTAAAATTTGAGACAATAAAGTACACTTTTCAAAATAAATAAGAACTAAAAGTTCAGATTATCAGTTAAGTTATATTTACACTTTTAGAGTCACATTTCGTGAATTCGACTTTATTTACATTTTCAATTCCAATTCCAAACTACTTACATAATTATGTTAAAGACGCGTCCGTATGCTGTAATTCAGCATAATTTTAACCATGCATGCACACTTCAATTCCTTTTTTGCCTGAAAATTTCCACGTATTTTGAGAAAATACTGCCGTAAAAATGCAGCATCCGAACATTGACGACTTGCCAGCGGCCATATTGGTTGTTGAAAGCCGCATGGCGTTATGGGTCTAACGTCAGAATTTGTAATTAGAGCTGCCATTGGTTAAAAACGAAATTTCAAATCTCGCGCATGCGCATAATGAACAGACCTCAAAATTTTGTTACCTAGTTGCTTCACGAGTTCCAGTGCTATGAGAATAGGCAGGGCCTCTGCATGTGTAGTAGCTACATGGTATAAGTGGTAACCGTATTTAGTCGATAAATTATGACTTAAAATCATATCCTCTCTTTAATAAGTATGCTTTATAACACTCTTAATGCCTCTTCAAAAGCAATCTCAAAATTTTGCATTTTTAAATTTAATTTTAAGGAAATATGAAAAATTTGGCACACTTGTCATTTTTTTGATGTTTTTATTAACGTAAATAAGATAATCATAACATAGTGAATACATGTACACATATATACAGGCTCCAAAATTACAGAAATATGTTGATGTTGAATTTAACACTTTAAAAATATATTTTTTTTGCATTTCTTTTTATAGAAAGGTTAAATAAATAACGAATTTTGCTTCATAAAGTCTGTTCATAGATATAAGAAAGTGACTAACTGATAGGAATTAAGGAAAGACGCGGGCAAGCTATAACAATGAAATATGGCCGAACAGGTTCGTATTTTGCTTAGAATTTAATTATTTGGTGTTTTATTTATTTATTTATGTATTTATGTTTAAATCTAAAATAAAATTACAAATTATTTTTATTACCTACTTAAATTAATTAAAATTATTCACATAATATATCATCACCTGTTGTAATTATTATTTTTTCTATATTATTTGCAATATGGATATACGATTGTTCTGCTTTTTAAAGTTGTGATGTGAAAAACTTCGGTTTCTATAAGTTTGAGGACATTGGAGTTAACATGGGGAATAACATTGTTACGCCGAATGGCAGATTTCAGTTGGTGCCAAACATGTTCAATGGGATTAAATATACAGTGGGAGCCCTAAAACTGTATGGCCTAGATTTTTTGCATAATTATCACAGAAGTATTCCTTTTGTAGGTTCAAGCTTTGTAGAACCTCAATTAATTGCTTTTTGGTATAATCTTCGTGAAAATAAATGTCGTTATTATACACGTAGTTTTGGATTGTTGCTTTTCTGTCACATGAGGAAGGGGTTTTAGTCAGCTGTCTACTGTGATAACTTACATTGTCCGTTATAACTAAGCCATAAGGAGGAATGTTTGGAACTAGTTTGTTTTTAAACCAACTTTCAAATAAATCAGCGGTGGTGTCTTCATGTTAATCCAGAAAAGAATCTTTAATATTCTTCGCAGACAGAGAAAGTCCATTTGGAATCCAACCATCTTTAGAGCTAGCATGCAAAGTAGTTATTCTTTTACCCCTTTTTAATGGCGCGTTTATTTTACAGTTATCAGTTGAGTGAACCCAACCATTTTCTGGGGTATCATAAGTGTCGAACCAGGTTTCATCCAAGTAAATAATTGGCCTTTGTTGTTTTCTGTAAATCCTAATTTTTTCTAGATATTCCAGTCGCCATTTCCGAATTCTAAAAGATTCCATTAAAACTTGCCTTTTGTCATTTTTTTAAAATCTAAAACCCATGTGTTGAATACACTTCACACTACAAAATCAATTGGTCCCTTTCTTATATCTATGAACAGACCATAATTGAATGTGTAAAGTATTGACTTTGCAGTAGAATCCATTCTGAAAATATATATTTAATATCTCTTCAAATGATTTGTTATCAGCAGAACAGTCGATAACCAAGTAAATTAAATTATTCTTAAAAATGTGTATTGAATTTTTAGTTTGTTTTTTAGGTCCACACACTAGGTATTTTAAAAACTGATCAACATCACATATAGCACAATAAAAAACGGGAAAATTGGATCGAATTGAATAATTGTTATTATAAATAAAAATTTATAAATCTTTTGTGCTCTCCATACAGTGGAACACATTTTTGGTATTTCATCATTATATCTTCTTCTTCAAAAATGTTAATATTGTTTTAGTTACGGAATTTGTAGAAGAAGGCGAACTGTGGAATCTATTAGTCACCCACGGGAGTCTGCCCACTGCCCTAGTTAAACTTTATGTCGCCCAGATAGCGCTGGTTCTAGGTATGCCATCGGAATCGTTTTTGGGCTTCCCAATTTTTGCATTAACACGGCGCTTTTTGGTTGACAGATTTTCTCCATAACGCCGGCGTGATCTATAGGGACTTGAAGCCGGAAAATATCCTCCTGGATTCGGACGGCAACGTCAAATTGATCGATTTCGGACTGTCCAAGTGGCTCGGCTACGGACGATCGACCACCACCGTGTGCGGAACAGCTCGTTACATGGGTATGACCGTTAGCGATCGAAATCGTTAAAGGACTTTGAAATAGTGAGACTAAAACCAAATTAGTGTTTTTTTTTTGCCGAATATTCTTTACTACTCAGGTTTATCTGTGATTCTCGTGTGATAATAATCGGTAACGCGCAATGAACGCCAGATCTCAAATTTTCGAGCTGACCGTCGAAGGGAGGCAAGCGGACGAGGCGGTCGCCAGCATATTTCACACCGTATTGTTCCATAGATGTTTAGGTAAATTCATGTACGGCAACGAAAGCAGCTATTCGGTGAGCACCATAGGGTTCACCGACGTCGACTGCGACTTCATCGATTTAACTTACGTGTGCTGCTCGTCCGCGTCTTTGAATCGCGTCATCAAAAACGAAATCAGTAATTTCTCGGAGCAATTGCGCAGCAACGAGGGCAACGGCATGGGCCAGATCAGTCTGGAGTTTTTCCAAAAGAAACCGAGCCGGTACCTGTTTTTGCAGCCCGAGTGCATACCGTGGGAGGTGTGGACCGTCAGACTGGAATTGATCAGCTTGAACAACGAAAGCGAACGGCAGGTTTGCAGGGAACGGGTGGGGGAACTGCTGACCGACAAGGTCCTCTACATAACCGAGGTGATGAACAGGCACGATTATTTGCCCAAGATGCCCGCCAGGAGCGAGTTGGATTTAATTTTCGACACTTCGTTTCCGGACGTCCAACCTTACTTATTTAAAGTGAACTATTCCATATCGGGGCCGTCGAGCGGCGCCTCCGTCAGCTCCACCATGAGGAAGTTCATCAAAGAGACTTTGGCTTTCTAATGCACCCCTATAAGTTACCTCTCGCTTGTGTTAGCGCAGATCGGTATCCGTGCCCAGAAAAATTCGGGACCCAAACGTTTGTTGTCACGGCTCGATATAGCCTTCAGCTAAGGCAACCGAGACGGCAGATGGCGGTAGCCGTAGGGCCTCTTTAAAGAAACGTCACTCCAACGCGAGTACTTCTCACATTCACATTCACATTCTTATTCCCTTACGTAGAAATATTACATGCACCCTCATGGGTAATATGGCATTTGCTCAGTATTCAGTACTTCTCTGACGGGCTACAGATTTCGTGGACCTATTTCGCTGCCCTTTTATTAGAGTTTCGGTCATAATTTGAAGGGAATTATCAACCTTGGCCGCAGGTTTCTTACACTTACACTTGTAATGGCGGATTTTGCTCATCCAAGAAGCCCCCGAAGATATTTTTGTGTCCAGATAATCGGCAAATGTTGTAAGTGTCTATTTCTTGAGCGTAGTGGTCCCTTAGGGATGCCACGAAAACCACATAATAACCAGGGGTGCACTAGAAGAATGCTTTAATTAAACCATTTCAAATTGCCTTTCCTACAAAACCCAAAATTCTTTTTTTGCATTTCAATGCAATAGTCGACTAATTGTTTCTCCAAACCCTTAGGCAAAACTCTGTTCCCAACCAAGGACGCTTTTACAAGATCCTCTGCACTTCTGTTGTCTTTCACATATTTTTCAGTGGTTCCTAAAATTGAAAAAAAAAATTCCTTATAAAAGCCAATTTCAAAATAAATGTTATCAATTTTATAGTAATATTTCCCGTTTTACTCCATAAGAATACAAATATTGGTAACGTTTGTATGGGATATCCCATTATAAATGACCAAATCGATAACTTTGTTAATATTGATCCTACAATGAAATTTAAGTTAACAACACTTTTCATAAACCTACCGATTCTGGGTTTAAAAATATAAAATGAAGTTTTATCTGTCAAATTTTGACATGTATTAATTTTTTTAAAAATTGAATACCCTGTATTCGAATGTGTCAATCGATTGCATTGGTTCTCCGGATTTCAAATATTGGTGCTAGGGTTGTTTTTGACAGATTTCAAATATTTAAATTAGTCATGAAAATTAAATTAGTTGCTTTTTTTATATATATCAAAAAAGTTTGTTTGTTGTATAATTTTTCTGTTGCGTAATATTGGGCATTATGACATTTTCAGTTAAACATATTTTGCTTATAACAAAAAGAAATGTTCCATACTTGAATATTCTCAAAAAACGTCCTTATTTCAAACTTCTTGAATTCTTTCTAACATAATGCGTCAAAACTCGAGGCTTCTCTGTCTGATTCGATCAATAAGATGTTGAACTTTTGTCAACTTATGAGCGTGCATTTTATGTGTCTTTAAAATCGTTCAAAAATTTTCAAATATAAGTTATCCGTTTGGTAATTTATAATGGGACACCCTGTACATACCGGTTACATTTGTACACTTACTCTCATAAAAAACCGATACGGCTTGAAAATTCCATTTTATATGTTGAGCATCAGGCAGTCATATCACATTTTGGCAAAAGATGGTTTGTTTTGAGGGGCTCTAAAGGCAGGTTTGCGCCAACATTTATAGTAATAAAAATCAATTGGCATATTTTTAATAGTTAATCTTATAAATGCGAAATGAGAATAGTGCCGAATGTAGGGGTCATACCATAAGAGACATCATATTTCTTAGGATTAGTGGATACTTTTCTGCACTGCACCTGCAAATCGGTAGTGTCATACTGCTTACCACACACCTTAGGTATTGTAGGACCATCCCTGCGTCACACAATATTATTTATTCTTATTTATTAAGTTAGTTTTTTAAAAAATGTTCCAGTATCGAGTTTCGACCTTGTAAATGCCGTTCTTCCGATTGTTAGTATTTGGTTTGGATATCACGGTTCGTTAGTCGGGTAGGTTTGTCCTTGCACATTAGGATAACGCTGTAAATATCGTATTCCGTTCGCTGCCTAGCCAGAACTGAGACACGCGGCTCCGACACTTTCAATTCTTCACAAGTATGTAATCGGTAGTGTGTGTGCAATACGCTTCGCGGAGGTTCCGCAAATTTGAGATCTTGCTCTACCATACCAGTTACGCAACGCGCATATTGTTTTAAAACGTTTGTGTACACTTTAATATTTATGTATATGTGGATATAAACGATAGGTTAGGGATACGAGGGAAGGCGGTGCGATGTCAAATTTTGGCGAAGGCGCTGGGAAACAAGATGTTTCGTTTGGGACCATTGATTTTTTCGTTTAAGCGGAGAATTTTCGAATCAAAGATGGAGCGAGCCGCAGGGTGGTTTAAAAAGTGCCTTGGCGAAAATTTTTCACTTGATTAGTTAGTTGTTTTTGTTTGACGCGTAATTTTGTGGTTTAAAATGTTAGTTCGTTTTGAGTTTTAGTGTAAACGTTAGATTTTTTTACAATATAAACTTAACAATTATTGTAAATATTGTAAATAATTGTGCATAGGAGTTAGCGATTAATTAATATATACATGTTGTGATTTTAAGTAAATGAGGAAATAAAATAAAGATTTTATTTATTTTGAACCATATTTTGATTAAATCCGTCCGAGATGCAGTGCAGGTAAGTTTGTTCTTTTTTTGTTTCAGCCCCCGAAATTTTGTCCGGAAAGCCGTACGGGCACGCCGCCGATTGGTGGAGTTTAGGAGTGCTGGCTTGCCTGATGTTAACCACAAAGGTAAGTTGAAAATTATTTTCATTCGCGTTTTAACTTTTGAAATGTAACGACATTTTGGCGGATGCGCTAGGGAACATTGCTAGTCAAAGCACATCTCAAACCCGTCGATAGGGCGTTACTAATGACAGTTAAATTAAATTTTCAAAAAAACAAATATAAAAGTCATATCAGGATGACTTATAAGTAGGTGCAGACTAAAAACAGAACGATTGGCGAAACGTCAGAAACTTCGATTCAAGAGGAATCCAGAACTTTTGTACATGACATTACAGTAGGCTACTGAGAAAATGATTGAAATTTCTTTGAAATATTATTCAACAATATTAGAAAATCAATATAAACATCTCTAAAGATGTATTTTTGCCACGGTTTTTTTTCACTTTCGCGTAGCCGAGTGACCGCGGAACAACTTTAAATATTCAAATTATACGCATGTAATATGCATCGAGCCTTGGACGACTTTTAACTTGAATTACCTACGTAGATACGCCGCTTTGAAAATTAAACATTTATGAAGCAGTTTGCGGCAGTGTATAATAGCTATTTTAATTATCGGGCCTAGGTCCCACTCAAAATTTTAACCCGTCCGTGATGACGTCAATAAACTACGTCACTTGTTTTATCCGATTTAAACTTTTACATATTCTCGACGTTTAGACAGGCAACGTTTAAGTTTTAAATTGAAAATTGAAATCGTTATATGATGAAGAATCAGTAACACAAAAGAAACATTTAAAAAAAAGGATCACCTATCTGACAGTTGTCAAAAAGGTGGCGTCACGACTATCCATGGTCCGTGACCGTTACAGATCCCATTTTTCGTGCGGGAACGTGTTAATGTTAGTAATCGTTGTTAAATGAACTGCACGCTTCCAAAAAGTATTAATTGGGGCGCATAGAAGAAAAATTTTATTTATTTAAAGACATTTTCATAATTTTACCTGTTTTTGCTTGCTGTGCATACGTCATGCGTATTGCGTGACCCACTTTTTCTATTGATTTTTATTGACAATAAGAATATAAGACAACGAATGTAAATAAATTAGCAAGTACTTACCAGTAATTTCGCGAAATTCGTAATAAGTTAATTGATTTTGCTGTTATTATAAGTCGCCGCCATATTAAAACGCACGCCGTACGTATAAAACTTTATTGAAAGCTTTAAACACGCGTATCGTAATATAAAATAAAATTAATATCCATGGACTCCGCCATAATGACCCTCTCATCTTGTTTCGAACGTTTGTATTCTTCGCCCCGTACTCGCGCGGGGGGGGAGGCGCGAAAACAATAAAAATTAAAAAATAAAAACAAAAAACGAGAGATTTTTACACGCGAAAGGAAGAAAAACAAAAAGTGATCGTGTCGCCTAAATTATTGAGCACATAAATAAAACTAATAGGTTCTCGTACGAGGCCCGGTTAACCCAACCGTTCTGGAAAAGTTACAATAAAAAAAAATAATTAAGTTCGGGTTTCGGAACAAAGGGGCAAGCGGTCCTCGAGAATCAGTCGTTTTTTTTTTACTATCGTCGTCGCTTTTCCGTTCAAGAGCTCGGCGCGCATTGTGTCGGGTTTTCTTCTAGTTTCGGTTGCTCCGTAGTTAGTACGAGTTCCTCGGGTTTCGAAGCTTCCAGCTCTTGAGGTTTCGCTTCTTGCGTCGTGATCTCCTCGCTTTGCAGCTCCAGTTTGACTTCGACTGCCTGTTGATCGAGCGGCACCTGCTCCTGCTGGGTCGTCTGCTCCGGCTGTTCCTGCGGAATCTCCACTACAACCGGCAATATGTCCTCCGCCTTCGCCCTTTTTTCGGACGGTACTTGCACGATTGTTTGTTCCAGCGTCAGCTTGATTTCCGGAAGGGCTTCTTCCGCCGCCGGTGCCGCCTCGATTTTCTGCTCGCTTTGCAGAGCGACTTCCTCCTTGATCTCGACGGCTGCGGGCTTGGGTTGTTCGAGCTTTGCCGTCAAAGACGGCAGCGCCAAAGGTTTCTCTTCTTCCACGCTTTCCTGGGGCAACGTTTTCACTATCACTTGCTCTACTTGAACCTGTTGAGGTTGTTTTACCACCGGTTTCGGTTCGACTTCCACGGGCAACGATTTAATCTGTGGTATTTCGATTTTCAACGACGGCGTGGGCGTGGTTTCCGGTTGTTTCTGTTCTTGTTCGGTCGAAGTTTCTTGGGGTTGTGGTTCGGGCGGGGGTACGAAAATTTCTGTTACTTTTATTATTGGTTCCGGTTGTGTTGGTTCGGGTTGCACAGGTTTCGCTGGTTCGGGTTGCAAAGGTGCAGCAGGTTTCGCTGGTAGCGCTGGTTCGGGTTGCAAAGGTGCAGCAGGTTTCGCTGGTAGCGCTGGTTCGGGTTGCAAAGGTTCAGCAGGTTTCGCTGGTAACGCTGGTATTGGTTGCACAGGTTCAGCAGGTTTCGCTGGTAGCGCTGGTACTGGTTGCACAGGTTCAGCAGGTAGCACTGGTTCGGGTTGTAAAGGTTCAGCAGGTTTCGCCGGTAGCACTGGTTCGGGTTGCACAGGTTCAGCAGATTTCGCTAGTAGCACTGGTTCTGGTTGCAGAGGTTCAGCTGGTAGCGCTGGTTTGGGTTGCAAAGGTTCAGCTGGTTGAATTGGTTGTGCTGGCTCGGGCTGCAAAGGTTCAGCAGGTTTCGCTGGTAGCGCTGGTATTGGTTGCACAGGTTCGGCAGGTGTCGCCGGTGGCGCTAATTCGGATTGCAAAGGTTCCGCAGGTTTCGCTGGTATTGGTTGCACAGGTTCAGCAGGTTTCGCTGGTAGCGCTAATTCGATTTGCAAAGGTTCAGCTGGTAGCGCTGGTTCGGGTTGCACAGGTTCAGCAAGTTGAACTGGTTGTGCTGGTTCGGGTTGTAAAGGTTCAGAAGGCAGCGCAGGTTGCAGAGGCTCAGCAGGTTTGCCTGGCTGGGCGGGTTGTGCCGGTTCTGGTTGAACGGGTTCGGCAGGCTCGCCTGCTGGTGCAGGTTCTGCTGGTTCTGGTTGAATAGGTTCGGCAGGCTTGCCCGGCGGTGCAGGTTCTGGTTGCAACTGCGCCGGTTCAATTTCGGCTGGTTGCTGAGGTTCAGCGGGTACGCTGGGTTGTGCCGCCTCAATTTCCTTGGGATCAGCAGCGCCACCGGGCTGCTGAGATTTGGAGGCTTCGCCGGCGTTGCCCGAAGACGAGGGCTCGCCAGACTGACCCTCTTCTCCAGACGTCTTCTCGGCAGATTCTTCGGAACTCGTGCTGGAACTGTCCGAGGAGAGGTCTTGTTGAAGGAGGGACTTTTCGTCGGCCTTTGAGACGGACGAATAGGAATCGGAAATAACTAGCGGCTCCTCGCTTTCGCCCAACGGATATGCCAGCGCTGTGGCTGCTAAGAGTAACCCTAGTACAACCCTCATTCTGCAATTCTGCAACGACAAAAAGAAATTATAGTACTTGTGAACTCTGGCAAGGTTAAAATAACTATCAACTCATAAATAATCTAATTAACAATCTAATAATATTTATTTATTTCGCGTATTTTTTGAAGAAGAGTAGCTGATAAAAGCGAAACATTAAGGCAAAACTGTAAAAACTTATCGCTGACTTCATAAATATTTAGGTGTTCCTTTATCATTATTTACGGTGATATATATAAAGACACCGAGAAAAATATTTATTAGTATTATTTTAAAAAAGTACTTGCTCCTGAAAATTGGAATAATATAAATAAACAATCTACTGCAAATTACAATGTTTGACGTATAATTAGGACTAATAACTTTATTATATGCCTGCGGCATATGAAAATACGCTTAACAAATAACCCACACTGTTGAGGTTGGCCTTTAGTTACTTTGCCTAGCACATTCGCCATTTTTATACCGAAACTAATTAATAGCTGCACCCAATTGCAGTGATTTGAATCTACGATTTAAATTATTTCAATTCGTTACGTTTTGCCTGGAGTTCCGAATTTTGGCGGACCGTTTCCGTCCAGAAAATTTTATCCGCAAATTAGTGTTGAATTTTTTGCCATTGAAATTTTAAATGATCGAGGAGCCTTTATCAAATACTTATATTTCGTTAAACTTAAAAAAAAAAACTAGAGCCGTAAAATCCACAACGCTACACATGATCGCTAATGCCCTGTTACGTATATGGTATAATGGCGAAGATCTCATGTAGCTTCTCAGAGTAGCGAGAGGGGGGGGGGGGATGTTGAACTCTCCGAGTTCGACCGGTTAGCAAAAAAACCGAAGAACAGAAAAAGAAGCCGCCGGACTGGCCTTAAATCTGAAACTAGAAACGGAGAACGCGTATAAAAATAGAAGACGGAACGGGTTTTTCTTCGGGTTTGTTTTTTACCCGACGACGCGACGGCCAGTTCTTGGCCTCTTCTTTTTACATAATCGACGCGCTGCAAGAATGCACGCGTTTTTTCCTTGTGTCGAAGGAAGAAGAACTTCCACGTCCGAAAGTCCCGAGTGGTGCGTAACGAAGGTAACGATTCATTTTAATAAAAGAAGAAGAATTGATTAAGTAAACCTTGTATTTGCGGACAATAGTCAATTTGGTAAAGATAAAAGAAAAACTCAAAAATAGAGTCGACGAAGATAGTGGAAACATCACGGCGTTTACTTACAGGGCAATGAAAATAAATGGCAATAAAAGTCAATAACTAGATGTATGCGCAAACACGTTTGAGGGTACATGATCACGACCAGAACAAAACAAAAAACTTTAAATAGCATCACGTTGAAGAAATTCCGTAATATTGCTTTGCTGGAAAGTTTTCGTTTTAAGAAAGGCTGGTAACAGTATCTTATATAAATATCGGAAGTGACTCGACAAAACTCACGTGATAAAGTGACGCTTTTTTTTTTTTTCAGAAAAGAGTAGAAAAGTGTATTTTTTAGATGAACTGATGAATTATTGGTTACATTATTTTGAGGCTCGATTGCGTTCAGAACTTTTTTAATAATCCTCATTTTAAATAATGTAAGTAAATAAATCCTCCCTATTGTAATTTACAATATTTTTTTTTTACTAATACGTTATTAGAATATTCAGGATCAACTACTTTTTTAAAATAATGCCAATGAATAAGTTTCTTTGATAACATTTATCCTGAGTTTTTTTTCTCCCACTTGGCATTTTGAAACTTTCAAAAAAGACACTAAATAGACCTTTATAAATAATCTTCATTATTGTAATTTACAATAAATTGCTTTCTTTGCATTGCATTGGCATTTTGAAAGTTTAAAATCAATTTCAAAAACCAAACCACATGGACTAACCAGCAAACGGAAACTAACCTTTACTTCAAGCATTGTTACATAAATTGCGAGACTGCATACATGTAAAACGTAGAGGAAAACTGACCAGATGCACCTATCCATAGTGATGGTGTTGCACAAGCTTTCATTTTAGAGTGTGGGTTCCAACAGATAGATCATCCTCCCTATAGTCCAGATATGGCCCCCAGCGACTATTATTTGTTTAGATATTTGAAAAAGGACTTACGTGGACAGCGGTTTAACGACGATGTTGAGTTAAAAAAGGCTGTTTTAGCTCATGTTTTAAAGGGATTGAGTTGTTAATAAAGAGATGTAACAAGTGTATTGAAGTTAATGGGATTATATTGAAAAATAATAAAAAAATTGTTACTCTACTTTGTTTGTTTCATATTCAGATCGGGAAATTTTGGCCTCGTACTCTTTGACTGGTATATCTCAAATGAATAGTCTTAATGTAGATAAATGTAAAGTTCCAAGATTTAATATAATATAGAATCTCAAATACTGTTCTCCGACGTGTTACAGATAGTAAAGATCTGGGCGTGCATTTCGATCACATTACATTCGTGTACCACAGCATTGTATCTGTGGCTAACCGTAATTATTGTTTTATACTACGCAGCTGCAATTCTTTTATCGACATTGCTGCTTTGCTGCTCGTGTGTGTCAGTAATCTTTGTTTATAAATTGCTACACAACATTATAGATAGTCCGAATCTACGCTCAATTCACGCAACAAACCTATTAAAAAATTCGACTATAAATATAGCATGTTCCAATTGTAATTGTGTTTCGGACGTGTGTGATATATTTAACTGTGGTCTGAGGGAATTGGGAAATATATGTTTGATGTCTAGTCGACGCTAGCTCGAATCAAGATCTATGGTTATTCCAATTTCTTTGGAGCTCACTTTGTCAACCTGCTCACTAGAATAGGTTAGGTTACATTATATTACATACTGTTTCTTTTTTTTTGTTACTATACATTGCTCTGTAAATGGATTGTTTTCTGTTGAGCAATCAAGCTATTATTATTATTATTATTATTATCAATAAAAGTTAAAAGTTAATAGTAGCAGCTAATGAAATTCAATCGACATATTAATTTATTATTTAATCGTATAAGATTCAATGGAAGCATCGAACAGTGGCGCGGGTTGAGAACGCAACAATTTCAATTGCAATTGCAAAACGAACGAAGAAAATCGATTTTGAGCGCTCATATTATCGTCCAAGAGGAAAAAACGTCCAGCCCGGTTCGTTGCACCGGGTTTTAATAATAAACTACACACAAAAAACGGAAAAACCGGTTTTAAAATCGCCGCCATGGCAAAATGCGATGTCCAGCGGCACCGTTAACGTAATAAACATTTCACGGGGTCGTAGACCTTTCCGTGACATCCTTCGATCGTACGTTCTAAATTTCAACGATTTTACTTGACCTTAACATTGACGCCGATGATATTTTTTCCGCTCCCTCTCTCTCTCGCACGCATTTAAAATCGTTTTAGGGTCTTCCGTTTGGTTTGAATCACCGTTATTTACGCCTGTCGCGCTTACGTGACAATTCCATTCACGAATTTGCGAGAAGGCGGGACCTTGGAAATAACGATAAACAAAAAAAAATGCGAGGGCTTCAGTTTCGTCAGAAGTTCGCTTTTACTTTCGGTGGCAAATGCGGGTCATGCATCGGGACATAGGAAATCCCCTGGGAATTTTTGTACATTTTATAGCAAAGTGGTAATAATCTAATAATCAATACAACAAACACCAACGCTGTGAGGCTACTTCCAAAACTGACGTATCAAATAAAGGTCGGTTTACAATAAAGACATTCACATTTGGTTTCGCGGACGTTCAGAATAAACTTAAGTATGTAGGTAAAGTCTGTTCATAGATATGAGAAAGTGACTAACTGATACGAATTAAGGAAAGACCCGGGCAAGCTGTAAGAATGAAACATGAATACTTTGCTTAGAATTTAAGATACTAAACAATATTTATTTATATTTATATGTATATTTGTATGTATTTATGTTTAAATCTAAAATAAAATTACAAATAATTATTATTTGTTCTATATTATTTGCAATGTGGATATACGATTCTACTGCCCTTTCTAGGTGTTTAACAGAATTTGCCCAACTTTGTGGGGGGGATGTCAAAAACATCGGTTTCTATAAGTTTGAGGACATTGGAGTTAAGACGGGGAAAAATATTGTTACGATGAATGACAGATTTCAGTTGGTGCCAAACATGTTCAATGGAATTAAATATACAGTGGAAGCCTTAAAACTGTATGCCCTACATTTTTTACATAATTAGCGTATTCCTGTTGTAGGTTCAAGCTTTGTAGAACCTCAATTAATTGCTTTTTGATATGATCTTCGTGAAAATAAATGTCGTTATTATACATATAGTTTTGGATTGTTGCTTTTGTGTCACATAAGGAAGGGGTTTTAGTCATCTGTCTACTGTGATAACTTGCATTGTCCATTAGAATTACGCTATAAGAAGGAATGTTTGGAACTAGTTTGTTTTTATATCAACTTTCAAATATATCAGCGGTGGTGTCTTCATGGTAATCCAGAGAAGAATCTTTAATATTTTTCGCAGACAGAAAAAGTCCATTTGCAATCCAATCATCTTTAGAGTCAGCATGGTAAAAACTAGTTATTCTTTTACCTTTTTTGATGGCGCGTTATCAGTTGAGTCAACGCAATCCTTTTCCGGGGTATCATAAGTGTCGAACCAGGTTTCAGCCAAGTAAATAATTGGCCTTTGTTGTTCTCTGTAAATCCTATTTTTTTCTAGATATTCCAGTCGCCATTTCCGAATTCTAAAAGGTTCCATTAAAACTTGCCTCGTCATTTTTTTTTAAATCTAAAATCCATGTGTTGAATACATTTCCATCAGGTAGTTCTGCCACATTTAACACTGGTTTCATCTTTTTCAAGCCTCCTAATTAAGATATCTAATGTAGCCACGCTTTATTCCTTTTATATCTTGATAACTTTCATCTACACTCGAGAAAATGTCAGCATCGCTTCTTCTTTTCTTCGCTGAAATGGGATTATTTACAATTTTCCATACAGTGGATGTTGGAATTTTCGTCAATGTGGCCGTTT